CGACGAGTGCCAACGTTGTGACATCCAGGCCATTTGAGCGTGAGACATGGTCTCAAACTCGTTGGACAGTAGAGGAGACACGTGTACAAGCACGCAGAAGCCGAGGTAATTGTACACGTTCGAGCTCTTTGTTCGGCTTACGAGAGACTTAGGGCCTTGAAGAAAGCCTGATTGTAAAGCTGCAGCGAGGCGTTGGATTTAAGGGTGACTACACCTTCCAGCGTGTGCCTGACCAGAACCGCGTAGAACGGCTCCAAGCCCAGGGTAGTAAAGCGGGGTCTTTCCTTGAACTTGGCGCGAAGTTGAGCCAGCTTCCCAACGAAACTGTAGTACTCTTTGGGAGACGTCTTCGTAGAAGTCCGAGTCAAACATGCTCGTCGCGCGATAAAGTGAAGGAAGGTACCAGGTAGGCAACCGAACGTCGCCGTCCGTCTTTGCATACAGTGGTGGAATGTCCAGGCGTATCGCGGACTCGGAGTCGTTCTTCGGATCCGGAACGTGCGAGACCGTGACCAGGGGAGAAATACCGAGCGCCCTGAATATGCGAGCGTGGATACTCCACATTTCGTTCTGACTCAGCACGTTGTCCTTGTAAGGCCACTTTCCGAGTCCCAACCTCTGAAGCAGGGAGCTCACAAACAACTTGGAGTCCGCGTAAGACGTAGGTTCGAGACAGGTGTCGTACAGAGCAACTACTTCGTCGTCTTTCGGCACCTCGGCTCTTCTTTCTTCAAGAAGAGTGTGAAGCAACACCTCCGTCTCTTTATGTTGGTCTGTCCCGAACGAGGACGTCTCGTTCTGTCCGGCCTGAGACCAGTTGCCGCAAACGAAAGAGTAAAAATCATCGCATGGGTGCTCATCCGAGCTAAGCACCCACCGCGAAGTCTGGTACGCGCACAGAATTCGTCTGCACGGAGGCACGGTCTTTACAGTTGAATGTGCACTTGTACTTATGTCTACGCTGGGTTTATCCGTAATGTGAGAAATAATGTCGACCTTTACTCTCACGCCGGCGCTACCAGTGGTGGCGGTTGACGGCGCCCTCGTGCTCTTTGTGACAAAGCTCAAGAATCTCAAGGCCTTAGTCAGCATCACTTGACCATCTCTGCTCTGAGAAAACAAGTACAGACCTAGCACGAGCGCTGAAACCACAGCCAGTGAGCAGCAGGCGAACAGAGCGCAGGCCGCAGACACCGGGTATTCTTGGCTTCCCTGACGAATGGTGTTCACTGGTTTCGCCAAAATTTCGCGCCGGGACACTGAGGTGCTGGGTGCAATCGCGCCGAAATCGTGAATCGAAGCTTCGGCTGTGAAGGGCCCATCCATGTTTTCCACTGGGGCGGCAGGTACCTTTGGCTTCAGTCTGTACGCTACTTTGACCGCAGATGGTCTAGAAGTCGGGACTACGGGCCTAGAAACAGGAGAAGACGGTCTTCGCGAAGTTTTTTCTGCGGTCTGCTGCGCCCCTCTGGAAGCTCCGACGCCAGACAGAGGAGATGACGCGGCGTGTCGCTTTGACACGGAGGTGCTGACAGCTTTTCTGGGTCCCGCTGCAGCCGTAGTTCGGTGGGCGGGAGATGACGATGCTCTCGACGGCGTCGGACTGGGAGAACGGCGTGATAGCGGCGCTGTGCTGAGGGCGGCGCCAGGTGGAAACGCCGATATCGAATTGAACTCGAAGCGACCGGTGCTAGGGTTGAGCACGACAGTGGCGACGGGACGAGCGGGAGGTCTTGCGCTATTTTGGCGGCCACGTGTTGGAAGGTACACGGGTATGGGTCGTGGATTTCGTCTCATAACGTTGTCTAAAAGTACGCACCACAGAACTTCGTCGTCGTTGTGTTGTCACGAATACGCGCTCTATATGTTTTCTGGCTCACATCGCCTATAATTTTGTATCAAAGAAAGATCATGGGGTAAAAATTCGAAAATATGCAGCGCCTTAAGCATCTTCGGTGACAAGCATAATGATATCTACGAGAAACGCGCGATTTATTTAGCTGTCTACAACGCCTGCTTTATCTTTTATTTCACTCGGGACGCCAAGTGGTGATAGTTGTGATGATGATGCTCGTGACGCATTCTCACGTTAATGGCTCACCACAGGAATTAGCCAAGAAACAAGTTCTAAAAATCACAATGGTAACATGTGAAATGTATCAGCACCGGCTTCATCGCATAACTTGTGCTCAGCGATTATGGTGGTGATGATGATGATGATGATGATAATGAATTTTTCTAGCTGCTTACCTATTCGTGCTCGGTATCATTTCACCAATCAAGGTGCTGATGAGCCGTATTTGGGTTAAGCCTTGTAACCCCACCATTTAGCGCTCAAATTAAATTTCGTAAAGCCAAAAAAAATTCCTTTACAAGTTTTCTACATTAAAAAACGAATTTTATCGCTGGCATCGCATCGTGGCCAAATTAAGGGATCAGGTTAGCGATAACTGTCGTAACCTTTTTTTTAGCAACTGCCATTGACAACGTTAAAGCTGATTTCTACATTACCATTGACTCGTTCTTATTGATTTAAAGGGCCCCTGAAACACTTTTTCAAGTAATCATGGAATGAATTCACTGGAAGAGCTTATTGTTTCATGAATTCAACGCCGCAAAAATTTTAAGAATCGTTCAGTGCAGTGCGAGTGGAGTTACAAAGGTTTGTCGCATGCTGCAATTGCATTCTCTCTTCTCTCGTCCGACGAAAACGCTGGAAGCTAAACAGGGAGGGATGGCAGGGCCGCAGAAAAACGTCACGCGCGACCTCGTGGCTTTGAGCACTTTTTTTTTTCTTTTTGTTCTTCGAATGCGCGGCTTTTTTCAATCTGATCACGCGCGTGAAAAAGTAGCGGCCTCCCGCGGCGATCCCTGTAACGAGCAAGCGCGCCATGTTCAAATCAGGCAGTGGCTGATATATGGGCTTACTAGGTGCGATTTTGGGGCATATTGCGTGATTTGTCGAGAAAAAGCAATTTTTAGCTGACTAATAATTTATTGTGAATTCTAGGCTGCGTGCTGCGCTACAATATTTGGCTCGCGTGTTGTCGGGAGCCTCTACTGCCGATCAGCAGCGCTTTCTTACCATGCTCAAAAAGTGTTGCAGGGCCAAAGTAGTTATTTTAACTAAAGTTCTTGTTTGTCTTGTATATATTTCATCGTGGTCACTGAGTTTTTCGTAATCTAACTTTTTCTGTTCTGTACATGACCATATTTATTGTCACTATCTGACTCCTCCGCACGCTGTGGGCAATCTAACTTGACTGAGTGAGCACCATTGTCTGCGAAAGAATAGAAATAAAGAGAGAGAGAACCATGTGTCTAGCTGTCAAAAAAAACAAGCAGAAGAATGACATATGATATATAAATTGTTATATCCGCGAGAAAAGGTCAGGTTTTTGCAAGTTCTAGGAAACGTGATTTCCATTCATGGCAAAAAAAAATAGGGGGGGGGGGGGGACAGCTCCGCAAGGTTAACTGAATTGTGCCGGTAGATTCATGCTCATATTGCGGGCCAAGATTAAATGTTTTCTTACAAAAAATCACAGCCGGCTTAAAAATATCCTTCACTGGCACACGCGACGAAGAATCCACCTTTATATCACCTCTTAATTGGTTCTACATGAAAAACTTCCACTACTGGTATTAAGAGCGATGTTTCATTTTTTTTAAAATACAAAGTCGTCCCAACACTAGTCTTGGCACAAGCTGCCTAGGCCAAGCCTGCATATGGATGTCTACACGACTATATTGCACAGGCTCGGAAAAGCAATACTTGGATTCAAGGCTTTTTCACAAGGTTTCTTTTTTCATCTTAATCGACTACATTTGTTGGGATGCTCCTGTGCGGGGTTGTTTTTTCTCCTTGTTCTCATTTTCTTTGGTTACGAAAGTTACGCCAGGCATCGCCGAGGACGTACCTTCGTGCATAAGTTAAGCAAATGACGTCCTGGAAATATGGTGGACATCACGTCCTTAAGCACAAATTTTCTGCAAAAAGCCCCGGGATATGTGATGGCGATGCTCCTGCGATGCTTCACCTCCACTATTTGACACGCACTTACTTGAGGGGATCGTCTAGGTGTTGGCCGAATATCTATGGTCTCTTTTTTTTTCAAACGATACTAAGGAATAGTAGAGTGGATCCTTGATTTTATGGCCACACGCAAGCTAGAAGATTGGCCAAGATTTAGATAGTTATTGTAATAGTATCTTTAAATAAAAGGTGAAAATGGGTCTGTGCAAAAAAGAGAAAGTTGAAAGAAGAAAAATTTATTGATGAAATTTATTGATGAAGTGTAACGGAATACAAGCAATGAAGCAGGGAACTTGAAAAAAAAAAGAATTTCCAAGAGTAAGAAATAGGAGTAAGGATTTATTTTAATATTTAAATATCTTACGAAAGCGGCAAGCGCCCCACGACCGTCGTCATCACTTCGATTATTATATTTTTTTCAGACGCGACTTTCAGGTTAAGGCAAAAGAGTGTTCGCTTCGCTGCCTAGGATTTCCTGATTGAGAACAAATAATCGTCTCGGACATCTATCGTGTGTGTTTTTTTCTTCATTTATCGATATTTTCTTTGAATTCCTTTGCTGCTTTTCCTCTTCCAATCACATCAGCGCGTGATGACGCCTTTCAGCACCACTCAAATCTTACCTACACAGAAAGCTTATTAGCGCTTCTTGCTGTTGCTGCGAACACTATGCTACCGTCACCATAACCACTACTGCTAGTATAGTGACGCCAGCACTACCACCACCTCCAGCCCCACCACCACGCGTATCGTTTCCAGTCCTCCTGTAGTGGATCTAAGGCATGCGTTTCTCGGTTGACAGCTGAGCAACGACGACGGCAACAGTAGCGGCGCCAAGGATTCGCGCCCTTTCGTCGGGCCCAGGGCCCGCAAAAGAGGGCCCGGGCGGCAACGCCTGGCCGCCAGCGAAGAGACCCCAGCGAAGGGGCCCGAGGCAAGAGTGATGAGTGCCGTCCCTGGCGGAATGGAAGGACCGCTCAGCGTCTGGACGAGCTTCATCAGCGGCTGGCATTTATGCTGGGTGGTTCTCGATGACCGAAACGGCATCCTCTACCGGTTCAAGGTGCATGTTACACTCCTCTCGTGAGCCATTCTGAAGACGCACGTATTGTCTCGGAAGCCACAACCAAGCGCACGCTTTAAAGAAAATAAGGGGGGGGGGGGGGGGAATGCACAAAGAGAAAGATCTAGCAATTTGCTTCAACCGTTTCCTCTATTCCATTGATGTTTTTTTTATAACGACGTCACTTTTAACAGCAGCAGCAACAACACGACAGTATAACAGAGGAGCATTACAATATCACATACGTATTCGACAGTGAGATTGGTGCACTCTGTTTTGAAGTTAACGATCAAGCTGCAACGCCTTACCACAACTGCATCGCAAAGAGCAGGCGTTTTCTTTAGCTTCAGGTGAACCGTATTCATTCATTCATTCATTCATTCATTCATTCATTCATTCATTCATTCATTCATTCATTCATTCGCGAAGCTTTATTTGTCAAAAGAAGTCGGAGTCGGTGCTCTCGACCCTGGGCTACCACTGACCTTTGTTGCCAGCTTTGGTAGCCGCCTAAATACGCGCACCATTTTGGTTTGTTATTGAAAATCTAATTCAGGGGACAGGGTTCCAATGTATTTACATTCCGTGTAGAGTATTTCACATATGTATTTTTTTATACGTTTTAATACCTGCTTGAAATGTATGGCAGTGAGAGAACACAGTTTCATATCTTCCCCGAATTCGTTCCTTGGCGATGTCCTGTGTCTCGAGTAACACTGTACGATTTCTATCAAAAGGAGCAGTCGAATGATGTTGGTATTGAATTGTGATATTCTAGTGTGCACAAAAAGAGTCACAGTTTCGCCATAAGGGTGAAGCAATGAATGCGATAGCAACAACTTGGAATGTAATGCTGAGAACGGCTAGAAAATCACAACGTGCAGCACGCTGCTCACGCATAAAATGACGCATTAAAACAACACAAACAGGACGAGGGCTGACTAACACGTCTACAGCTTGACGCTTAACGCGTTGTTTAAATAAAAACGACGCACTAAACGCAATTACGGGTACAAATATGAGTGCGAACTCGCGAGTGTCCCAGTTATTACCTCGCTGTGTTTGAAAAGCACGCTCTTTTAGCAAACGGAGCGTCCCCAGCGAGCTAAGTGACCTTTGTGGCACAGGCAACTAACGCTATCGCTCCGGTGAAAAGCCAAGGTACACAATTCTCCCCACTGAAGGATAAGCGTGCGTGCACAAGCACCCCCCCCCCCCAAGCCTCGGGACAAAGTACGCATGGGAGATAAGCGCGCGTTGGCACATCACGACGAGCTGGGTGCCGGGCGCAGGCGGATTTTTAAAGACGAGTCTTTTTTGGGGACCTTCGACGCAAAAATTTTGATCCGTCCGTCTGTCCGTCCGTCCGTCCGTCCGTCTGTACATTTGTATGTTTGTCCACTCTTAACGGCACCGGGTATTTGAAACGGCTGACCCCATCCGCAGCGCCCACCAATGTCGCTCATGGTTTAGCGTTCATACTTGTGCAATTGTTAATTAATAAGCAATTATTGCGCAAGTATTGGGCACCATAACGACACGTATGTATTCTGCATGTGCATATTTTACTAGAAAATGCATACATAAGTAATTTTAAGGACCGTAGCCCTTTTCACGCTGCGCTTACCATGCAACGCTTGCACGAATAAGTGGGTGTTTCCAGCGATTTGCTAAGACGCGATGGTGGTGGCACCTACCCGCCACCTTGCGTTCTACACCTTATCACCTCTGAGACGGGCTCGCGCACCCATCTCAGGGCCACGTGCTTCACGTATGACGTGACTTGATGCACTCGTTCACCTCCGCTGCACGTTCGATGCACCCTAACGCAGCGCCTCCAAAATACCATTCTCCGATTTTCTTGCGCAGAACATCAAATAAATTGTTCGCTCTCTCCACACGCAAGACTATCGTCTTTCGACGACATTTGCAGATTACATGCAGATACGGGGCCAATTTTTTGCTTTTTTGAATTTTCCTACATATAGCTACGTATACATATATGGTGCATGACGGTGGTGGCGGTGGTGGTGACGGCAAAAACTATCCGAGACTGTTTATGTGATTGCAATAAAATAAAACCCACGAAGTTCCAGCAGGATGTTAGGTTGTTTCTGTCACATTCAGTACTATTTGCATAATTAGCTTGTTCTACAAACGGCTGACAAGCGGAGCAAGAAGTGTTTACTCACCGTGGAAATGCCACCTCATATCGTATGATCTATCAGTGTATATATACTTGTCATTTAGTTTTGAGCTATTTGGGGTGATCTCGAAATTGGTTGCAGAAAGGGCTACCCAAATAGCAAGCACATGCCAGATGAATCTAATAGGAGGTGAATCTAATAGCATTCTGCAGGATCTCGATCCAACTTCTAGCCGCAAGATTAGGGCGCCTCTGAAATAAATGTTGCTAGCTGCTCTTTAGAACAGCCAGCACTGCTCTCCGGTTCTTTCACGATCTCCCTTCGCGATCTCTCTCGGCTACGACTTCTCCGATCTTCCCCGACTTGAACCACGCCAACGTGTTTCGAGCTCTCGCTTTCAACCAACCATCGAGCTCAAAGAGCACCAAATTAGTAAGAATGACGTCACCTTGTAAGGTGGCGCCATGATGAATGGCGTCACCTTACAAAGGTGACGCCATTCGAATCGACCAATTGAGTTGCTCATTCTTGGTGCACGGTTGTCCAAAAGACTCCGGAAGCCTGAGTCACCATCATTCCCCCTTTTATCTGATTTGACGATAAAACCTTTTGTAGTCCCTATGATCACTGTTCACAGAATTTATCCCATTCTGTCATTCATTTTATCAGTTCACCTTTATCCCTCCATCTTTATCACTTGCTCAAGGAAATAAACACATAAAAGGGACTGAATGTGACCCGTCGTTATGTGTGCGTATACTTAGGAGCTTTTGTCGTATTGAAAAACAGATGCTTAAAAAGACAGCACCTGTCTTCTTTTTGTGACCATCTGTATGCAATGAAATGCAATGAAGTCCTTTAGTGCAAAATTGTAGCAATCTAATAATGCCTTTGCCTGCGCTAATTTGAATTATTTAGTACACGGACGTGTCCTTATGGAAAAAACAGCCGCGACATGTGGAAGTGAGGACACATGATGTGCAGCAGTAAATTCCCAAACTAAATTAAAATATAATAAGACTCGGTATTCTATTCCCACTACGACGACACACCCCTCCCTCATACTCTGAGTTCGTTAAGGGACGGTTATTTTGTTTATTGCATAGAGTCCTGCCAACATACAAACACTAGGTCTCTCTTGCAGTCACATCAACAGAGGCGGCAACGACGTGGCCTGCTAGCTAAATTCGCCGGCATAAATCTCCTGGTAAGTGTCGTCGCTATTTGCCATTTTTACGGCACTTGAACGCCTAATGGATCCAGGAGTGTTTCTACTATCTACTCAAATTATCAAGTAGGATTTTTCAAGTATTACTCACCCCGGCTCCCGATCTCACCGCATTCAAAATGCGTTTAGGGAGAAAAAAAAATAAATCCAATGCTGAGAAGTTCAGTCATGAACAGCGCTAAACAATTCGACTGAGTGTAGTTTAGCATTTAAAATACACTGAAAGACAAAAAAATGTATCTCATAACAGTAAATTACTCCTTCACGATTCCAAAATCCCCAGGCTTACCACGATAATACACTTTCTGAGTGAGAAAACACGCAAATAGCAAATCCGGCTGGCGGCACCAGCTTGAAATTTCCGCACCAAACGTCGTGACGTCATAGATTACGCCGTAGGTCCTACGCAGTTCCTAATTAGTAAAAACGAAGTAAATTGCCGTCTGACTCAGCTATACCTTTCCAATGGCAAGCTTCTTTAAATTTCGTTCAGCCAATGCCGCCAAAACACGAAAAATACAGATTGAAATCTGTGACGTCATGTACAGTGAATGGCGCAGTAAATGTGCAGTAAATGGGGAAATTGCCTGCAAATTATGCAAGGCTAGATCCGCCGGCTACCAACAACATCCTCAACCTCAGTAAATGCGGCGCAAAATTTAAAAATGAAACTCCTGCCGTGATTTTTTCCTCAAAAAATGAATATATCATGGCGAAATTAACGACAATAAAGCTCTCTGACGACATATTATCAATACAAATCGACAACTGTTGATCAATAGTCGAAGTTAATTAGTTACGTTTAACATCAATATGCATCGCTTTCATAATGTGCTATTTCAAGAAGTCAATGTCGTATTCAGGTTCATTTAGACTAGTGCCCTGTTACGAGGCTGTGACAAGACAAGCACTCGTGTTTTTGCATCGAACCGACGTTGCAGGAAGGCATGATGTTACCTGAATACCACGTTACTAATGTCGTACCTATAGCGCAGCAAAAGATAAAAGTTCCTTCAGCGTTAGATTTATAGTCTTCAAAAGTGTACAAGCCACATCATATATGTATTCATGCTATTCGAACGACGCGCCGCACATCGCATATACCTGTATTATTTGCGCAGGGTGCCATAGTGACGAAAGATCCCAAAGAACCCAATGGCTTCTCGGTGGTTTCTGAAGGACGCGAGTACAGGTTCCAGGGTGAGTGAGTATACATACCACTCAGGCTTTTGGAAGAAACGACCATGAGTACTTGTGCGCCACCAATTACGCGCTCTGTCTGTTTACTACTTTAAAAAGGAATTCCCACGCTTAGGCACAAATAACTGCCGTGGAAACCTTGACGTACACAAGCCTGGTTAATCGTGACAACTAAAATGCTCCAGTCAACGCTTTCAAATCTGTACCAAATTATTGCTAATCATTGTATTGCGCTCGAAACAACAGGTGAACAAGATATTCTGCGACGGTGGAGGGATGAACTATATTAAACTTCGTGGACAGAGGAACGTCAGACATTTACTTCTCGCACGCTGTAGTTGATCGACACAAGCCGAAGTCAAAATGAAAGCCGCGCGGGCTTCCCAAGTTATAGCCTGCGGTCGAATGAAATTTGTCCTGGTTCGGAAGATCAGCCCCCGACCAACGCCTTTCTAACGCTTTCTTTCCCTGGACGACGAAGAGTTACTGCCCGAGGAATCCGTATACAGTTGTGTGCGTGTGTGTGTGCGACGTGTGCTACAACCGGATAAAAAGGAAGCATTCCCCTTCGCAGTACCACTCGCTCTTCGAGCTTTCAATTTATTAGCCATCCCTCTGCAATCTCCTATAGCTTCGTAATAATCGTCCAAGCTTATATGCTCAGAGCGTAGAAACTTCTCCCTCAATTTAGAAAGTACACGTTTTCAGAGATTCCCGTTCTAACTTCGGCTACTGTCACGCAGATTACAAATTTTCCTTTTGTTAAGTGTACAAAGTCGAGCACCGGATCTACAGCATATGCCTCTCCCGTATGAATATAGCTTCAAAAAACCACATGAATTGAGCAGACAATACAGAGCGCGTTCGTTGTTGCCTTCGAATGTAGTGCTCTACTTGTGACGTAACTTCAAGTGAACTGAAATAGACGAAAAATCACCCTTTTGTCGGTGGGATCTGAATCCAAAGGCTTCCAATTACGCGTCCGATGCTCTACCACTGAGCGGACTCACTCGCTGGATTCCGTGCCGACCGGTTGTGCCCTCGCAATCTCCGACGTCAGCGTAGCTCTGGCCGACTGGGCTGGCCCTACGTCATCTCCTGACCCCGACCTCTGACGACAGCGTAGATCTGAGCTACTGGACGTGCCCTACGCCATCTCCTGACGCCGACAAGAGCTCTCGCAAGTGGTGCCCCATCCTCGGACATCTGTGACCGTGTTTCCATCTTTCCTATCTCCCCTATCCCCTCGATATGTCCTCGCTCGCTGTCCCAGTGCATCTCTCTCTCTCTCTCTCTCATATATATATATATATACATATATATATATATATATATATATATATATATATACCTTTAATTCTATCCTTTTAATCCCTCCTCACCCCCCTCCCTTGTGAGCTACTGTTGAGGTGTCGCACCCTGATGCAGACGGTTACGGGGCTCACTTTTCTCTTCTTTTCCCTCTTATAGCCATATCTCTACCACTGAGCTACGGCGGAAGACAGTTCTTTATACATATCACTAGGTATTTCGGTGCTCGTAATACCAGGGAGTGTTAGCCAGTGCCGCTTGTAGCCCCGGCGGCTAGCGTGGAACTCATTTTTTTTTTACTTTTTGCCAGAAGGCGGAACGTGATCTTTGATCTTTGCACGGGACCGATAAACCGTAGTATGCTAACTTACGCCATTCAATCTTCCGTGGCGAGGCCTCTATGAATCGCAGGCCGCAAAACTTTCTTTGCCAACTATTTCTACGGCCTTTCATAACATCGCCGGCTGCTGCCAGATGACGCTTCGCCGCTGACGCTTTAGAGTTGAAGTCAATTAGCGAGTACGCGGGGAGTGCGTCGAGGCGTGGCATTGTGGCTTAAACTTAAGATTGGGATCAAGACACGTAGCCGGCAATATGCGGGACTTCGATTTAGAATTATACGCGGCTATTGTTCCCGCGAGAACCTCTGTTTTGCTCCGCGCAGCTCCAAGCGAGGAAGAGCGCGACACGTGGGTCATGGAGCTCGAAGAGGCAGTCCTTCGACAGATGGTCTCTCGTCGAGCTTATCACGTAAGTGACTGTTATATTTCAAGCATGAATGGCACGTTATATATACATAACTTGCGTTGACGTCACTGTGGTCGCTATCTTCACGTACCAGCTAGTTGAAATGCTGCGTGAGCTCTAGCTCGACCGTGTGGAGCAAGATAGATAGATATGTGGGGTTTAACGTCCCAAAACCACCATATGATTATGAGAGATGCCGTAGTGGAGGGTTCCGGAAATTTCGACCACCTGGGGTTCTTTAACGTGCACCCAAATCTGAGCACACCGGCCTACAACATTTCCGCCTCCATCGGAAATGCAGCCGCCGCAGCCGGGATTCGACCCCGTGACCTGCGGGTCAGCAGCCGAGTACCTTAGCCACTAGACCACCACGGCGGGGCCGTGTAGAGCAAGAAACGATGACATAAGGTTAGTGCCGGGGCCCCTTCCAATGCCTTGGGTCCCCCTTGACGCGCCTGCCGAACAAAAGAAAGCGGGGTTAGCACGAAATAATGCGAGGAGTGAAAAACTACCTGTCGTCCCTTGCACTAGCACTCTCATATGCGATAAAAAGTCGCGGTAGCCACCGTTTTCAGGTACCCAGCACAGAGAATCTTTCTGTGACGTCACGTGCCAGTTACGTGTATTTAATACGCAACGCAGATTGATAATCAATCCACCACGTTCAGTTTTGTTCGAAGTTTAGTTGTTCATGAGCGCTCAGCACGAGTTGTGCTTAAACTGATTGTCTATGTCACCGATCGCACAGGAGAACCCTGAACGGGGGCGGTATAGGTGGGTTTTGCTTCTGGTGTGACGTCAGCGCCCACACAATCGGCACACGTGGGCACCAGAGAAACTTAAAAAAAAAACAGCATTCCATTTGCGTGCACCCAAGGCTAAAGCCATCTTCTTTTCCTTCTCACAGATTTATTGATCATTCCCTCCACCCGTACAGCTTTCTGCACCACACTTTGTTCAGCCCTGCCTCGGCAAGATCGGCCTACCTTAAACTATGCTATCATTACGTGTGATGACCTCATCTTGTGACGTCATGTTATGCGATTTCACATATTTTGGCGATCAGTGACATACTGTACATGTCACAGACCACCAATGGGAGACGTTCGGTGGATTTAGTGGCTGACGGTTGTCCCGTCAGCGATGTCCTCTGTTCTACGACCACTGGCCGATCGGGGCCGCATCAGCAGACTTTAATTACCGTCTCTCAATCTTTTATTTTCTTCTCAGTCTTTACTTCTCTCTCTCTCTCTCTCTCTATATATATATATATATATATATATATATATATATATATATATATATATATATATATTGTAATCCCTCCTTATTCATTTTCTTGTGAACCACAGTTTAGGTGTCGCACATTGCTGCAGATAGTTGCGGTATTCACTTTGCATTTTTTTCCACATTGAAAATCACTCCCCCACTCCCACCCCTTGTGTACATGTCGTATACAGCGTCGATTATTTGCCAGCGTGACGTCCTGATGACGTCACATGGTGAAGTAATCAAGCCGGAACTTCTGGTCACGTAACGTTTCGCATAGTTAGTGCCGACACCAAAGGTCGTTTTTTGCGCATGAAGAGTCACCTAACGCTTCCCCTTAAAATGCTAAACGGTTCCAACGGTGAAATTTTCATGCTTTGGCTCTAGTGCCGAAGCCATGCGCTCTCATCGCTATACGCAGTCATATGGATCAGACAATGTAGAATGCCTTCGAGAATCTTCCTCATGCACGCAAGCATGTTCGTACGCGTGGTGCCTTTTCACAGCGCTGATGATTCACACAATTAATGCCCTTAGTAATGGAGGCCAGCACGCTGCGTTTACGCAATACTGGCCGAGTGTCATCGAGCCATCGTTATGTTATAAGAACTGGCAATCCAAACTGATAAGCCAATTTGCGTCGTTTTCTTTTTTTTTTTTGTAGCAGGAGCATCGCGCGACACTTTTCTTTCACTACTAAGCACTTATACTTCCGATTTTCTGGTTATACAGAGAAAAAGTGTTTTTTTTTTTAACATAAATTGGTGCTTGTGGTTCAAGCTTATAATGGACACTTATCCCACTGTCCACATATGTGGACGCACTTGTTCTTTCCAGTGCCTCGGACTAGCGGAAAGATATTAGCAAGAAACGTTGTGTATAGGATCGACTGTGTAGGCAACGTATCTTGACTTAGCCCCAATGTGCTACGTATAATTTCAGTCCATCACATTAATGAAAACATCAGGGTGTTCAACGGATCGGTCGACGTGTTGCTTCCCCACACCAAAGTCAACGTAATTAGCATAATTATCTTTTTGCTTGAAATTATGCAGCCAAACAAAATTGCATGCGCATTTTAAGCCTGAAGATTCTTTTTTGTGTGTGTGTGTAGAAATTGAGCATTAGTGGCTTCAGAAACACTAAATATTTAAATATACGCTAAATTATATTACTTCGCAAAGCTACCAAGAAAACAACAACACATTACCTGATTATTTTTTCTTAGGATGGGATGTTGAGTGTCTTAAAAGTATTTTGTGGAGAATTTAGACATTTTCAGAGAGTGCATCATAATTCACGCCTTAAAGGGATATAATATCGGAGCACAACTTTACCGAGAATAAAGGGCCATTAAGTGCCAGAATATTTAATAAAGAGTGACTAAGTTCACTAAATGACTGCAAACAGCTTAAATCGTTGCGACACCTGGCGGAGCAGGCCTACGCACTTCTTTCTACGTGGCTTCTCGATCACCTTTAGCAGAGCACGAAACACCGTGTTACACCTAAGATTATCACAACGTGCGAGCGCCACTACCAGACACCTACGTCGAGGGTCAGCGTCGCTTCCAGAATTTCCGGGGTTCTTTGTTTCACAGAAACTTCATATGCGAGACGCTTTCATGAATACACAGTGAAAACATTTTTTTTTCGGCTACTCGCAGATTTGGGACAGGCGATACATCGGGCCCACTCTGGCCCTCGTGAACGCCAAGCTGCAGGACGCTGGACTTCTGTACGAGGAACTGGCATGCAGTCTGCACTGTGAGCGCACCAAAGGAAATATGTACAGACCATGCATGTAAACGGGGCAGGTGCCATCGACATACTGAGGCGCTAGTAGCGACGTCCCGGCATGTAGGCTCCGCCCTGCCCAAAGCTCGTCACCGCCCTATCTGATCACGTGACAACTGGCACAGCAGCTGCGAAGCTGCCTCCGAGCGCAGCGCGTCGGGTAGTCTCCCGCACGAACGCCTCTGGAGTCTCCTCGACGCGCTGTCTCCCCCTTCCCTTCCCTTTTTTTTTCTTAACACGAAAATTGTTTTATGCCGAGGTCAACCACGGCTCTGCTGACGTATTTCCTTCACGGATATGACGTTGTAAAATATATACTAATAACAGGTTGCAAAGAAGAAAAAATGAGAAGGAACGATTTTGTTGCGCGGCGTCGTACGAGCAACCTGTCGATTAGCAGCGCGCGGCGCTAACCACTATGCCACTGAAGCATATGTTGTTCAGGAAGATAATGGCAAGCCATTTATATACACCATGTGTACACCATGGGTTGGTCCCCACAGCTCACCGATCTTTAGCGCGTTTACATTGTCAGTAGCGAGACGGTGCGACGGGCTCACGTTGGGTAAGGTCCCTAGATGAAACATCTTGTTTCATCTAGGGACTTTAGCGTTGGGCGCGCTCTAAAGGTCGTCGCCTCCACGGAGCACCGCCTCCAGGGGCGTGCTTTATCCTGCGCGCGCGCTTATCACGTGATTCGAGAGAGGACGAAGGCCAGTTGGCTCGCTGCCACGGCGGCGTTTACGAAAGGAACGCGCTGCTCACACACGAACTAAGAATTGTGATGGTTGTTCGCGCTTGTCCTCTACATAGACTATTATACGGATAAGTTTAAGTGCCGCCATGTGTAACCTTTGTGTTTTGTGTTTCCCGTCTTTAACAACTAAACGAACAATGTTACGGTAGACGCGTACGCATCACAGCGGTTTGGTTGGTGCATACGACGTTTCATAACGTTATTAATTCACGTCGCTATATAAAAACAATAAAACATCAGCTTAACAGCGCAAGATGGTGGCATACACATCTATTAGGTAAAACAGTCCATACATGTGCGCTCGTTTCGTGCGTCTTCTTGAACAGCGCGCTTTAAGTGTCGATCTGTGACAGTAGTTACTCCGCGCTCATCCTGTCTATGCTGATTTCGTGCTTGCTTTCTGCTTGAGCTCTGCGCTGCAAGTTTCGAGCTGTTTGCCGTTCTGGACGCGACTTGGCAATTTGTTGCTGTTGCTGAAACAATGCTAAAAAATGGCAACATATCCACGGAGTGAATGATGGAGAGTGGGGCGAAGCATCCGTCCGTCCATTCGTTCTTGCTTCCGTCCTTCTATGCGTCCGTCTGTGAGACCATCCATGCGTCCATCCGCCCGTCCGTGCTTGCATCTATTCGTGCATCCACACGTCCATCTGTGCGTCCGTCCTTGCGTTCGTCCATGCATCCACCCCTGCGTCCGTCCATGCAGCCATCCGTGCGCCCAACCATGCATATGTGTGCGTCCGTTCGTCCATCTACTCAACACTCCAAGTACCACCATCACGCATCTTTTCATTATATATTCCCCATATAGAAGCACCGCCACCCAGCGGACATTTCAAGGACTAAACGAGAGGTGGCACACGCACGCTTTCTTACGGCTTGCGCTTCGTGTCCACTTCCCACCTTTAACCACCTCGAGTTCGTGATATATACTAGTTATTTTTTTTATTTAATAATACTGTCAACCCTCGCTTGAGGGTCATAACAGGGAGGGAGTACAATATGAGTACAAACAGAACACCTAAAAAAACCACTAAGCAATAAACACAGCAAAATAGAATGGGCAGTACTTCAACCATTACCAAAATAAGCAACAATTTCTCTGTCAAAAGTTTGCACATCGGTACTATTAATAACATGTTGGGGTAAAGAATTCCATTGTTCTATAGCATCCGGGAAAAATGACCACGGAAAGATGTCAGTGCGAGCGCTGAAAGGTTCAATGGGGGCATCGTGATTCAATCTAGTGCTACGTTTTCCGGGAAGGCGTATGTGCTCGTCTTTAGGTATTTTGAATATCTCTTGGATTATACGAAATAATGTTTTGAGTTTTTGTTTCCGTCTTCGAATTTCCAGTGATTCTAAATTCTTCATTGTATTCATGGCACTGCAGCCCAACACTCACTAAACCTTTCTAAAACCAAGGAGGTTACGCCCAGCGAGTATAACGTAGCAACCCTTTATTGTCAAATGGTGCTCAATGTACATGCCAATAGCTGCTAATGGGGAATGAGAGACAGGAGAATTTGGTTTTTAGTTAACGCGCACACTGCGAAATTTTATTGTTCAATAACGCACAGGACAAATCTCCCACCGGCACCACCTTGCAGGTGAAAACGTAATACTGCTTACACACTACGGCTACGACTACTACGAAGGACGAACGGGTGGCGATTTAAGGAGCTTCGCCCCTAAAAAGCGCTCAACTACCTCTGTTAAGACACGCTTCACTTTCGTGATATACAGATTGCTAGATAGAGAGATCAGCCACTTTTTTTTTTACGTACCACCGCCTTTTTTTCTTTTTTTTCATTCTTCCACCTTAGCGCTATCGCGCCTCACGTGAACGGATTCTTTCCCTAGGAACTCGACAGTCGTTGGTCTGCTGAGGAGGCAGGTCAAAGAGCGCGATGGCCGGGCGTCATACGGGACTTGCTGGTGAGTATGTCACGACAGCCTGCGGCGGCCTTACGTGGAGGTCATTTGTAACATCAAACGCGCCATAAAGCGCTGTTATGCTGTACTTCGACCTACTTTTGATTTTTCCGCAGACGTTCCTTACAACTGCCCGTGCCACCATGGCTCTGTTTGAAAACCTAAAGGTGAGCCTTGCAGATTTTTTTTTTTAAATCACCGCCATATCCAAAAAGTGAATGATGTTAGAAGAGCTTGCTCGGAGGTGCACGGTGCGTTTCTTGGCGAGACCATTTCTGTAATAAGACTTGTTAACCAGCCGGCGCATGATGTGTACGTCGAAGGCAGCGTTGTTGGGCACAATCCGCGGCCGGCACTGTACAGTGTTGGTCACGTCGATCGGCACGTTAACCACCTACCCCTTTATGCCATACTGACCCCTATCGTGAGTCAAAAGTCTATAGCGCTCATAACAGTAGGAAGGGCAAGATGGAAGCTTGCGTTGAAAAATCTGTAAACAGGAGTTGTATCAAGCCAACGTCGGCTCGGCACAACCCTTGTTTACGGATTTTTCAACGCTCATAAATGGTGGTGGTAGTGGTTAGAAGAAAGAGGAAAAAGGCACCTAATTTCTGTCTGCCTTCAGGCGACACGGCGCAATGCCTTATAGGGGTGAGGGGAAGGAGGGATAAAAAGAATAGAAGGAAAATAGACGAAGAAGTAGACAGGCAAGCGACGGAAAAAAGAAGGAGATAGGAAAGTGGGGATCCGGTCGAAGCAGTCCAAGGGCGGGGCTCCACAATGCGAGAGATGCACGGCGTCAGGAGACCGCGGAGGGTGAACCAGTCGGCGGGAGCTACGCTGGCGTCGGAGATCGCGAGGGCACAACCGTCCAGCTTGAAATCCTGCGAGCGAATCCTCATAAATGACAGACGTAGAGCTAACAGAACATTATCAAGGGCTCAGCAGTTTCCTCCTCCTCTCCGCGTGCACTGCATAGCGTGTCTACTCCTTCGTATTTGGCCCGATATGGTTTGGTTCACAATACTGCTGTCCTAGCCTCCAACAGTAGAGAACTACCCCGAGTATTATCATAGATCCTTTCTTTGGCAACTTCCTGCTTAAATGTTCGATAGATCTCTAGTGCGAACTTCTCAATCATGCCAATTCTTCACATGTCAGTCTCCGTTTCCTTCACCTTCTTAACCAATGGTTATTTTTTTTTGTTTGGCCCCCTGCTGTTTTCCAAGTATTTACCAGTCAATTTTCTGGTTCGCTTCCTACATTTTGTATCGACATTCTTCATGTACAAGTAGCTGAATACCTTCCTAGCCCAACGCTCTTCCCCCATTTCTCTCATCATCATCATCATCATCAGCCTGACTACGTCCACTGCAGGACAAAGGCCTCTCCCATGTTCCGCCAGTTAACCCGGTCCTGTGCTTGCTGCTGCCAATTTATACCCGCAAACTTCTTAATCTCGTCTGCCCACCTAACCTTCTGTCTCCCCCTAACCCGCTTCCCTTCTCTGGGAATCCAGTTAGTTACCCTTAATGACCAGCGGTTATCCTGTCTACGCGCTACATGCCCGGCCCATGTCCATTTCCTCTTCTTTATTTCAACTATAAAATCCTTAACCCCCGTTTGTCCCCTAATCCAATCTGCTCTCTTCTTGTCTCTTAAGGTTACACCTACCATTTTTCTTTCCATTGCTCGCTGCGTCGTCCTCAATTTAAGCTGAACCATCTTTGTAAGTCTCCAGGTTTCTGCTCCGTAGCTAAGTACCGGCAAGATACAGCTGTTATATACCTTCCTCTTGAGGGATAGTGGCAATCTACCTGTCATAATTTGAGAGTGCTTGCCGAATGTGCTCCACCCCATTCTTATTCTTCTAGTTACTTCAATCTGGTGGTTCGGCTCTGCGGTTATTACCTGCCCTAAGTAGACGTAGTCTTTTACAACTTCAAGTGCACTATTACCTGTCTTGAAGCGCTGCTCCTTTCCGAGGTTCTTGTACATTACTTTCGTTTTCTGCAGATTAATTTTAAGACCCACCTTTCTGCTCTCCTTGTCTAACTCCGTAATCATGAGTTGCAATTCGTCCCCTGAGTTACTCATTTCTCTCAATCGCTTCTCAAATTTTATCTCGCTGCTATAGCTTCCCTGCCCTCAAATGATGTCCATCCCATATCCCCTTGTACTCCCTGATTTGGTGTATTCCCGTGAGCTCCAACACCTTGTATGACGGCGCGCCATCTAGTGAATATTGTTGGAATCACCGGAGAGGCGACCAGAGTGAAGCGGCGACCGAAGAAGTGTATAGTGGCAACACCGGTGTACACGCTGGACGACGCCGCCGGACAGAACGCGAGCATAAGAAGCTTGCCGAGCAAACTTCTAAAACCTTTCAATTCTTGCTTACAATAAGATACAGCTGAGCTAGTCGGCAGGTATTCGTGTTAAAATACTATAGGACGTCCCAACATGGACATAAGAGTGAATTTATGGCACCACAGACGCCAACTAATTGTTGGTCTGTGTTGGTGGTGTCTTGGCTTTTTTCTTGTGTCCTTGTTCGGATGCCCTAGTCTGTCTGACATGAAATTCTTGCTCTCAGACTTCGATTGCAACCAACTTCAACAACGTAAGGATCAATTCAGGAAGGCATATAGTTTGAAAACTGATATATGTCGGCTTTTAGAGACAACAAGGCGTGTTGGAACTTTGCTAGAAGATGCACGTGTGTTCACCGTATAGTGAATAAGTGGCTAAGGTGCTCGCCTGTTGACTCAAAGGTAACGGGTTCGATTCCGTCCACGGCGGTCGCATTTCAATTAAAGTGATACGGTGGGTGCCCGCGTACTGTGCGATGACAGTGCAAATTGACAGTGCAATTGAATTGACAGTGCACGGGATGATCGATAGCCCTCATTACGGTGTCCCTCATAATTAATTCAAGGTTTTGGAACGTAATATTATTATTATTAGAATGCACGTGAGCTTATAAAGAACCTCGAGCTGATGTCCGGTAGTGCACCGTCGGCTTTAAACACTGCCAAAAGTAGTTCGTAACTTGCAAACTTTTGTCATGAAAATGAGTAGAGGCGCGATGTTGTAACAGAGCATTTGAACTTTTCACGTTCCACAATATCTTCACACGTGCTCCTTTCTGTTTTTATGTTACCTACCTATCGCACGTGTAACTGCTTTCTAATCCAAACCGCGCCCGAATGACTAAGAACCCTCGAGATAATCTTAGAACGTTTTCACGAAATCGCGCGCCCAATGCGAACATTAGAGTTTCTTTTGGAACTTGCGCGGCCGCTGGTGATAACGCTGGAATCTTTAATTAAGCATGTATTAATGCCGACGTGTTTCACCACTTGACAGATAATCGAGAGGCGAGGCTCTGTTCGCCGCTATTATTGTACATAGTGTATACTGCTGCAGTTTGAGTTTCCAGGGCTTAGGTTCGCACGAATAAATAGTTTCGTCTTTAACACCTACTGCTGCTTTCATGCACGTCACGGCCGCGGAACAATATAAACAGAATAAGTTTGCATATGTGACGCGTTTAGTTGTGTACCTACGTGCAACAAGAGCAAGAGAGCACTTAGTGATAACGCGTAAGCATAGATATAAAAAATCATTGTACCCCGAGCGTAACTGGAGCCAGGCTTTTGACAAGTGGTCTTGCCTTACTCAATCCAAGAACTTTCCGATTAATTGATTGATTGATATGTGGGGTTTAACGTCCCAAAACCACTATATGATTATGAGAGACGCCGTAGTGGAGGGCTCCGGAAATTTCGACCACCTGGGGTTCTTTAACGTGCGCCCAAATCTGAGCACACGGGCCTACAACATTTCCGCTTCCATCGGAAATGCAGCCGCCGCAGCCGGGATTCGAAACGGCGACCTGCGGAAGAACTTTCCGACGTCTTGTGCACACTTGTAAGCGTTGTACGCTGTCCCCCATTCATAAATATCAGTTGGGAAAGGGCACAAGCGAAGACAGAAAGTAAATAGGGCGTGCAGAGGAGGAAGTACATCAATGAATGAATTAATTTAATTAATTAATGAAACCTAGAGCGTCCTTTTCTTTCCTTACTTTTATTTATGAGCTTACTCTTTATTTACTCATTCCAGCACTCCAGCTTCAACTACGTTAAAAACTTGACCCACCTAAGCGGTTACATCAGGATAATGGGCATTAGACGTACCGATTGATTGACTGGTTTATAGATCATTTTAACCTGGCGCAACCCACCACGGTAAATCGATGGATATCCGATACTAGGCATCAAGGTCGGTACAGCCACGAGGGTGCATCCACGTCAAACGATATATAGCTGCCATACACCAAGAGTCACATTTCACCTGCTATCATATAACACTACACCATAAGCACTACTTCTGTGATAACAGGTTTTACTTTCGTTTTATACCGATTCCTATGATGGAAAGATCAGCCAAACGATTTTTGTTTGCGTCACAGGAAATGATTCTTCCGGGCCTATTGGCGCAACTGGACACAATGCAGCCACGAAAGAAAACTGCCACCATGCTCAGCCTGCTCAGGACGCAAGCTGCAGGTGAGAAGAAATGGCTGGGACGCAAACAAACAAAAAAAATGCTTCCTACGTACCGTTGCGGTGACTGAATTCGGAAGAAATTTATCGCGGGCCTCCAGATGCTCTTGTACCTGCAAAGCCGCGCGAACCTTTCCCCGAGAAAGGAAAATATTCGTCGATTCCTCACGCCGCCTGCCATGCCATCTTATACGGAGCAATAACCTTTCCGCCCCACCAAGTATACTATCACTTCGTTTTCAGTCTTAGAAGCGCCTCTTTTACATAATCTTCTTACAGGCTTTATGAGCGTCGGTAAGAAGAGGAAACGGGACAAACATCAAAGACTGCATGCGTCAAGTCTGCAGACTAATCGAATCGTGCCGAATAAGTTATATATATAGGCTGTAGTGGCCCTCACCTAGGCTTGATCTAGACGTAAGTCGCAATACCTATGTTTGTATCCACTGCCACATGCTCTTAATTGATGTTATGGCTACCCAGTAAAAGACAATCATCGGCAAAAGAGTTGCTACTGGAAACAGTGCATAACGGCATTATCAGTATCAAATGGCGATGAATATATATATATATATATATATATATATATATATATATATATATATATATATATACATATATATATATATACACCCACTGCTATACCCACTGCTGCTTACGGAAAAAATACCAAATCATCTCACGTTCAAAAAAACTTGCCACCACACCCCAAAGAGCCAAACGTTGTTAACCTTTCCGACAAAGAACTTAGCAAAGAAGAATTGAGTATACTATCACGCGGACTTACATTCTGCCCTGGCAACGGAAGGTATGATGAATTCACTCTCCTAATAGACCTAGACAACTTCGCACAAAATTTACGATTGGAGGAATATTTCTTTGATAAACCCGAAAAAGATAACGCACTTTTTCGTGGGGTAATCGAACGGCAATGGACCCCAGACGCCAACAGAGATCGACATCTGGATCTCTATATAGACGCGGTTCAAAAAGATGTTATACATGCGTACAAAGTGCACAAACGAAGCATGAATAACATATCAAAAAGAGAAAAAGAGGCACTACTCACGTTGAGCAACTGCGAATATATATCCCCAAACTGCTCCACAAGTTGGTTACGCCAAAGTGCGCTTCCCCGAAAAGTGAACAAGAGAGCATATTTGCGCCCGTTGATACGTGTATATAATAGGATAGAGAAACAGCAGCACACAAACGCACTAAGCGCTATGTCAGTCTCGATCATGTTGTTCTCGCAATAACTGGTTTTTTTTTAATTATAATATCGTACTGCTATAGCGCAGCTCAATATGAGATTGAAGAAAAGTTACAACAGCGCAGAAGATAAACACAGAAAACAGCACGAGTTTTCCATCTGTGTTTCCGTTCTTCGCTGTCGCATCTTTTCTTGATGCTCAAACTGAGGCGCGCTGCACGATATTACAATGCACCAAGTCGCCCAATCTGCAGTGCTTGTCGTTTCCTACGCAGAGTAAAACTGACGGCTCGCGCTGAATGTGCCCCTTCATTTTTTTCGGAGCGCAGGCCTCGCCGTGGACCCGCTGTCCGCGCTGATACGCCGGAACCCGGAAATGACCTCAGAAGGCAGCGCTTTGCTCCAGCCGGCACTTCGAGGTTCGCGCTCCCGCCTACACCACCCGTTGTCCGACATGGCGCACGCTGACCACGTGGAATTCATGTCCAAATTAGGTGCGCGCAATTCATACACAATACAGCATGCATGTGACATACATATACATATCCATGTAACAATACACGTAAAGTATCGTGCTTTAAGAGCCTCATCACAATTTTTAAAAATGATAAGGGCAACAAGGATCGTGTAGATTCGCTGTTTAGTTCGAAGGGGAAACACATAACCTGCCCCAAAATGAAAAATTGATCACACAAGGTGTAAGTACATATGAAGAAGGGAAGAAAAGCGTGGGAGTCGAAAAACGTTCAACCAATCACAGCTGCTGTTCAGGAATGAAACTTCACAAATATAAATGGTGAGCTCACGCACATAAGTATTTTTTTTCTTTTATTATCATCATCTCCATCATCAGCCTGACTACGTCCACTGCAGGACAAAGGCCTCTCCCATGTTCCGCCAGTTAACCCGGTCCTGTGCTTGCTGCTGCCAATTTATACCCGCAAACTTCTTAATCTCATCTGCCCACCTAACCTTCTGTCTCCCCCTAACCCGCTTGCTTTTATTATATATATATATATATATATATATATATATATATATATTGTAGCGATGCTGAGGCAGACAGGCCAAAAAAACAAGCAACTTTATTAGGGCGAACTTGTGCCCACAAGTCTAATGACTATGGTCGTCGAGTCCAAGTAGCCGAGAGGCACAGAGTCAACTAACTTCCTCTTCCTCGTTGTTGAAGCGCACGAACGCGTGACGCATGCCAGCCGGGTCTTGCTGGTGCTCTTGCCATGATGATTGCGGCGGCTACTTGAACGTGGCCAACCTGTCGCGGCAATATATATATATATATATATATATATATATATATATATATATATATATATATATATATATATATATATATATATATATATATATATATATATATATATATATATATATATATATATATATATATATATATATATATATATATTAAGGCTTCAGGACTTCCCCTTTCTAGCCCACTACGATGGAGCAGTGGTTACGGTGGCCGGCTGCTGACTCCAAGGTCGCGAGTTGGATACCGACCATGGTGGTCGCATTTTGATAAAGGTGTAATGTTAGAAGCCCGTGCGATGTCAGTAAGAACACCAGATGGGCGAAATTTCCGGAGCGTTTCACTACGGGGATCTTTCATAATCGCATCGTAGTATTAAGAAGTGTAGAAACCCAGTATAAATATTATTTTATTGTTAACCTTCCCTCTCTAGTCATGGTTACGGTACAATACTGCAGTGCGAGGAAAGTCGGGAATACAGCCGCATCTGCGCTGTCTGTACCTTGGTATTGTCAGTTGTGAGTGTCTGTTTCACCTATTTAATACACACGTGGTTAATAAAGCTTACTCAGAACGACAACGAGGGTAATATTGCACAATAACAATGCCAATAACCTTTTCGGTTTATAGTAACGGTGACGCAATGTCAAACGTGTTTTAGTGGGATAAGTAAAAAAAATGACACTTTTGTTTCTGTTCCAAGTACTTCCGGCCAAGCACTTACTTTCGGTTTTCCAAACATTCAATAATGCATTTTAAAAAATAAAGCTGCTACAAATCGATTATTTAGGTTCAAGTTTGAAGTTATATTGGATAGATCTGGTCTATGGGTATACCTTAAAAGAAAAGCCAAATAACTGTCACCGTAATTAATGAAAATGAATTATTCGGGTTTAATGCAAAGACAAGCGCTTTTTCAATGAGCAGCCGGAATCGCAGTGCAACCTTGCGTAGCACATCTCAACCACGTGCGCCCTTCTGCGTGGCCTGTGAGCTCCGCTTCGGCGTCGCGACCAAACTCAAGGTTATACCAAGTGGCATAAGTAGAATGAATAGAGGAAGTTTCCAGACAGGCTCGCCGATGTTTAGATAGGAGGACCTATCTTTGTCAAAGACAAAGATAGGCAAATATAGACAAAGATAGCTCATTCTATCGAAACGTTGGTCAGCATGTCTGAGGCACTTCCACTGTTCATTCTGCTTATACCACTACGTGTTACCGCCTGTCGGCTTGCATCTTGATTTTGAGGTTAATCCAAAGAATACACCAGGGCATAATAACTTACCAGTAGGTTCAAGATTAATGTTGCCTCTATTGTCTTACTGACTAGAAATGATAAAATAATTGTTCGAGGTTAACGTATCAAAACCACGATATGATTTACGAGTGACACCGTAGCGGAAGGCCCCAGAAAGTGCGAACACTTGGGGTTCTTTAGCATGCGCAAATCTCAGTACACGGGCCTTTGTACTCTGTTTCAGTAGCATTTGACCTTCACTGAAACGCGGCCTCCACGGCCGGAATTCAATTACGTGACCTTAGGGTATTCAACAGACATTACTTGGAGCATGCTTAACGATGATTACAGCAGAGTGTCATGCAGACACGTTGGGCCACCGTAGTCCATCCACGTTAGAGCGTACCGGAACGCGGAGCCTACCGGCGATTCGAAGTCCCGGCAGCGGCCAGCAACACACGAATGCCGAAAACTCGACCCTCATGTCTGACAGCGACAGCGCCGCCAGCTCCACGGCACGCTACCTCACCGCCCACAGCAGCGTCGATGCATCCGGTGAGGACGTGGTCCTTCCTACTCACTAATCCACCTTCGAATATGCACTGCAACTGAACTCTGTAGGCTGCGGTCGCTCATGCACGATCAAGTTCAAAGGGACAATAGTGAGGAAAATTATTTGTCTCGTGTTAGTAAACTACTCTTTCACAATACCAAAATCATTACGCTTGCCTCGAGAAGACGCTTAGTAAGCGAGGAGATGAAACAAAAAAGCGGCTCCACTGCTGTGAAACCTGAAGAATAGCATAGCAAGGTCACGCATTGATTCCTGTTCGCCGAGTTCCTACTGCTCCGATAACCGAGTCGTCGACGACGTTGATATTAGTGGTAAGCATGTATAGAGTTTCCTAGGCAGGAGTAGAATATTTTTAGGGAGATCCATAAATTCGGTGTGCAACATGCACACTACTATTTCATGCGCTTTATACACCGCCTGCTTGTTACGCCAGTTGAGATGCGTGTCGTCTGCAGTGCATTCCATCAGGTTGTTTCCTCTTTAGACGTAGTGACCAAGCGCCGGCGAAATGCACGTGAGAGGAGCAATCGTGCACTCTGCGATGTGGTGGCACCCTCTCTTGAGCGGTGCAGGAGTCAACCACATGTCCGAAGCATTTTAGGCGACCTTAAGCTAATTATTGCAATTACTTCTTGTTTATTGTTGTTTATTCTGTCATGTCTTACCTCGCTCGTTTATTTGAACCCGGCTTTGAGCATGCTAGCCAGGTCATATGTCTGTACTGAGCGCTTTATTGCGAGTGTGACCACGCCATTCATCGTTCATCTACGAATGGAGAAGTCGGCCCCTTGAAACGCTGCGCACTTACATCAAAATAAGAGTGCCGACGCTATCTCGAAATTCCTCCTGCACTTACCATGACGTCATACACTTTGACGCTGTGTACTAGAGCCTACGTAGTTTCTAACCGGTAAAACTGAGGTACATTGTTTACTGGGAGGGGGGTAGGCAGAGACGACATAACGAGTTTCAAGAAATAACGTAGGACCAATGTCGCCAGAGTGCGAAGAACAGACTTCTAATTCCGTGACGCGCAGAGATATCGGTGGGGAACTTACAAATGAAGCTTTGAGTGTTTTTTTCCTCTATTAATACACACCCACTATGGTATAATTCACGTTATTTTAGTTTTCAGAGTACAATTTATCAATCTCAACCAATTGATTGTTGCACCTAAATGTCCTTTTAAGACTAATATATGCGGAGAAAGCATGAAGCGACCTGTCTGATATATTACACACACGTTCCTCGTTCTGAATGCTTCACGAGAAGTACGTGCTATTCGCGGTCTTGCTTTTCTATTTTATGCCGATTCCCCACGCGCCCATGTAGGGCCTGCGCATACGTAACAAACAGATAAAAATTAATAACCCGAAAACACTTTATTCGCGCGCATATGCGAAACGGCGCGGGCCAGTAAAATGGAGGCGAGGTGAATACCAGAGATGCGAGTGTGGAGATGGTACCGGGGCTGACCTTGTGTGGCATGCTGCACAAAGCGCGCACGCCTAGGAGTAAAAGCTGCAATTCCCGCACACACGACAGAATACGCGTTCTAAATGTCCGGAACAAAAGTCGGGTCACGCGTAGCATCCGCAGCGAGCGGGTTTGACAATATCTCGGACCTGGGACGCCCTATTACGATGACGAACGAGGCCTCGTGGGTCGCAGGACTTTTTAAGGCTTTTTTTTTTTTTTGCCGAGACAGAATATACGCTCACATTTCAAAGGACAGCGACACCACGCTGTGAAAAAAAATAATCAAAACGCAATGCCGCGTTATGCACGACGCGACTGGGAGAAGAGCTTTAGCGTGCGTAACGCCACCAGTGAGGCGATGCGAAATTTTCCCCCTTTCAATTTCTCGGTTTCATCTCCTGCCTCAAATCTGTTTCGAAAAGCTGGATCGTAAAGAATTACACTGTGCGGCACGCCTACATTCAGGCGTAAGGATATATTGACTCTGGGATGACCGCGGGCACATTCTGTGCGTTGCGGAGTGACGATTTGCGTAGGCGGGCCTCATGCGTTCGTCCGCGATTAGCGTCCACATCTGGCGCATTCGTCGTAAATTACGTCTGCTGCCCGTAACGGGTACACGCAGCAAGCTATTCAAAGGTGGGTGCAAATGGTTTTGTGGTTATGAGCGTATGTACAGTCTCGCTCAATATTGGGTGCAACGCGGTGGCCGTGGTTTAAGTGAACCCAAGCCGTAATGGCGAAACCAGCATTTGCTTAGAAAACACCAGTAAGTGAAACAGTGTTTACTTCACTCGTATTTTCTACGCCGTCACCGCTTTGCAGTGTTGGTGCCAGTTTGAGCACGGACAAAATATCACAACTCATACTGGGCGCAACTGTTCAGTGGTGGTTCTCGTATACGTATGCCAAATAACCATTGTCTGAGTTGCCCTATAGACAAATTTATATAGTTTTCAAATGGCATTCCTGGTTCGTGTTACCAATCGGTTCCGTGTGTCCATTCCAGATATGCACGCCGACAAGAGTTCGAAGTCACTACTGTGAGTGTGACATTCATTTTTCTTTATTTATTTTCGGCACTGTTGTTTGAGTATATACGTGCATCGTGTACCCGAGTGCCTGGCTGCAAACATCACAATCTCAGCTCACCTTAAAATCGCATAGGTGCCACTAAGAAAAAGAATCAAACAATGTTTTACGCAGGGACGGGTGAAAACTACAAATTCTACAAGCACGGCATTGACTAACATGGCGTACCAGTCAGCCCAGTCTTACGTCATTGTACGCATGCGCCGAGTATCATTATACAACAAGCCACCAATTACTTGATAATAGCGTATATAGATTGTTCTAGTCAGATTGATTGATTGATTCGTTATTGCAGTGTGCACAAGATGTGTGTTGTGCATATTTGGGCTGCCACATGGGCCGCTCGATAATAGTTCTTATTCTGCTCAATCACGTGCTCACACTAACGGTGCATGTTGTCGTTAAAATGGGGATAACTTACTGACCCCGTAAACAACTTTCTTCGCTCACTTGAAACCCTGCCCGGTGATACCCGCACGGACGACCGCGCCTTGTAGTCTGACCGCCGTCACGGCTCAATCCAAGCGGTCCGGCCAGAACAGCAGCGATTCTTGTAAGTAGCGTACCTTTTGTACAATGTCAGACGGTGTTGCAGATTGTTCAAGGCGTGCCTTTGAGATAACGCCATTAATAAAATGTCAACAGGCGACGAGGTCACACTGTTGATCCCGAGCAAAGCGTTCTGCTTACGGAAGTAATGGTCGTGGACGCACATAAGAAGTGAAAGTAAAGTAGTCACGGACAAACGGACACCGAGTGCGAACATCTGTCTTGTTCGCGCTTCGTCACACGCTCTCTTAGACGACGGGGTGCCAAGAACTAACCAGACCGTCGCTACGTTGGGCGGAGCTACGCAGTATTTCCGTAGGCGAGCATCGTGCTACACCATTCGTGTTCGCTGCATCCGGTGGATTCTTCGGAGAAGCTTTTTTTGGGGGGTATAGTGATTTTTTTTCGTGAAAGCAGTTTAGCACACTCGGCTGATGTGTTTTTCTTTGTGTGTGTGTGCGATGGTCGATTGAAGTGAACAGAGGGCGGCAGTACAATTTTGTTCTGCGCTCTGATAAAGTTACTGAGCAACAGTTGTGATATTAAACACTGTTTACAAGGACGGTGCGATAGGAAAAACAAGAGGGTCTATAGATGATTTCCTCTCTTTGAAAATGAGAGTAATGTCGCTTCCAGAGAAACCTCATTCTACACGCATGTCAGCTTCAACAGTGGACAAAGATATCAAATAGCACTTGTGTTGAAGACCGACGAAGGACCACTGAACGTTGGATAGGTTATCTAATACGACGTAGGGCTGGTTCAGCAAATTTTAACATAACATAGGCTATTATAAGGATCGTTTGGAAATTTCTGCCTCGAATTTCAGCGAACGATCAAAGAGCTGATCGAGCGGCCCAAGGGCGTGCATTGAAAGAACAGCTTCGAAGCCACCCAGACTTTTGCTCCAAAGCTGTTACACATGACTAGTCATCGTGCTATTGCTACGCCCGCAAAGCAATTTTCGACACAATTCACTTAATTCACTTAATTAAGGCACACAATTCACTTAATTAAGGCAGTCATTACAAACCAAACGTCGGGTGCGCGGAGCTGTTTTAAGGAAAAATTCAATTCACCCTGAGAGAATCCTCTTGGTGAAATCCACTGGATGCAATGAAGTCGAAAAGTGAGGCACCATGCTCGCCTAGCGGGAGAATCGCGTGCTACAGCACGTCCACCCAAGTGGCCCAAGGCAGTGCCAGTTCGGCTACTTTTGCGTGCCTCTCGTATGGGCTGTTCCATGCTCCTTATTGGGTAGCAGAAAAACATGGGCGCTCTTTTGCTTACCTCAAGCGGTCATCTTTCCTTCGTGTTGCATCGCTCTTCGACGGACGATGATGCGCAACAGCTGACAGCTCAGACACAGACGGGACCTTCACTCGATCGGCAGCCCATTCGAGCCATCGCTGGCACGTCGACACGGTGCTTGGCCACGGGCGTGTTTTGGCAGGACGGTCACCGTCGAAGCGACAGACAAAAACGTCACCGGTACGTAGAAGATTCGTGAATCCGCTTCACTGCGATGGCAAAGAAACCCAGTACAGACGTACCTTATCGAACGTGACTTGTTTTTTACTGATCTCGATGGCAGTTCTCGACCTCATGCCCGCATACGATAACACACACACGCACCCACGCACTATCAGCGTCAAATCAAACCCGAACAACGGCAGGCCTTCCACTTATCACCATGCACAGGCACGCATATATGCGCAGAGCTGTCGAACAGGGTGCGCGCGCCTAATAATGGTGATAACTGCACGGTGTGCACTATACTATATCGAAGTCTTGCCACTGTTCCGGTTTCATTTGACGCTGATTGTGCGTACTTAAGGTTTTTTTTAATGCGAGTGCATTTTTTAGTCGGCCTATGTCAGGTATCCGGCGTTGTCCACGGCGGTGTCCACCCGCCAGCAGGTGTTATCTCTCCGCTCTCACTCCCTCTCTTGTCTTTCTCTCTTGTAGCAACGTCCACCAAGCCCGCGAGGCGGCTGAGGAGCTTGGCATCTCAGTCCCCACGTGGGAGCTGCCCGCAACACAGTGATCTGTGTTTTGGAGGACCAAATAAAAGTTTATCCAATCCAATCTGCGGGAGCGCGCTTATCCTCGCCCCTAGCGACCGGAGCATGTGGAGGGACAGAGTGTAGGAGAGAGTGGGTGCAGTGCTTCGCCGCTCCTTCCCTCGCCAATCGCTCTCTCTCCTCTCTTCTCCCTACTCTCCCGTCCGCTCTCACCTTACTCTGGACTATAGTGAACTAGACACTATACTGTCCGACCATTCGCTGGCTGGGCGCTTTTCAAGAATATCCAGAAATGTGCGCTCGAGACACCGCTGTGAAACGCAAATGCTGAGACGAGAACGCTGACGCCCTACTCTTCCATCCGCGCGCTCCTCCCTCTCGACTGTTCGCTGGCTGGGCGCTTCTCAATGCGATGGCAGAAGTTGGTGAAGGCGATTCTCTGACGCAACGGTACCATCTTTCGGTGCAAGAAATGCATTCGCATTACCTCACGATTCTCTTCAAGGAGGTGGGGGCATTTTTTTTTTTGTCGTCTCGTGAAGAGTTACCAGCTTCGCATTACAAATCAGGTGGGAGCTATGGCTGCCGTAGCACGAACTTGTCGCGCAGTCGGCAAAACATTTTGGCAGCGTTTCTGACGTGGTTGGCCGTCTGTTAGTGGCAGTCTTGTGGCCCTGCACCAACTGTCATTCCCGCTAGTATCGACGCGTACGGCGCTTATCTCACGAAATCTAGCGGTGGTGATGGTATCACCGATTGCGACAGCCCGACAGCAGTGGGGCTGCAAGCGATTGTTGCTGATGGTAAATTATCAGTGCATCACTGAGAACTAACTACTCACAAACGACAATAGCGGTAATAATAAGCACATACAAATGGAACATGCGTCTGATTCTCTTTCATGGTGATTTTGGCCAGTGATGTAGAAGCACAATTACAATACAGTGTAAAAAGCCACCAACCAGTCTATTTCCCAGCACTCTTCAACCTATATATAAAGATAACGTGCGACCCAGTTCTACACACAAAGCCGTCGGATGTTCCGGTTAGACGACGGCGTCAATAAATCTGATCTGGAATGACGGGTCACTACATACATACGACAGATTTCCTGCTGAGCGAAATCATAGCACCAGGGTCTTGTAACAAGTGCCGGTCTATAGTTTTTTAGTTTTACAGTGTGTCTTTTGAAGCTATAGCTTTACAGGAGCAGTCAAAGTAACTAATAACCGTTAAAGAATTCCGCAGCGGAGGGCTTCGAAAATTTTGTCCATCTGGGTGTCTTTAACGTGCACCTAAATCTACGTACACGGTCCTCAAACATGTAAGCTCCATCGAGAATGCAACCGCCACGGCTGGGACTCGATCCCGCGACCTGCGGGTCAGCAGTTGAGCGCGATAACCGCCTGACCGCTGTGGCGGATCAGAATAAGTACATCGACAGATGAAAAAGAAAGGAAGATCGCTTTCGCCTCGTCTTCAGTGAATGCACAACGTGAATGCGAGCTTTTTCTGCGCAGCGACCCGTGACCTCGGAGTCTCCCGGCTGCATATGGGAAGAAGCGGCTGGTCCGGCGGCGCGCGACCTGGCCGAGCTCTGTGTCTCGCTTCCCTTCGGCGAACACCTGCTGGACCTGGACTACCCGTTGTCGCTGCTCCAGCATCGATCGTGTCTTCAGGCGCTGGCCGACTTGTTCGCCTGCCCGGAACTGTTCGTGGAGTGCGTGCTCGATTCCCTTCGCCTTGCTAGTGGGGGCTTCTACACTCTAAAAAAATATCGAGTAAAAAGGGTGTCTTTTTGTCCCACAACAATAATCGTCATCAGGCTTGCGTGCGCTTCCTTTCTTGAAAACTCGGCGCTGGCCACTTTCCTATCGAGAATGCAAATGTAACCCTGATAATGGGCATGTCGATCGTGACTGGAATGTACCGGGCGTGGGGCGATAGCGCAAGGGTGGAACGCTATATAGATGACGATTATCGTGGTGGGACAAAAAGACACCCTTTTTACTCGCTCTTTTTTGAGAGTGTAGGTTAAAATGCGCTTAATCGTAAAGTTCGCCAACTAAAACTGCGCTTGGAACGAGTCACCAGAGTAAAAGCAGATAAGACGAAAGCAGACTAACAACTGATTTGTTCAAATTACAGAACCTTCTCTCCTGGAACAACGCGAGTGCGCAAAAAAAAAACTGCCAAGACGATGGTACACACGCCCCGCAAAACCCCTATCTAACCAAGAAAATCAAGCTTTTTCTCGGTGAGATAAACAGAAGGTTCACTAAGCAGCGCCTCCTCTAGTTTTTCCATGCCAGCCAGATGCGCCCCATCCAGCCGTTCACCATCCTCTCCTCTAGCACTTTCCTACTCTCGCCCATCGCCTAGCCTTCGCTTTCGCCTTGCAGTCATGGGGGAGGGAACCCATCATGTAGCGCCTCACGAGGGAAATCATATGTACCGATCCGTGGGGCAGGGGTCTTGCATTTCTCGTGTTGACAATGTTGGCGGTCACGCTGGCTTTGTAAGAGATACGGTGTTTTTAGATAGCATGGCGCCACGAGGGAAGCGTCACTGCAGCGCTACTACATGCGCCTTAATAGTGCTGTGATGCGTCATTGCTTCGAGCCACAAAGAAGGAGCACGAAAGAAAAAATTTGACTTTGAAGTGGAAAACGTGCACGTCTTCTACATCTCCAGTGAAAGCGCTCGGACGCACGTGTGATGCAAGCAGCGCCACCTAGAGTTTAGGTAGCAGAGTTGCGCATCTGTCTCCCAACCATGCACTGCGGAGAAACTGACGCACAGGCCGCGCTCGGAAAGCATGGCCGCAGCGCCGACAGCGGTCGCCGTCCACCTGAAAGCTAAATGCAATGTGTGTGCGGGTGTCGCCGCGGGTATGCATATACCATAAATGCGACACCCGCACAAGGTACTCGAGGTAATGCGCCGGTCAAAGCGAACATTTAAAACACATACAAAAATAAAGGCGTTTATCCTCCCACACGATATAGGCGGGAAAATCATCAGCCGAAAAAAAAAAGTCATCGTTCAGTTCGTATACCTTCACTGTGTGTCATTCCGACCAGACGGGCTGTCGTCTTTATATAACATCATAGGCATATCAGCTGGGGGAAGGGGGGCCGCGAGCTTCCTCCCCCCCTTTCGACAGTGGTTACCGTCGGCTTCACGCTGGGGAAACCAACAACTAAGGCGAAGCTTTCCTTCACCACAGTAATCACTCAATTATATTGTTACGAGGTAATGAAAATGTTATATACAAGGGAATGTTTTATATAGTTTCGGGCATTTCTGCAGTGAAGATTTTTCTTGAAGGCTCTTTGCGGTGCAGGCCGCCTATGCGACACTTTTGCGCTTTGTACTGTAGCATTGCAAAGCAGGCTATAGTACAAGGCCCGAAAGCGTGGTGTACTGCATTGATTTATATGCGGGGTTTAACGTCCCAAAACCGCCATATGATTATGAGAGACGCCGTAATGGAGGGCTCCGGGAATTTCGACCACCTGGGGTTCTTTAACGTGCACTCAAATCTGAGCACACGGGCCTACAACATTTTCGCCTCCATCGGAAATGCAGCCGGCATTCGATCCCGCGACATGCGGGTCAGCAGCCGAGTACCTTAGCCACTAGACAACCACGGCGGGGCCCGTCGTGTACTGTAGCCTCCTTTGTTATGGATGGGAACTAGCAATCGTTTTATGGACCAGTCGGAGTATTTGGGCTGCTTCAATAAAAAAAATTTCTTCATCGAAAATGAATAGCATCACCGCTGCTCTGTCAAAGCGGTTGTGAGCCGATGATTGTGACTAATCTTTTTAAATATTTTAGTTTTGCCGTACTGGCAGCGTCAAAAAAAAATGTTTCCGCTTTAGTTTCTGATAAATATGATCAGCATTGCTTATGGTCTAAACTATGAGAACAAACTATCCCAAACTATAAGAATAAGTATTAACCTAACCCCCCCCCCCAATACCCCGTCACTATGCAAGTGTGCGACGGCCTCTCAATAATAATGCAGACGCTGTGAAGAAGACTCCGGAAGCTTCACATGTAAGCCCACAGAAGTGGACGTTAAACACGCACACACAGAAGAATAAAACGAACTTCAGTGTGGTTTGCAGTTCATTTACCTGTTTGCAGTGCACCAGAATGACGCCAGCTCACTCGCAGGATCGGCTCGTCGACTCGCGCGTCAGAGCGAATGCTGCGCGCGCTACGCTGGTACCTGGCCGGTGTGTACTACGTCAAGCGAGGCGATGACGTCACGAAGCCGCTGGAACCGGTGCTGGGGGAGACGCACCGCTGCTCGTGGTCCCTGCGCTGCGGCCAGGCCGTGGGAGACCTGCAGTACGCAGCCGAACAGGTCTCCGTCAGCCCGCCGCGTAAGCGATGGCGTAGATATCGCGCAAAAGCGGGCCATAAAGCCTGGCACGAGTAGCGAATGACACTCTCGTTTCCCTGAAGCAGCGCTTTAGACGTAAATTAATAACGTAAACTTAAATTTAGACGCAAATAAAAAGACGTAAATTAATAACGAACACAGAGGATGTGCGCTGCATCTCAGTCTCCGTCTTTGAGCGCTGATGCAAGAATGAATTTGCACCAACTACCGTGTTACACTCTTGTCGTTCCAGAACTTCCTTACAAACACTTAGTACTGTCGCTTTTCGGAATGTTCATAAATTGAGTTTTGAAAAATAATCCTGGTACCAAATCGTTGGTTCTTGTTCAAGCGTCATTTTGGATACAAGTCATATTAGAGCATTGTCTACTTAGGATAGGGTGCAATTGACTGCTACGATAATCAATAAAGATTTATTGAATCGGTTCGTTGAAAGAGCAGCAATTAACTGCTGCGATAATCAATGAAAATTCATTGAATCAGTTCGTTGAAAGAGCAGATGATTTTCCTGTGACCATCTGGGAACGTTGCGGCAAAGTCTCAACCACGCGGTCGTTTCAACGTGGCCTCCGAGATTTGCTTCAGCAGCGCAAATAAACAGAAAGTTAACCCAGCTTTAATGAAAACCAGTCGAACATGAAGCCACTGGGTATAAAGAAGACGTCCGTTTTACTGTTCTGATTGCATTGTAGCAACTGTGAAACCGAACCGGTTACCTTCAGATTACGCACCCCATTCCCTACCGATCGAGCTACGGTGACGGTCGACCCCTTGTCTACATTATCGGATATTACAGTGTTGGTCAGCGCCACGCATGGCAGTTGCAGCGAGTGGGGAATACTCTTTTTTTTTTTCTTTGCCGGAGGGCATCACGTAGTCTGCAAACCTTCATCGAACGGACAGGTGACTAATAAGCTAGCGCATACCGTATACATATGAAGGCATGAAGTCTGCCGCGACGAGAACCTCGTTATGAATGACTGAAGCAAGTAACGAAATTTTGAAGGATTAATTGTTGCTTTGCTTAACATAAATATAGTGTAAGCCATGGCAGGTAATGAGGCCGAGGAAGGTACATGGGACGTTAACCGTACTGCTTAATTGTATTGCAGTAATTGCGACATGGGTGCGAAGAAAGTCAAGTGGACGAAAAGTGTGCCGGTGTAGCTGAATTCACAAGAGCATGGGGCGCGTAATCCGAAGGTTGCAGGCACCGTCCCCAACGGCGGCAAACTGTCTTTTCGTCCGTTTTACTTTCTTTACACCTACATCATAATTACTACAATACAAACAAACAGTACGGTAAATATGCCCTACACCTTCCTTGGTTTTATGTTTAGAAAAAAATTTATTGCCACAAACGTCAGTAACACTCAACAGAACATTTCCCTCTTAGACATAGTCTAACGATGATGACAAAACAGACGTCATTTACATGAACATGGATATGAGATGACGTTGAAATAACATGTACATTCGATGGTTCACACAAACACAACCACAAAAACTACTTCAATGTAAACAAGAGACACAAATAAAGCATAAATATGTACATTTTGCATATTTACATGTTGGCATGCATCGAAGCCTTGTAAAACAAAGAAATGGCCAGGTCCTTCGAAATTCCCTTTTTTTCAAGTTAAGCCAATGAAGACACCAAAGTACAATAAAGCCGACGTGCAAGTATATTGTCAAAGACTACGGTGTCCCTCAAACTTTCTGGGCAAATAAAGCATCCGAATATGATGCGACGCGAAACATAAACTCTACGGCTGGCATCACCGTCGCCAGTCTGGTACTGCTTTACGCAATATCTGTAGTGAATTCGCAGCTATACCCGCAAGCAATCTTCTTCCTAGAGCGTTTGGTACGCCTCCAGAGCATGTCGCTCCAGAAAACCGAAGGACATAAATACGACTGCGAGAGTGATGTCATCATATCCGGTATATTACTGATGTCCTAGCTCCGCTAGGACATCAGTAATAACCTGACTATTCTCGGTGAAAATCTGACTATTCTCGGTAATATGACTATTCTCGGTAAGAATCTGACTATTCTCGGTGAAATTTACACGAAAATACTAGGCATTTTAATGCATTTCTAAGTTATTATTACTCCATTGCAATCGAAAACATGAGTTATTTGTAGAAAGTGTAATGCATGAAATGCTTTTATTTTCCTCGTAGGAACGTGCTTGTACGCCGAGTGTTCGTCCAACGGCATACGAGCTTTGGCCCAAATTCAGCCCGAGGCGTTTAGCGTCGGTTCGTACATACAGGTCCGGCTACACGGCAACGTCAGCGTTTACGTAGGCCAATATTCAGAGGAATACGTGTTTGAGTTGCCTCCCGGATGCGTACGGTAAGCGTCGACCAAGTGTACACCCTTGGAATATTTAACGATATAACGCGAGCGTCGACCCTGGTTAAAATATTTAGTTTCGGGCGCTGCAATTCGCACATTCTTTCAAGGTCTGTGACAGGCTGTGGTCCGACTTTAATCTGTCTATGCCCAGGAAATACCTAAGCCAAGGAAAGCCAAGAAGGTCACGTTACGTCCCTATAATCGACCAGGTTCGATGGTCGATAATAGTTTAAAGTTCTTTCTTTTTTTTTCCACACCTAAATGGGAAGGGGGGGGGGGCGAAACATTCACACGGACATAACTGCCGCTAGATATACCCGATGTTTCAACAAGCGGACATGCCTTTTTCAAGGCTGCAACTTCGCGACATCGAAGAAGAGAAGTCTGCTCGTCAAAAAATCGGTTCCCCTATAGCGGCATTCCATTTCGGCGAGTTATTAATCCGTTCAAGCTTCCATCTTCCGAACTTCCACAATGGGGTAACGAAGTTTAGGGGTGTTGTTTGGTCGACTCATCCGAAAGGACTCACTAATATAAATGTTGAGTAGATGTTTCTTGGATGAAAACCCTATTGTACGATTGGATTGAAAATTTGCACCGCCAAAGTTGTATAAGATATTTTAAGTCCTCATTCTGATTCTCTACAATGTTAAATGCAAACACTTAGAATTAAAAAAAAACGTTTAAACCTTCTTGGTGCAGAGACCTTGCGAGCAAGCCTTGGTTCGAGTTCTGCGGCGTCGTCAATGTCAGTTGTCGCGAGACAGGCTTTTACGCCAAGATGAAGTTTATATCTAAGGTACGATTCGCCCTTTTTGCTGCTACTGCGCACTACTACGTTTTTACTTGACAGCCGCTCTCTTAGCGCTAAAGAAGCACTAAACTAACTGATTATTTGAAACCACATGCTCCGTGTGGAGTTAAGAAACCTTGCAACACTTTTTGAGTGTTTTCAGAAAGCGCTGCCGTTCGTTATAGTCGAGGTTTCTGAGAACACATGAGCCCAACATTGAAGTGCATTAAGTGGCTTGGACAATTCTCGGTCGGTTAAAAACAGTGGCGCAAAGAGGGAGTGGCACGCGATGCCCGCGCCTCCCCCCCCCCTTTTTTTTTGCCAGGGCATACATGGATGTAAATGGCACTTGACCACATCAAAAAGTTGCCCCCCCCCTCCACCCCTCTCTAAAACAAATTACGCCATCTCTTGCTAAATGGAAACAGGAACCATGCGTAGATGCGAAGCAGCGGGCGCTAACGCTTACACGGGCGGTGAGGTTGACGCGGGCGTTCATCGCGGCGTTGCGCTGGAGAGAAACCTGGTAGGTGGTGGTAAAAAACATTTATTTCAGAAAAAGTCTACTAGACAGTGCCGACGTGGCCCATCGGCGTGCTAGAGTGGCAAGACCCTATTCCGGGACGCCAGTGGAGCTGGAAGCTGCCCGTGCGCGCTCCACCAAGGAGCGTTGTGCAGCCAAGGTAGAGCAGCCGAGCAGGTGCTCCTCCCAAGCCTCTCTAGTTGGGATAGGAAAAGGAGATGAGAAAGGGACGGGATTAACTGGGCACGCTGGTACGACGTGATATGTGCCGGCGAGGACATGACAGGTCGAGCAGGTGCCATTGATTTCCGGCAAAAAGTGCCTGGCGACCGCCGGACTGATAAAGGTGTTCGTCTGCAGGCGGCGTAGCAGTCGTTCTTCCGCTTTCTCCGAACCGCGTGCGGGGTCCGGGTAGAGGCGGCGCGAAGCCCGGTAATAAGCCAAAATTTCGCGAAAGCGCGTCAGGTTGGTATTGCCAGATTCCGTCTCGGGACATGAAGGGGCAACGGCCCGGACAGGAGAAGCGCGGGCAGCGGCATTTGCCACCTCGTTGCCGGGCAGGCCCGAGTGGCCTGGGGTCCAGACTATACGAATGGGATGAGGGTTAAAGCGCCAAGAGGCTGCCTGTAGTAGGCTAGCCGCCAGCGGGGCAATAGAGCCCTGAAGGTACTGAGAACAGGCCGAGCGCGAGTCCGTCAGGATGGTGCGTGAGGCAGGGTGAGAGGCGGCCAAAGCTATGGCAACCTCTTCAGCGTGCGTTACTGTGTCTGCTCGAAAGGAGAGGCCATCTACGTGCTTGCCCTCTGTAATCACGGCAGTCGTGAAGTGACCCGAGGGGGAGGGACCCGAGGCGTCCACGTAGAAAACACCAGGACGATCGGAGTGTCGCGTATGAAGGGCCGCGGCGCGTGCTAGTCTACGGCCAGGATGGAGGTCGGGGTTCATATTACGGGGTAGAGGTTCCACCCATAGCTTTTGACGCCAGAGCTCTGGTACCGGCTGCAGAGGGTCTTGGTCAGATATCGGGTTAAGGCCAAGTCTGTGTAGAAGACGGCGGCCTGAAGGCGTCTGCGACAGTCGATTGATTTAGTTAACGCGATGAGCTTCGCGCATCTCTGCAAAGGTGTTGTGTACCCCCAGAGCCGTGAATCAGCTGTTGGAAGTTGCAATAGGTAGGTCCAGAGCGCGTTTGTATACTGAACGAAGAAGGACGTCCAGCTGGTGCTCGTGTCGACGACGCAGGCGAAGGTAAGGCAAGGCGTAGAGGACGCGACTGGTCACAAACGCGTGGGCCAATCGGAGGGGCTGAGATCCGCGGAGGCCGCCGCGCTTGGTAGAAACCCGCCGTATCATGCGGCTCACCTGTTCGCTGGTGCGTCTGTGGCCTGCTATTGTGGCCTTTGGATCCAAGGACGATGTGAGGTGAAGGCCAAGAACCCGAATATTTTGCACTGACGGGACGGGCCCGGACGGAAGAAAAATTTGAGGCGGCGGTAGCGGAGAGACTGAAAGAAGAGCCGATTTAGCTGGGGAGCACTCCAGGCCGCATGAACCTGCGTAGGTGTCCACCAGAAGGGCAGCCTTTTGCAGGCGTTCTTCTATTTGCGCTAAGGAGCCGGTGTTGGTCCAGATTGTGATATCGTCCGCATATAGTGCGTGTTGTATTCCCTCAACCTCGCTTAGAAGAGAGGGGAGGTTCATCATCGCCAGGTTAAAAAGCAGAGGAGACAGGACTGCCCCTTGAGGTGTACCCCGCGTGCCTAATAAGTACGGGCCGTGTTCGGTAGAATTAAGGCGAATGAAGGCGGTGCGATGTGATAGAAAGGCGCGAATGTAGTTGAAAGTCTTCTGCCCGCAGTTTGTGGTAGACAGGTTAGTGAGTATAGTGCTGTGTTTGACGTTGTCGAACGCCCCGCGGAGATCGAGAGCGAGCACAGCTTTATCGTTATGGCGCATAGTAGTCGGCTCTATGATATCGTGTTGAAGCTGGAGCAGGACGTCCTGCGCCGACAGATGCGGGCGAAAGCCAAACATCGTGTCGGCAAAGGTCCTCCTGGCCTCCAAGTAGGCGGAAAGGCGTTCGCGAACCATGGTTTCCATGAGTTTGCCTGCGCAAGACGTAAGTGAGATGGGTCTCAGTGCCTCAATACTAACGGACTTTGCCGATTTGGGAATGAATGTCACGACCGATGTGGTCCATTCCGTTGGAAGCAGAGAACCGTCCCATATCGAATTTATAAGGTGGAGTAGCGAGAGGTGTGCTTGGTCGGGAAGATTTGCCAGGAGCGATACTGTGATGCCGTCGCGTCCAGGGGCCGTGCCTCGTCGCATTTTCGTGAGTGCAAATCGTAAATAAGAAAGCGTGTATGGGGCGTCGAGGTCGTTGTTAGGGGCGCCGGAATACGTATATGCTGGGCCTGCGGGATCAATTGTGCGGCAGATGTAGCGGTCACAAAGTTCTCGCGCGAGTTCATCCGTAGTGCCCCGAAAGGCATGCAGAACACGGTGGAGCTGGCGTTGCGTTTCTCCCCTGGTGGTGGAGGGATCGAGAAGGCTTCTAAAGAGTCGCCACGCACTCTTAGAGCTCATCTGGTTTGCAGCCTTCGAACAGGTGTCTGCCCAGTTAGCATCGGAAAGTTGTGCAGAGTATGCGGCCGCGTCTGCAGTGAGGGCCTCAATGCGAGCGCGAAGTTTCCGATTAAGTTTGTTGCGTTTCCAGCGCCTTATGAGCCCGCTGCGAGCGTGCCAGAGATGTAGGAGGTGTGGATCGATTGCAGGAGTCAAATTAGAGGTTGCAAGGGTGCGAGTGTTCGCTTGTTTCAAATGGAGGGCGTATGATGCCCACGCTGCATATTCGGTCGAGGAGAGGACGGCGGGAAATGGTTGCATTCTGAACTGAGTCCAATCGGTGAGACGGGCTTGGCCCCAGTGTTGGCGCATTTTCTGCCGCGGTGTGAACGAAATGCGGAGTAAAAAGTGATCGCTGCCTAGGGTTTCGCCTAAATTTTCCCATGTAGCATCGCGGATGTGACGGGTGAGGGAGAGGTCGGCGCATGTGTCTCGCGTGACCGAGTTGCCGGAAACGGATCGGTAAGAAGCGTGAGGCTCAGCGAGGAAATGAGCTCCTTGAGCTCCCTGCCCCGGGCCTTCTCGTAGTGGTAACCCCAGTGAGGGCTGGGGGCATTAAAGTCCCCGACAATCACCAGTGGTTGTCGGGCCGCTATACGCAGCGCCCGATGGAAGAGATGCGCAAACGAAGCCCTCGCAAGGCGAGGGGGACAGTACACGTTTAAGATATGTATTGATGGTTGGCCCCTCCGCTGAGACCGCACTGATATCATGCAGTAGTCGTAAGGAAGATCCAGATCGAGGTCAATCTGTATCGCCGTGTAAGCTTTATGCACAAGGATGCATGTGGTGGTGCCGCCTACATAGGAGCAGTATCCAGAAAGGGATGGAGCAGGGCCAGATTCTTGGAGCGCCAAGACGGCCGGCTGAGAGCCAAGTGAGCTGAGGAAAAGGGAAAGATGTGAACGCTTTCGCCTGTTCCCGAAGCCTCCAGGGTTCCACTGTATGATCTCAAATTTAGACGCAACGTTTGAACGGGACGTACGATTGGTAGCCATCGTGACTGTCTTAGGTTTTATATTTGGTCCTCTATGTCCCTCTCAGAATCCTCAGAGGCAGGGAGGGGCACGGAGGCCGGATTGTCCGACGGCGGGGTGGTGGTAGCCACCTTACGACGACGCCGTGGAGCTGTACCCTCACTGCTCACCGAGCAGGAGCGGGAACGCGATGCCTTGGGTTGAAACTGGGTGGTTGCCCAGGCTTGAATAGCTTGGGTAACCTCTACTACTATGCGTTGGACCGAGAAGCTGGTGAGGAGGTGATTAATCGAAGCTTCGACGCGCGTGAGGCGTTCCTCTACGCGCGGGGTGCGCTCTTCGCTAGGGAGAGTTTGGTTAGCGGGCAAGAGAACCTGAGGTGCCCCAGGAGCCTCAAGAGCTTCTGGAGTAGATGTGGCACCGGTTCCGAGTGCTGGAGTACACATGGCTGCTTGAACCGGCGGTTTAATGGGAGTGGACTTAGCGCGAGGACTAAGCTTGGACGTAGCTGGCGTAGCCGCCTGGACAGAGGAGGCAATACCGGATGGCCTTGCAGTACACTGTTGTTGGGGTTGAAGTCGCTTATTTAAGAGTTCGAGTTGTTTAGTTAAAAGAGAATTTTGCTTTTGAAGTGCCGCAACTTGCTGGCGAAGGGCCGCAAGTTCGGGAGAAGGAGGATCGACAGAAGGGGGTGAGAGAGGCTTAGAAGCAGCTTTTCCTGCCCAACTGCTCACCTGAGGTACCGCCGCTGGTGCTTCGAGCGGTGGGAATGCTTGAGTGTCGGCGTGGAGTGGTGGAGCCGAATGATGCATGTTGGTGCTGCTGTCTGGCTGTGACGAACATGAGGTGGTCCCTCGAGGAGATGTTGAGGGCTGCTTGCGTTTCCGATATTTTCGATATTTTGCCGTGCAGCCACTGGTCCCAGTCTCATGGGCGCCGTGGCAGAGGAGGCACTTGGGGTGGCAGTCGTGGGCATTGAGACCTGCAGGTGCGGGGGTTCCACATTTGGCACACTGGGTTGGAGCGGCGTGAGGACACTGAGGTGGTCGATGACCGATGGTACCGCACTTGGTGCAAACAGGGACCGTTTTCTTGTAGGCGCGGATATACGTCGCCACGCAGTGGTAGAAGAGGAAGCGGGGTAACTTCGTGCCCTCGAAAGTCACCACCGCCGCCGCGGAATCTCCGAGTTTGCGGACCGCAAGGATAGTACCTCGAGGCCAATACAGTTCAGACTTTATCTTCTCCGGGCTTTCAGCAGGGTTTACGTTGATGACGCCCTTGCATGTATCCCCTGGTGCCTTGGCGTGGCCTCGAACGGGCAGCTGCTAATCCCCCACTTGCAGCTGGAAGTCCCCGAGGAGTCGCTGTGCCATAGGCAAAATGGTGGTGCTACAGACCAAGATGTTCTGTTCCCAGATTGGCCACACTTGAATTTGCGTGGTAGTCCGGTCGCCGAGGTAGCTGCGGATGGCGTCGCCCGCGCGATCGGCCGGGACGAATGTGCGTAGCTCGCAGGGAACGCGAGGTTTCACTACTACGATGTAGTCGTCGCGAGAGAGGCGAGGAGTTTGACGCGGACGCCACTTGCGTTGCTTCGCTGGCTGCGAGGACGGAGCAGAGGTAGGCACACCACCGGAGGGATGGCGCGCCGGCGTTCCTTGCAAGGCTGGGGAATGGTGGCCCGCCGTGGCGTCTCGTTGTTGTTGAGACGCAGGCTTCGATTTCGCTTGCTTGCGTTGCCACAGTCTCACCATGTCGTCGAGGTATTCGTCTTCTGATGGCATAGTGTTTACGGAGGATGAAATCTCCATGGACAGCATTTGGCTTGAGGTAGGATCATAGCCCGTAACCACGTTAGCGGCCGCCATCGCCGGGCTGAGAGCCCTTAGCGAGGCGGCGTTGTAGCCGGGAGTGAAGGACGTCCCTCAAGCTGTCAAAGCTGGACCCACCTGGACGAAGGTGTTGTCTAGGCGAAGCGGAGAACTTGGCGGTGACGATAAATCCAAGTTTGAGGGGTACCAAGGTGGATGTCCGCAGAAATAGCATAAAATCTACGGAGGCGACATGGAGTGCGTCCGTCACCATCGAGCGCTCGCAGCGCCCCCCAGAGAAACCTGGGGAAACGCAAAGTACGCAGTGATGGACGTAACTGGTACATGTCAGTCGTTAATGGGCAGCGAGAGACAGGCGACTCCGTTTGGACACAGCGACCCGCGGTCAGCTTATAGTAAACGCGCACGTTGCGAATTTTTATTCAACAACGCACAAGAGAAATCTCCCACCGGCACTACCTTGGAGGTGAAGTTCTAGTGCCGATGTGTACCGGGTGGCCAGTGAACGGTTGTGAAACGCGAGCAGTAGCTTTATTTCAATCAAGAAACTCGCTGGCAGACGCTGCTTGCGCCGGCGTTGCAAGGCGAGAGATTGAGATCGTAGGAGGAGAGACAGTGGGAGGGGAGACGCATGCGCAATGGAGGTTCAGGACCTCTTTTTTTATTTGCTCCTAAAACCTATTTACATTAGTATTTTTGCAATATTGGATGGTCCGTGTGATTAGAAAAAGTGGTGAACGATTCAGAGTACTGTGCACTCTACTATATGCTCAACAGGTTCCACGATGATTTATACTGTAGCCTAGCGTAGTCCTCTGGTGATAGGCAGTGACAATACTGCTTTCTCGTCATCAGTGTACCTATATGCAAGGCAGCTGGGACCTTAGCCTGCCCCACTTTACAGGGGCGTGCTATGAAACCTTTGTTTGCGTACTTGGACAGCATCGGTCAGCTGGACAAGCTGTAGCTGTAGCTTGGCACCACGAAAAAACTATTAACGCACGTACTCATTCGATGGTCAAAGAGGTGGCCTTTTCCTTTCTTTTATTTTATTCTGTCATCTATATTTACAATTTCTTTCTCTCTCTCTCTCTCTCCTTGTACTTAAAATCCTCAATCCCCTTCCCCACGCAGAGTAGCAAGACAGCGAATGTTACATGCCGGCTAAATTCTCCGCATTTCAATAAAGAGTTCTCTCTCTCTAAGACTGTCTTAGCCGAATCCAACGCGGCCGTGATGACAGCGAAGAAGGCATTTCTTTCAGCGACGTCACAGGTACCACAGAATATACTACGAGCACAGCGTTCATTCCTCGGTGCGAATAATCCGGATATTTCAATTTATTTGATATATGTGGAGTATAACCTCCCAATACAACATTATGATTATGAGAGACGCCGTAGTGGAGGACTCTGGAAATTTTGACCACCCGGGGTTTTTTAACGTGCGCCCAAATCTGAGCACACAGATTTACAGCATTTTCGCCTCCATCGGAAATGCAGCCGCCACAGCCAGAATTGGATCCCGCGACCTGCGGGTCAGTAGCCGAGTACCTTAGCCACTAGACCACCGCGGCGGGGCGCTGGATATTTCGATTTCAAAGGTTGTAGTGTGGTCATGCAACGCTACTTGAGGACAAGAATGTGTAGCGCCGAAAATCAGGGGACAAAGTGAGGGCACGAACATACAGGTGCGCTCGTGTATACCGTCTACACTTTGTCTCCGTCCTATTAGCACAACACTTTTTGCTCTCACGTAATCAACCAATTGTTAACATGCCTTCTTAAATCGACATTGCTCCTTTTTTTTTTGTAGAAATATTTGAGCTCAAAATAAAAGAAAGTGTGCCCTCACTATCTGGTACATTAAGAACTGCATGCCATTTGCTATACTTTTCTTTCTTTTTTTTTTGTATTTGACGTCGCAGGCTCCCGTGCCGGACAGTCAGAGACACAACGTACAAGTCGACGTGTACAACCCCGTCTTGAATCGGCCCTTCGTGCGGCTGCACGGGCGCTGGGTGGACAGCGTGACGGCCTCCTGGGCGTCCGGGGTGAGTGTGCGAACCAGCCTCACGCAGCTGTTATTATAAATTTAACGTGTCACCATCGGCAGCTTCACAGATAAAAAGGGCATGAACTCGGTGAAGCCAATCGGAAGCATGTGTGATGTATACAGGAAATACTAATAGATAGTGAGCCAGTGTAATCGGCACGAAAGTCAAAGCTAACTAGAAAGGTATTATGGATAAAGATACTAACTAAAAGTTTCAAGTACGCGAAGAAATAAATAAGATAAAATTAAGAACCAAGGTGAGGTTGAGACTATAGACCTGGAGACTCAGCAGTGAAATAGAAACAGACTTCGGTAATCGGAAGCAATGTAATGTCAGTGGACGGTGGCATGTAATGCTAACGCGTTTCTCTCGTGCTTACAGTTAAAGCACTTTTTTTATTATTTTTTTCAATGAGCATATATCAAACGTTCTGCTGTGTAAAACGTATGCCAGCTGCACTCCTTACTATCTCTAACTTGCTTCTTTCAGCCCATCTGTAGGTTAGACACGCTGCTTAAAGGCACGAAAAGCCAAATAGCAATTTATCAGACTGAAAGATCAATGTATGGCAACGTCTAAAACGGCAATGTTATCAACAGCAGTGCCTTACTTACCGAGAAATGAAAAGTGATTCCAAAATTCTGTTTTCACCTGGATAGGTGGTGCCATCTAGCGGAGCAAAGTTGAACCAAGCAAGCAGAACCATGGCTTAAGATATAGCAGAAATTCCTCAATGACCGTTATTGCTGCTGTGCCTCCCACTAATTTCGCTCTACTGCTAGTGTCGGCCACCACGCAGTAAAGCGGGCCAACGTTGTGCACGGCAACAGTGACGTAAAACGGTCCGCTTTCAGGCGGGGATTTTAGGTGCGCTAACGCGATGCGGACCACTAAAACGTGGTTTAATTTCAAAATACGCACTTACTTGGCACATAAGTAGCAATACGAGGTTTTTGGACCGCTATTTCAGCAATCAACATCGACTTAATATTTGCCTTTAGTGTCCCTTCAAGCATGCAGCCTTTCTCAAGGGCACCTTCCTAGGAACAAATATGGCAAATATGGTTTGCCATGGCCTTCTACTCCATTGTGTGTTTTTCGCACTTAAAGGGACCCTACAGCAGTTTTCCAAGTAATTGTCGAATGGCTTTATCAAAGAGCTTATTGCCCCACAAATCAGCTGCAGCAAAAAAAAATTCTTTAGAATCCGTCAAGTACGAGCAGAGCTACAGGCTCGCCGCCCACTTCCAGCTCTGTATCTCCTTTCATACTAGCATTGAAAGCTACACAGGGAGGGAGATAAGATGCTTCCGTTCGTCATGGCCTTGAACACTGTTTAGGAGCGAAGCTCCTTAGGTCAACACCCCACCGCATCGCCGCTCTCACACCTCTTCATCTTTCTTTGTCTCTGCCCACAAACCGGCGAACGCGCGAAACTATTGCTTCGATCCTTTCGTCTTCAACCACGTAGCATTTTCAGGGTTCCACTCCACCCAACGGTGGGTCCGTTGCCTGGGCCGGCTCACACTGCGCCGCACACTCACTCGTTCAGTCGTTCCTGCCAACGAGCCCAGCAAACGCTCTTCCCACCCGCTGTAAAGGGTAGGAGGTTGATGATGGCATCCCACCGCTGCCACCACTTGTCAAGGGCCAGAAGGTCGATAGCAGGAACGGCGGACTCCTTTAAGGTAGCTGGCTTCCCGCCGTCGTCCACATAGGCGGTCTTCGCCAATGAGGGGACGCGTTAAGAAAGGTAGAACGAAGATTTATTTACATTATAGAAGAAAGATAGGAACTGTACAGGGATCCAGAAGATCTCGCAAAATGTACAACAGAGATTCAGTTCATGATTCCGCTCACGATTCAGCTCCTGATATACAAAATGTTTCGGCCCGCCGCCTCCTCTACACCGGGATCCGAAGAAGGCGGCGGTAAGCACTCTCGCCACAAATCAGGGGACGAAGTCTCAATGGTCCAATGGGAGCACGAGCGCACCACACAATGACGCATCCGGCCTCCGTCTTGAAGGCGCCGCAGGGCAATGAGGTAGAGTCCGAAGAGGGAAGGTTGAGCTCCTCCGGGGAGATGGCCCCTAACCCGAATGTCAGCAGCGCTCCATGCTGCTTTCAGCTTCAGGCAGTCCAAACGCTCGATCCTTGAGAACGGCTCCTTCGACGTCTTTCCGCGCTTCCGGACTGACGGTGCTTTGCGATGGCCTCGCGTAGATGACAATAGCCGAGTCGAGAGGTTGACTTAATGAGACCAGCTACAGTGGCGCCGTCCCCTCGTTGTTCTACAAAAGGCTTGTCTCGCGACGCTTTCGTTGAGACCCGACTGCTTCCTGTAACATCTACAGGACAGCGTCTTGCAGACTAGGCACGGATGGGGTTAAAAGCCTCCTTAGTAGACCGGCTTACGCACAATGGCGTCGGCCCAGACGAACTGCCAGGCCCAACGTAACACCACCCTACCCATAAAAGTCAGCAGCAAGATCGGGCGCATGACGTTTGCGTTCGAGTTTTAAGGAGCTTTGCTCATCGGTTGTATTCGCACACGGAACAACTGCTGTTTTTTTTTTTTTTTGCTTGAATACGCGGTTTTACCAACATCTTGAGCGAGAACGCGGGCACGTGTCGGCATCCAACGGCGGCAACGGTAGCTATGTAGCTCATGATGCTCAAATTAGCCAATAGCCGTGGACTTTGGGTTTATGACGCAGTCATTTGGGATTTCTGGCTGAATTTGAGAACTCATTGTAAATTCCCGGCCGCCTGCTGCGCTATAATTGTTGACTCACGTGTCTCGGAGCCTCGACTACCGATTATCAGAGTTTTTTGACCATGTTGAAAAAGTGCTGCAGGGCTCCTTCAAGAGAAAATGGTAAAATCTAGTGGCTATGGGACATCACTATTTTGCAAGTGTTATTTTTAGAAACTCTTTGTTAAATATTTACGATTCCGCATACGCTGCATACTCACACATAAAATCTCTATGCTTCAGGCATTGCAATATATATCCAATTAACTGATATCAATTTCCGGTGCAGAATTATTACGAATGTAAGCCTGAGTTTCCACATCTTATTAATTTGTTCCTCTAAAATGTAGAAAGACCTAAATATAATTTCTGCTTTTTACAGCTGACGCAGTTTAGCTTCCTCCCTCATATGCCACCAACTTCATATTGGCTTAGCAACTGAATCAGGAGCGCTTATAGATCACCGTGTTTATAGATTGATTTAAACAAAGAAGTAGGAGCTGGCACTGAACTTGAGGTCATCTTTCCTGATGAAAATTTCACGACAGGGATACGCGAGAAATTCATGCAGAATTATGCGTTATAATATGCAAAGCATGGTTTTGAATACGATGAAAGACATTCAGAATGCCGGTCAGAGCATCGTGTTGCAAAGACTGGAGACCGGCGTTTGAAACTGAGCCCTGAAAATATTTGAAGAGCCAAAAAGATTGTTCCTGTCTTTGAAAAGCAAAAAAAAAAAAACTGATGAAAGATGGAGAATGCGGTACGTGTTGTAGAGCAATACTGGGCCAGAGAAACGACCCGCTACATGCGACGAATAGATGAGGCCATGGCAAAATGGTAAGTTACAGCCACTACAGCGCAAGACTACACAGCGGATGGAACACAAACGATGATTAAGAGCGCTCGTCGTTGTCGTTTGGGTTTCATCCGCTGTGTATTCTTGCGCTGTAGTGGTCTGCAACTTATGCTCGTCGTTGTCATTTGAGTTCGTTTTGTCCGTTGTGCTTGTTTTCATAGTGTGCCATAATTATGTACCAACAAGCCCAACTCGCCCCCTTATTCAGTTGCAGCTAACAGGCTAGCCTGACGACCAAGAGTACCGAATGCGAGAAAAAGTGTTGGTGGTTTCACATCCCAAAACACGGAAGTGCTTGATAGGAAATTCCAAGCACGCAGGGTTTAACAAGCCTGTACATTTAAGTACACAGGCCACTAGCACTTCGGCTCTACTGAAATGTGGCTCCCGCGGCTGGGATTCGATCCCGCGACCTTCAGGTCAGCAGTCGAGAAAATAGCTCAGGTAGTGTTTCCTCCAGCATAGTAATGCTGCCCAGACAACCTGCCTCAAGATAAAAATTAACTATAGACCAGTTTAAAATTTTTGCTGCTAAACAGCACATATCATATGAATTTTTTTTACTGCTGTTTCAGGAGACAAAGGAAATACTGCACTCAAAGTTGCTGAAGCAGGCCCGGCGGGAACCTGCTGTCGTCATAGAGGACAATCACAAGTGCTCTACTGTGTTAGTGGCTATTTAAAACCAAATCCATGAGTTGATTGAGTCTTATAGGAATAAGTGTAACTCTTTTCAACATTGCTAAGCATAGAACTATGTCGTGTTGTTTAATCAAGCATCCAAGTTGCTCCTTCAGGCACTAATGAGAAATGATTCATATGCCAGGTGTGTTGGTACTGAAGCGACTGAAAGGAGCCCTCAAAGAGCCCCCCTGCAACACTTTACTAAGTAATCATCCGATAGCATCGTTAAACGGCGTACTGCCTCACGGATATACTGCTGCAAAACTTTTAGAATGCGTTAAGTACAAGCGGAGTTACAGTGATTTGTCATTCGATTCAAGCGCTATTTCGTACCAGCGAGGTAGCTGAAAGATGCATAGGGAACAGGGGGACACTTGTCAGCGCACGTCCACACCCTGAGCGGTTTTCTTTTTTTTTTTTTTTTTCTTTTCGATAGCGCAGCTTACTTTCCGCGTGATCGCGCGCGAGGGCACGTGAAAGCATTTCCAAGCAGCTCGCGATGCTCAATCATTGCCGATGCAAAATTGCAACAGGACAATGAAGAGTTTCCTAAAAACAAGTTTGGTTCCCTCTACAATTAAATTAAATTTAGAAGCTACAGCTGAAGCACATTATATTAAGAAGTACCGAATATTTCAATATTTTTCAGGCTCTACTAGTTATTTTTGTACTGCTACGAGCAGTGGTGTAGAGATTAATTCCTATGTTCATTACATTCATGACCTTACTGCGAAAAAAAAAACGAAAATGAAGTGCCGAAAACTTAGCTATTCCGTCAATTTCGTGCTGCGGCTTTGCTTAGTGCTAGGCCCTGCAGCATAGCTTGATTTTACTGCTGAATCAACTTTGATTTTTACGCAGGGCCTGGAGAGGCATTACCGATATGCTGCACCGCCGAAAGTTTGAGGAAGCTTACAATAGAAGGGTAAACTTGCTGAAGTCTTCGGCTGATCCAAACTACCAGCCAATGGTAATAGCTCATCTAAATAATATTAGAATGTTGTTTGATTAGATGCCCAAACAGCAATAAATATGTGTTTTTTCAGCACGAAAATCTTGACGCAAAAAATCGCTAATGAGTTGAATGAGCACGTGGTTTATACAGTAGGCTGAAGTGAACAACAAATGATCATGGTATAGCCAGTGAGGTTGGCTCCGCAAGCAATGTGTCCAGCTGCTGCACTACACACAAGCTGTGCATTATGATATGAAGTGTTATTGCGGGCTTACTGGTACATGCTGAACTTCAGATTAACAGTGCTACAACGGGACAAAGAAAGAAGGGACAGGAACAGCGCGTGGTCTTGTCCCTTCTTTCCTTCTCCCATTATAGTGCTGTCAATCTAAAGTTAAGTATGTTTTATGGTTATGCAATTCTCATGGGGATGAAGTTTATCATACTTTTGAGATTATCTTACAATTATTTGCATGCAGCAGATTCTTTCAATATTCCTGTCTCAAAGATATTAACATTAATAATGATGGCACGATTCAATATTCAAAATTTTAAAATGCTATTCATGCACACCTAGAATACAAAAGAGACTAATCTTTTTTTATATAGTACTACTATATATGACAAACATCTGCCAAGAATATTGAATATGATGACATCCTTTAAAGTCAGATGTGACAGCATCACAATGAGAATGAGCCTTAATGTATCTATATATATTCAGTATAGTGTTTATTATTCTTCCTATTAATGCAGAGATGCTGACCTGAATTGAAGCAATGCTCAATGAATTCAATGTCCCTGAACAGATGCTTCTCACTGCAGCTATTCAAGAAAGAAGGAAGGACCTTCGTCTACAAAAATGACCTGAAAAGGAAATTTGACGAGATCAAGTAGTGCCTGGAACATTTCCGTGCATGGACAGTGCTACGATACCATGTGGCACGCTGGTGTGCTACCTATTAGGAAAGTAGTTGTGTTATTTTTTATATATTTATGTCGAGATGTCCTTCGAACGTTTTTTTCTGTTCATTTGTTTTATATTAGCGCATTCTTGAAGTGAAAGGGCGTGACGACCCGTGTTGCCAGATGCTAACGAGCAAACAAGTGAATACTCATCACAACACCAGAAAGATTATAATGAGCTTGCCCACTCTTCAGAATGTTCTCACTTATGATTAAAATGTCACTGAAATAGAAGGGGAGTTCAAAAAATCCCCTTATTGTTTTGTACAGTGAAAATGGCAGCTGTGAAAAAAGCATGTAGGTACTAGTTAACATCGCCTGCAGGGTACTGTCTCCATATGGTCGAAGGCACATATGCCAGCACATGATTAAAGTTACTTGCTGGTTCCCAGATATATACCTGACTACAACTATCAACCAAAGGTGTGCACATGGGGGCGGAGGAACGCAAAGTCTGCCCCATACATTGACTTAGTAGGACGGCGGGGGTGCTGTGAACCTTTGCCCCCCTTGATGGGAAACCTTGCACACACCCAAGTAGTCAACTGCTTAGTTCGTCGACAAACATGCTATGCTATTAGTGAATGACAAACGTGCATTGGTGATTGTGATGATCACTAAAATAACTATATTTCGCTAAGAAAATGTCAATAAAGCCAAGAAATAGGGACGAGCGACTATAAAGTTCAACAATCAACTTGGAAAAATAAAACCTAAATATTATAAGAAAAACTGGCAACTTTGGCGACAATGAAAACAGGCAGAGAAAGAGTACACACACAGAGTGCCACTTCTAGCAATGCTTACTTTGAAACGCGCCCGGTATGTACATACACACCACGCACCGTCACAGGTCCTCAATGTGTAGTCGCATTCAAGCAATGCAACTCTTCAGGTGATAGTGAAATGAAGCCACACTAAGGCATTTATTGCCAGCTTTCGATGATTTTCCTGGCCTTAATGATTAATTTTACCAATTTATCGTGGCTTCTGGCAACAACCAGGCAGGTGCTAAAGTGTGTGTACTCTTTCTCTGCCCATTGTCATCATGGGCAGAGACTGCCATTCGGAGTACGTATGCTTGCAAACACACCCAGACAGTCATTCGGAGTACTTATGTTTGAGCACATACGAAAAAGACGTACAGTCAACCACTTTTATCTACTGGCTTAAAAACATAAATAGCAAGTCCTGCTGTTCAGTTTTAATTAATATGAAAAGTTGTTCAAGCTGTACCTTTTTCTTTAGGGGGCCTCACATATCTCTTGGGAACGTAACTTTGAGAGAAAAGCCGGTGCGTCACACAAAATGTCAAATGAACACTGGTGTGCCTTTTAAACAGAGGTACACAAGCCATGTGTTCTCTTTATCTTTGTAGAATTGCCACGATTAAGGAAACAAACAAATCTGCGTTAACACGACTCACCTAAAGTCACAAAGCCTAAGTGCACCTCATGACTCGAAACCTGCGAGACCATATAGCGTTTGCGCAGTCGTCATGGCATTCGTATTGCTTTAAATTTGTAAAATGTAAAAACAGCATTTGCATGAAATGAAGTACTTGTCAAAAATAGGCACGCCGTCATCCTAGGCGATTAATTCATAAAATAACCTGTGGGTTCTTCTTTATAGACATAGCTTAATAATTTTGCATCAGCCAAATAGATAAAGAAAAAGACAGAACTTCCGTTTTTCTGCATATTTTATGTGAAAGTGTAAATGTAGGGTGCTTACTGGATGAAAATACTGCAGGTTTGCATCAACCAAAGCGCCCACACGTTTGTGCAGTGATTATCACGTGGCTATTTCAGCTTGCAGGTTTCTTGGAAAGCCATAAGACCCTTTTTATTTTTTGACAAAGTAACAGACAATACAAGCACAAAATTTTAGTGTATACAGTAAGGGAATTTCTTTCGATAAGTTAGATGAGCAGAAATTAAAGCATTGTAAGCGGTTCACTGTTGTCTACATAAGAGAGTAATAAAGGGCTCCTAAACCACCCAGCAGTTGAAATTTAGTTAACGTGAGGAAGTTGTGCTCGAGTTTACAATGAACGTGTAGCAGTGAGAATTTTTCAAAATGGTGCCGTAATAGCGGAGGCACACGCATTAGGTGATCGAATCGTGACGATGGCTTCTTTCCTTCTTTCCTACGCCACCCTCTTCCAAGACTGCTTGGCCCCTCCTCGCTGAGTCAGTTGAGTGTCTCTCATCATCTCGCGTGGCTTACGTCACCGCTAACGTGCTGTTTGAGACAGCGTCTACTTCCGGTTGCCGCGATCCGCCCCTCTGACGCCCCAGCTCGCCGTCAACTGTGTTGTGTGTGTCATCTGGGTGCACTGATCGTTGACTAACCGCTGTTACTGTCGTGCCGGCCCGTGCCCCTATGCTAGCGACTTGGCGGTTGCATAACGGGCCGCAGATGTCGATTCGCAAGCGGCAACACGACCAAGAACAGCAAGGTGCGCGCGAACAGCTGTTTACAGAGTGACCGGAAGTCGTCGGTTGTCGTTCGGCCAATCGCAAGCATCGAAAGTGGTGACGTCATCGAGTTTCACTGGTGATGTCACACATGTCAGTGGCGGGGACCGGAAAGAGAAGCTATTGTTTCTTCGAAATTGTGGCACGCCCGCTACCAGTAGTGCTGTGGCGTGTGGCATCGCTGATCGAGACTGCATTCTGCACGCGATGCACTTGTTTACTTTAAATGTTTGGGAAAATATCGGAGGGGGTTTAGGGGCCCTTTGAATATCACTTTTGACACACACACACAAGGAGCAAAGTTGACCACAATAGTTAGACAAACACTGAACCCTATCTATAAAAAGTGACATGTTAGTCCTAGGATACCTCTCAGTGTTTGCTGAAGTGGCAAGAGATGCATTACTCCTCAAGGCGCTAATGACAAGTGAAAACGGCTTGCAAGAAAGCAAGCCTCGTGATGACCCTGCATTCAATAGATGGGTGAAAGATGCACCGTCCAGCAAGAAACAAGGCTGCACAATGTCAGTGACCTTTCCTGACTGACACCGCTGCCTTCACTCAGTTCAGATGACTGCACAGAGCGGGCACTACACTTCAATGACCAACCACACAACAGGACATGCAAGTCTGGATCGACAAGTTCTGCAGGACAATGAAAAAACTGACTAAACTACACTTACTTTCATGGCCATAGGCACATCTATTTTTTTTATTATCTGTTATGATAATAGGAGAAACTTTAATTACCAATTACAACTTCAACATGTGACACGAAGCTGGTAATTTATTTTCTGCAATGAAGAAAAGACTCCCCCATGTTTATTCATTTTCCATTACCTTGTTAAAATTCCGTCTTCAGTAAAACTGATGTTTTACACACTGTACACCACTAACATTTCTTTCTAACACAAGCTATGGACGAGCTTCAGTGTCCTTTAGTTCTTGCATGGCTGCAACCATGCTTCAGTTTCCTATGTGACACAAAGTAAGGAAATAAGAAAAGAACACTCATTATTTCTCAATGGAAGCAGCCCTAATGCAGCAGCTTAGGCAGGCTGCCAGGGTCCTTGTCAAAATAACGCACTCTGCGACTAGTGAACCACAGCATTCAAGCGGTTCGGCACGCATGTTCGCCAAGTCTAGACGCATGTCCAATTCGTCATCCACCTGCCCGACGACAACCCTGAAAATGCACAGAGGGTAAAATGTGTGTAAAGAGATCAATATCACGGCTAGTTTCTCTACGCCACTCCTTAGGTCGGGTTAGGTGATGTAATGTGTAAAGATAATCGTGCTTACATGTAGAGATATCACTGACGATGTTTCTGAAAATTGCACTTGAACTAACAGATATAGGGCAGATAAGGAACCAGGACAGAAAAGACGAAACAATGAAACAAAAGGTGCACCTGTAATCATTTCTTCTTCTGTCCGTGTCTTTTTTGATAATGTTATACCCACTAAGGCAAACCAACAGGCCCAAATAACAAGCTAGTTCACTGCTCTACAAAGTGTTAATGAGTTATAAATGCCAATGATACTGCAACACTGCTCTCATCTATGATAAATGTATGTAAGTCACTACAGTGTGTCAGGAAAGCACAGGTGCGCTCAATATGACTCACAACAGGGGAGCGGTGACCTCACGAGTAAAAAGATTGTGGATGGCTTTAACTTGTTTTACAGCGATAGAGTTAATGGGCTCGTTTCGCAGAAGTTCCAGCACAGGTGTAGTTGGTTGCGAGTGAAAAATCATCATCTTAATCATGACCGGAAAATCGAGAACAATATAAATAAAATAAATAATAAAAAAATCCTGGGTCAGAGTGGGTATCGAACCCAGGTCGTTGCATGGCAAGCGGATGTTCTACCATACGGCCATGCATCTGCTAGTGAATACATTGAAAATAACTTCCCGGTTTGGAAAATCTGTGAAAGTGACACACGCGTCCTGTATACATGCTTTCCAATACAACATGAAATATTGTAGTAATAATGTGTGGTGCACGCGTCCATTGGAATCTGGCATCATAACATGTGATCATCATAATGACTTTGTGGTTTAAAGCCAGTTCTCCAATACGAAACGCACACACGATACTGCAACTGTTTTCTTAAGGTCACGCAGTGGGTGCATAGTTCAGTGCATAGTTCGACAAGGGGTCATGCGCTAAGTGTTTGAAGTACACCCTAGAAACAGAAGGTTGCTATTGCATTCAACTCCTATAGGCGAAGCTTTAGGGTCCCCAAATTTTTATTTCAACAACTAAGTATTATTTTTGCTTATTTGGGATGATACCCAAGTGAGAAAAACACATTTAGTAAGGAAAATAAGGGCTAGTGGAAGCCATGTGCAATCTTTGAACTCGTGGGGCCACGCAATCCTGTGTTGCAAGTGTACATGTGTTCCTTAATGCGGCCAGGAATACTCAGTGTCAATTTCAATACCATAAGGTGATTGCAGTGAGACATTAAACCAGTGTGTGCCACTTTAACATGCCCCAACTGTTTCGCCAGATACGTACACATTGTCACCTCGCACTATGTACAATCCAAGGGGCACCTGCTCGACACCGTGGTCAGAGCTGTAGACACGTTCATGGCTTTCGTCCAGTATTAGGTTAATGGTCTGGTCGAAGCCTTTCAGTGTGCCCTGGGAACAGATGGTTTGAAACTGTTATGCCTTTACCACTGTAACTAGCTAATGAGAAAGAAATCAGGTGTTAATGTATGCATACATTTGCAACAGCAATTCTCTTATGAGACAGCTTACGCTTACTGACAAGAACATGAAATGTAATTAAATCCTTCACTGCCCTCCAATGCACAAGGAAAGGTGACTCTTTTTGCAATAGCTGCACTTCAAGAACTGAACACAAGTACAGCTATGTTCACAAGTTAGGCAAAACACACATCTAGTGCTAGGGGCAGGTACCAAGATAGGATGACACATAAAAAAAATGAAAGAAAAACTGCCAAAGACTTATACAATTAAAACTTCCTCAGGTTTGTCACTCATTCGTGCTTTTTGTACAGTATTTTGATGCCAAGAATTTACAACTAATGCAATAGCATGCGAACGGAGATATACAGAAGCTGTGACGTCAGCTGAGAGCACTTACCACAATGTGACGACCGTCGGCAGTAATTATCGATACTGTGTCTGAACAACAGGTCAAGAAAAAAATCGTGGCAGTGAACATCAATATCTTTCATGAGAATTCGGCTTCAGGAACAAAAGCAATGGGCTCTAAAACTTCTCCTGAAAACTCGAAATCCAATGGAGCGAATATGATGCCTCATAATGAATGTCCCCATAGAATCAGGAAAATATATTCAGCCAAAAAAAAATGAACATACACAGGAAATGAAGAATAAGACAGGAAATCAGTTTTTCTCCGTGTCCTATGTATGTTCATTTTTTTACTGAATATAGCTCCATGATGCAATGCACCAACTAGTTCAACAAGTGTTATTTCCAAAGAATGTTATAAAAATAACCAAACGTAGAAATGAAAAAGTCTGATGTCTATCTCGTTCCGCCTGTGCCTATGCCCTCCCACCTGCGAAACTGCCAATGACAATAGAAAGCACATTAGGTTTTTTTATTTTATTTTTCACTAAGTCCTGTATTTTACATCATTATGGTAACTTCTTGAGGCTTCCATTGGCATATGAAGGGTGAGTAGAACAACCACCACTTTCTGTAGAACATTCGTTTAAGCAAGATGATAACGAAATGTGGCCACTAGAGGAGAGCTTGCACAAGGTGCGCCAAACCGAACATTTACCGAGCATTGACGCGTTTCTCATTTGCCCGTGTCGTTAAATCCCTTGTTCTGGCTCCACTATACCGGCAAAGCCACTTTCATTCCACACTTTCCTTATTGACAGAAGACAGAAGCAGTATGCTTTAGGTATAAAACTCATGATAACAATCCCCCAGAGACTGCCCCCTGCCAGCTTTCATGCAGGCCAGTAGCACCAAAAGCGTTTAAACAATTTTCAGCACGCTATAACTGTGATGCAGTGGCATAATATTTGGCTTGCATGTTCATGCCAACACTGTCTACAAATTGAAAATGTCTTTTTGTAGCACTCAAGAAGTGTGCTACATAAATGTTAGCTTTACAGCTCAAACCTCCAAAACTCTTAGCTGTGTGTGGTGATGCGCAAAAGTTATGTATACATTTTGCATAGGTGGAACCACATTTTAAGTCTCTCGTGACACAGATCATTTTTAGCACGGAACGAGAACTTATGCTACAACATAACAAATCATCTTGCACCTTTGAAAGTATGCAAGAGAGGCAAGTCATAAGGACATATAGGATATATTTTCCCTGTAATAATCCACTAAAAAACCGCTTTATCCATTATATGAGTCTTCTAGTATAAATTTATCTGCCGACATTGGTCAGTGAGAGGTCCACAAGTTAATAGGAGGGAATACCAGGGACGCAGGCAGACATTTTTTTTGTGGGGGGAAGGGGGGATGGAACCTTCTTACAATGGCCATTTTTCTCTTTGCATGCCACTACAAAAAAAATTTTGGGGGTTGGGGGGGGGGGCTGCCACCTGGCTACACTATGGTTACTGTATATGCTACCTTTAGGTAGCAGAGTTGCGCCAAGGTACACCATCTCGGGTTCAAATGTCTTGCGAGAAAGCCACTCACCACCCGCGTAAGAGCAGCGCTAGCACTTATAGCATTGCTTTTTTATTTTTTTGCTTTATTTACTTTCTATTTTTTTATTACGAGACATACTCAGTTGCTCTTGTCATGCCTGGAAGCCTTGATTTTATGTTTGCATTTCTGGTACGTAAATAATGAAAAAACTTGCCTCAGCTCATTGACCCAGTTGTACATATGTGTATTTATAGTAGGCCGCACATTAGCTTCGGCTTCTTTTGGACTGTTTTTTCCATTTACATAAAATTATTTTTTACTCTTGATCCCTATCGAGCCAGGGATGGGATATTTTCAGTGTGTTGGGCTCATTCGTTAACTGTGCGAGTTAACCAGCTAAAGCTTTGTAGTCTTCAACTGAATCGAGCTGGATAGCAATCGAGAGTGGCCGTGCGACGCCCACGTTAAGCGCGCATCTCGTATCGTATTACAATCGCCGCTCACGACAATTGATGTGAATCATCATTCAACAACCCTGTCATGTCCAACATTCTTTTCGCTTAAGGTTTCAAAGCAGCATTCAATTCACGCACTAGCAGAAACACCTTGATTCAAATAGCTCTAGTTTAAGTTCTACTTTTAATTTTAGCCTTCTGACCACCAGACTAATTTAGACGTATGCAGCTGACACACACTGCCCAACTCTGCATGTATAACGTATTCACTACTGAATCTGTGGTTAATACAAATAGAGCAAGTTTTGCAGTGCCGTGGACAGATTAAAAAAAAAAAAGCCAGGCGCATGGGCGTCAGCAGAGAAGTGGAAAAAGGGTTCTTGCCCCCCTCAAGCCACAACTACACTTGCCCTCACCCACGCTAGACCGGTGCTCTCGCTCTCCCTAAGCCACAATGCAACAATGCTTTGCATCCCCAAGAGAAAATCCTGCCGAAGACAATGGCCAAGCGTTTATACCTTCCGAGTGAACACTAATCTTTCTATGGCAACACCCGCTGAACCCGCGTCTAATCGCATGGGCTCTACGTAGTACAATTCAACACATATAGCATTTGCTGCGGCGCAACAGACAGCATGGCTACATTGCCGAAGAAGCGCGGCGAGAATGACAACAGCCGTTGTCTACCCCGCTTGATCTGCCCGGAATCTGGTAGCGTTGGCTTCTCCGCAGTGCAAATGAACCACCTGTGACCACATGATGGCGCTTGGCGAATAGGGGTGCTGAACTCCTGTAGACGGAGCGAGCGGCACCCGGAAAACAGTGGCGCAACTCTGCTACCTAAAGGTAGCATATACAGTAACTCTAGGCTACATCACTAAGGAATACAGCGCGAAAGAAGACGGGGATATGGAAGGGCGGCGCACACAAAAGCTAAGCTCTGGCTAAACATAATTCTCAGTTGACACACGAAATCATTGAGGCAAACATCTTCAGAAAGTTTGGTATCACATGCATCAGTACTCCTTCAATAGCCCTTTCATCTTGTGAGGTGTCATACCTGAACAGGTCTTGATTGACACACCATTGTGCGCAGTGGTGTTTGCACTATGTATAATATTCAGTAAAAAATTTTGGTCAGTTTCTCTGGTTCTCACGCATGTTAGCGGCATCAGTATAAATGTTCAGCCTTCCCTTCCATTGGCCCCGCCGTGGTGGTCAAGTGGCTAAAGTATTCGGCTGCTGACCTGCAGGTTGCGGGATCAAAGCCCGGCTGCGGCGGCTGCATTTCCAATGGAGGGGGAAATGTTGTAGGCCCGTGTGCTTAGATTTGGGTGCACGTAAAAGAACCCCAGGAGGTCGAAATTGCCGGAGCTCTTCACTACGGTGTCTCTCATAATCATATCATAATCATAATCATATCGTGGTTTTAGGACGTTAAACCCCACAAATCAATCAATTCCCTTCCATTGAAAGAACTGTTGTAAGTCAGCACAGTGTGCACCGCCGTTCTTTGTCCCAGTCTTCGTTTGCACTGCGTTCCCTGCAAAGTTCTACCAACAAGCTCAAGCTTCGAAGCTAAGTTCACAAGTTCACTTTGGAAATGCGAAAGGATAACCATATATATTTTATAACCACGCCAAGACATGACTACTTGGATTTCAAACATTGTTTCATCTAAACCGATTATTTTCGACGATTTAAACAAGAGCACTAGCTCTCAGGCAACCATGCAATGCTGCTTGTGACACTGTCATTAGAAAGACCACTTACAAAAATGTGTTCCTTGGCACGTACAGTGTGGATCGTATACAATGGCAACATGGGATGACTTCTGTTTCCTGATAATATAGCATCGCCGCTCATACTATGGGGGTCTGGCAAAGAGCGAGATAGGTGATGCTTGGTTTGTTCTGCATGCTACTGCAAAGCACACTATAAAGAAAAGGGAGCGGTGCGCGGAAATGAAAACATTTTGCAACAAAAGCAAATGTATTAACACAATGTGTTCACATGGTCTTTAACGGAGCCTACATTTGTCATACTGTTTTCATACATAGATAAATAAAATAAATGGTGGGGTTTCGGCCCGTTTTGACGTTCTTTTGTACTCGGAAAACGCACTGAACACGCGTGCACACTCAGGGCGGTTTATCGGGCACACGTAGAAGAGAGCAAACACATCACACGTTTCATGAAGACAACAAAATGCACATTTCGGGAGGAGAGACGGATGTGAAATCGTGAGCTCAAACGCGCGAGTATGCACACCAATTCACAAATTGGCGCCAGTCCAACTGTATCAGGCGTTTAAATACTTACTAAGACAAAGCAACTTCACAAAGGATACGGTTGACATACCCTTCAAGCGATGCGGCCATGGTGAGAAAGTAGCTTTAAGCTTTCTTCGCGAAAACGACAACACGACGTTCGACTTTTCACGCACACCGGCTCTTGGGCGAGTACAATTTACATTAGCGTAAACAAAAATTGATTGTCGCCGCCAGTCGCTTATTCAAGGCAATGAACACTACAGCAGCGTACTACTAAAGTAAGCTAGAAAAAAAATGCGTAACTTTCGAGTTAATTTCGTCGAACTTTACGAACGTGCATGAACGTAAACATGTGTCTTGGTGTTAATGGCGATTCCGCAGTGTGGAAAAAAGTTTCCTAAAATTATGGTCGTGGTGAAATGTTTTTAAAACTATTTAGTTGATAAAAATCATAAACTATTGTTTTTAATTTTGTTTAAAAGAAGTTAAGTTACAACGTTAGTTCAACTAGTGATTGTTAAAAACACCTATCATCACCATAGTTTCAGCTAATTGTCTCGTTTCTGAACACCGGGACTTTTAAAAATGTTTTACCAGCTATGGGCATTTACGAGTGCAAAAGAGTGATTTTCATGTTTGCTTCCGTTCAGTGTGCGTTGCCACAAAACACCTACAAGTGCAAACCGTGCGCACAAACTCGGGTAGGTGTGAGCTGGAGTGGAGGAGGCGGCCCTCAGGTGAAGTTGCGCGCCATCCGCAAATCAAGCGGCTGGGGGGGGGGGGGGGGGGGGATTTTTAAAGAAAAGAAGATAAAAGCGAGCCCCGTAACTGTCTCTCAGGGGAAGCACACCTCAACAGTAGCTCACGAGGGTTGGGGGTAATGAGGGATTAAAGGGTAGGAAGGAATTAAAGGTATAGAGATAGAGATAGGGGCAGCTAGGACAGCCACATACGGAAGTAAGGAGAAGATAGGAAAGATAGACATGGTCGCAATAATCCGAGGACGGGGCACCACTCAGAGAGAGCTCTTGTCGGTGTCAGGAGATGGTGTAGGGCGAGCTAGTCGGCCAGAGCTGCACTGTCGTCGGAGATCGCGGGCACAATGTATCCATTACAACGTCTGGACGCTATACAACGCCGGCGAACATTTGGAACATCTGAGCGGCTGCGGCAGCACAGATGTTCCAAATGTTCACCGCTGTAATGAATACATCGTGCCTTTCTTAAGTCTACATAGGCCAAGCGAAAAGGTTTCCTGGGGTAATGTGTCAGTTGTGAGTATCATATTTCGAGCTTGATGAAAACTGTATGCCGGAACACATGCACATGTTGATATAATTCTCACGCTGTATTCACATATCTCACGGTCGTTCTTTTCTTTTTTTGTAGTGGGTTTCTTAAGGACCAAAATGTCCGGAGCACTTCGGGGTGTGCTGTTCAACACTTAATGAAGGGATGACCGGTACCAAAAATACAGTGATCACATAATTCAGAGGCGCTTGTTGAATCGTTACAACTGGACTGGACTAGGACCCGCAAGTTTACCGATTGGGCTAGTTGTGAAAAATGTGCTTGGTGCTAAAATGGAAAATGAGCATTAATTTCAAAAAGACTGTTGTTCTGTCATTTACAAAAAAGGTAATGCCGGTTATTGCAACATACTCTTTCAATGGTCTCCCTTTAGCAAGAGTTATGCTGTACAAATATATTGGTGTCACATTCACTCATGATCTTTCATGGTCTACTCACATTGCCTCAATATTTAACGTTTTCCTAACATCTTCATCAAACAATGCAGAAAGCTGCAAAAGATATTAAACTTTAATGTATATATCTCTTATTGTTCGCCCAATCATCGATTATGCCTCCACGGTGTGGTCACCTTACAGACAATGCGACATAATCAGGCTAGAAGCAGTACAAAAGAAAGCTGCCCGTTTCATTTTTCGCAGGTGCGACTGCTACTTCTCACCGTCATTAGCATTACAGGAACTAAAGCTAGAACTTCTTTCAGTAGGTCGTGACGTAGAATCATTAAAATTTTTGCGCAACATAATCAACCATTCATATCGCATTTCAAACACAGCCTTTTTGTCATTTGCTCAGCCTTCCTCTACCCGTAACTTCCACAAGCTCAATCTTGCTACCTATTTTGCGCGCACAGATACATTCAAGTATAGTTTCTTTCCCCGAACAATAGAATTATGGAATTGCTTACCTGGTCACATTCGATCACTCCCCCTGAATGATTTACATGCGCGCCTGGTCGCAAATTAAGTTTAATTCTCTCTCTCTCTCTGGGTGGCCAACAGAGTGTCACCTACTGCTGAGGGAGAGATAGATAAAGGAAAGACAGGGAGGTTAACCAGAAGACTCCGGCTTGCCTGGGCTGGGAAGGAAAAAAGGGTTGTAAATGAGTGAAAGAGAAGAAGAGTTGGTGACAGTAAGGAAAAAAAAATGTGAGTGGAGCACCATCCGAGCACTATAGAGAGCACCGTTGTCCGTGAACAGCCATGCACAGTTTGTCGCAAAGTCTGCAGTTGCTTGTAGGAACTGCAACAACGCCCTCAGAGCAGCTCATAATGCTGACCCGGTAGGCCAGCGCTGCAATGCAGACTTCAGTGCTGAATCCTGCATTGTTCCTACCTCCCGGTGGCCATGTCCCTCTAGTAGAAAGTAAACCACGGCTTTTTCCAAACTGAGATGCGGTTTTTATTCAGTGTGGGTCATATTTATTTTGTATGATGGGCAAAGGTTATCATGTTGCTTTAATTTCTGCTGGCCTCGTTTAGACACTGTTTATGATGTGAATAAAAGGTCTACCCTTGTTGAATAAATCTGTCGAATAGAACATGCGATTCTTCAAGCCACTTCAATTATAGGACTGAGCTAGTACTATGTTGAATACAATGCGAGATCACGCTGTTACGCACCACTACAACTCTAAAGCAATGAAATGCAATGTTCTGTCTCTCACTGCTGGTGCAGTTGTCTTGCACTTTATCAGCTTTCTTTTGTTAGCTGCGTATGTGCCACACCATGATGTGTGCAGTGGTTTAAGCAGAAAGTATAGTTCAATGACAAACTTTTGTTCTGCTTCGTTTTGTGTTCTTTTGAAGTGCCACACTTTCCATGGTCTCTACATGTGAGAGCGTTTCTCATGCCTTTACAAGACATCTCGCAAATGTCAAGAACATGACTTCAAAACCAGCTCTAGTTGCTCATCAGCTGCCTCTAGAGCAGTGTTGCACCAAGATAATGACTGCACATATTTCTGAAACAGTGTTGGTGCATTCTTTCAGCTCATTAATACCTCGATCTTTATCAACCTGTACTGGTTCAAACATTGGGCGACACCGCCCTATATTTGACTAAAGGCAATCTTTAAAGTAACTTCCGTGTTGTCTGCTGGCATGATTGTGCGAGGATCTGCACATACGAAAATGCTGCTGCTTGGAACCTAATGAATATACACATAATAACACAAGTATTATATTTGCAGGTTTGGCCAAACTATACGTAGCCTACAAAAATGTTCCAAAAGCAGGGTGAGTCCATGACTAGAATATACACTCCGACTTGACACAGCAAAATGTACCAAAAATTACACGGACGCTTCGCCACCTATGCGGGTGGCATCCCAAGTATGCACGGGCACCAAACGAGAGGTCACCCAGTCTACGTCTGGTCTCGTATGTCTCTTTACACATGCGGTAGGTGACCAGGGTTGTTTTTGCACACCAACTTGTCGCGGTGGATGAACCACGACTCGCTGAGGCTTTCTCTATCTTTCCCCACCTTCATTCCGAGCCAGATTGTCGCATTACTAAGTCGAAGGCATGCCCCATTGACCCGCAGTGTTCGACGAGTTTGGTCTCAGAATGTGTGGCATAGGGTGGCTTTGGCGACGTCCCCTTTGTGCTCTTTGAGCCTCGTTGACCGCATCCTCCCTGTTTCGCCGATGTAACTGGCGTCGCAGTGCTCGCACGGTACCTTGTGAACAACTCCGCTTTGAACGTTCTGCAGAAGTGCGGTTTTTAGGCTTGGTGAACATGCTTCCCAAGGTACAATTAGATTTGACACCGGTTTTAATGCACAGCGGACGAAGTGCTTTTCGAACAGAGTCTGGCACACCCTGAACATAAGGAATGGAAACAATGGCTGTTGTGTTTTCTTTCGCCACTCTTTTTGTTCCTCTTCGCGTACGTTTATGGGTGTCGATGAACGTCCTCGGCTAATGCCTTTGTTCCAACGCTCCGACGAAATTTTCCACCTCATGTCGCCCCAAGTGCTGATGAGAACAGGATCACAACAGGAAAAAAAAAAAAAAAAAGAGTCCTCACGACAGATCGTCTGTGCCCGGCCAGATGATGTCAGTGGATGGACAAAAAAATTCCGGTGTTACAATGTTTCCGATACACTGTTATTTCCATCCTGCAATTAGAAGTTTTTGCTATATTTTGTTAAGTCAGAGTATATATTAGTCATATACGTAGTCTAGTTTATATTTTAGTACAACTACAATATATTTATCAAGCACCCCTTGACATTGTGCTCAGTGATGCCAAGAATGCATGTTCTGCAGTCTTTTTTACCATTTTTTGGTGTTTTTTTTATAGTTGTCACCTTTACGTACATAAATTTTATCACTGCTTATTTGGTTGAGCTTGCTTTCATGTTATACACAACCTCAACGAAAAACAACAGACAATGAAGCCATGAAAGGTTTGAGGGAATGATATTTGCAGTCTTTTTAACTGCAAATGTGATCTAAATGTGAAAAATTGAAATGTAGGAAAAGACAACTTGCCACCAACAGGGAAAAGCTTGTACATGGTAGCGAACCTTAGTCCTTCTTTAATGGCAGCAATTGAACTGTGGGAACCAGGAATATTTCAAGCCTTTCATAACATTTTCATTGCACCTAGATGTTCTTCAGCTGCAGTGCACTCTCGATAGCCAATGCGAGTGAGTATCTTGTTGGTTCCGAAAGAAGCAGCAATTCAGTCATATTAAACCAAGATCCAATCGCACAAAGATAATGTTGCACGGTAATTCTATCGGGCCACACTCATCTGCAGCCGAATGTAAATTCTGCAAGCAGAATTGTACAAATTCATTTTATCATGCCAGGGTAATGTGCTTTCGACACCACACAACTGCCAACATGAGAAGAACGGGAAGGCAGCCCGGTCACCTCGACTCTCGACAACCAGCAAGCCTTCGTTATCCCCTTGTAAAGCTAAGGCAGTCATCCATCTTTTTCTCTGATCAATTAAACATTTCCATCATCATGGCTCCTACAATGCTCCATGGAAACCATCAATCGAATTATTATCATTATTTAAATGTTATCACATTCCAAGAGATATGTGTAGTGATAGAGGAACGAGCTTTATGTGTGCAGTGCATAACATAATATGCATGGCTCTTAATTGTAGTTTCACTTTTTCTGAAGAAGCCACTATTCATCTCAAATCTCGAAAAGCAACCCATTAAACGTGGTTATGACTGCGATCGCAAAGTACAATTTGCACAGCACAGAACAATCGCATGACAAGCTAAGCATTTTACAATGCAAACCCTTTACTACTCAATGTGGATGCACTTGCTGTTTTGAAGGTGCTGCAGCCACTCAGAAGTAAAATTTTTTGGTCTTGTGAGCTCGTACTATACCCAGAAGCATACTAAAATAATTTACCACAGCAAGCCAACCCGCTCATATGTTGATATACACCTCAGTGATTGGATCGAATGAAAAAATGTAGCTCTTACAAGGCATGTCACTCTCAATTGACATCACATTAGTCTTCTGGTTTGTACTTAACCTTCTTTCCAGTCAACAGTGTTCGTAGCTGGACTGGCTATACAAAGAAGGCTTCTATAGAAGTGAAATTTGTATTGGGATCAGGGTTGTGGCAATCATTCCACATTACTATAAATGAATGAACAAGCCCAAGAGACCTTCACCGCAAAAGCTCGCGGTGATAGCTTTCTTCAATCATGTTCCAAGCTCTGTTGTAGCAATGCCGTGCTTTTACAAGCGTAGCATAAAATGGCACCACCTCTTACTTTAAGAACTGCTTCACTACACCATCCTTGTCGGACTTTTTTCTGCACTTTCAAAAGAAATGATGAGGTGAAGTGTTTTGTCCGAATGGCCTCATTAATGCAGGCACACATATAATTTAATGCTGTGAGCAGCACATCTTGGTTTATTACCACGAAAGATTCACACACAGTTTGGTGTCTGCTCGAGTACCAAACTGTCGCACAAAGCTGTTGGTAAAATACAACACGTGTTTTGTCCTCGTTATTAACATTCCAACAATACTGCAGAGGTTCTTTCAGCCCATAATTGCTACACGTGGATCGTATCTTTTCTGAAGGGTGCTGCCCAACGTCGCATTAAACCTGAATAGCGCAGAATGGGAGATGATTTAGACTCCAACCAAAAGTTGTCCAAAATTCATAGTGCGGAATGCCTGCTCGCTGAAGAATTGCTCGCAAACAAGGCTGTCATTACAACAAGAGCTACAGATGCAGTTCCATCTGAATTTTTCTGCACAGAGAGCCATATTCATACCATATTAGGGCACTTTCACTTGTGCGACATTTAACATATCTATGGCAGTGGACCACTTGTTTGCTCATAAATCTATCATAAATAAAGTTACTTCTCCCAAGATGACAATTATTCTAATCCAACCTAAAGATATTATTCAAAAGCAGTACTAAAATGTAACAGTTACAATGCACGTTCCAATGTGTGGTCTCAGAAATAGGCTGTTTATTCAGCCAAAACATTTAAGCAGCCAGACAAGCTATAAAACAATTTGCAAACAAACAAGAACATATAATAGATTTGACTCGGTTTTGCAAGATGTTCAGTAAGAAAGTAAAGAAAAAAAACACAACTGTTCTCCAGAAAATTTTTACTGCATATGTACAAAAAGAGACAGATAGATCTAATTAGTTTCAAGTACATTCTTGTCCAACAGCAGCTTGCGTGCAATCACATATTAAATACAGGGGGGAAAAAATGTTTTCATCTGCTGCATAAACCACACAATTGTAAACATGCAAAATATTCGAATCTTTAATAAATGCATTTCTTTTAGGGACCTGCACTATTACATGAGGAAAAGAAAAATTACAGTTTCAAGCAATGTGCACGTACATGATTCAGCGTGATTTGTCAGTTGCTCGGTAACCAACAAAAGGCTAAAAAATAAGCCACGATCATGCATATTCACTAACATGCGACCAAATGACAAGGGGATTGCACAAAACCAAACCTAAAAAAAAAAGAACAACGATTTGACATAAAGAGAGGAAGGGTTTGAAACCACATCACTCGACTGACCTTGGAGCCACAATATAACACAACTGAAAATAAATAAAATGTGGCTTTTTAATCTCTGCCACAGCTCTAAACCTATCATACAAGTGGTACAAGCAAGCTGATGAATACAGTAATGAGAGATGCAGTGCCATATCCCTAACGCAGGTGCCGAGAAAAATGAACAAAAAAAAGTGTACGCCCAGAGTTAAACGTGGCCTCCCCCTGCAAGAAAGATGTCCAATGTGGTTAAACAGCGCAATGTCATTTTTTGTTCGTCCTCATCATGATTATACTCCTATTGATGCACCAGCAAAGGAACGATATGGGAATCTATGTGAACTGGTTGAATGAAGAGGTGCAGGCGATGACAACGTCGAATGAAGGGTTTAACAGGGCGCCACTCGTCGAAGGAAACTGCAGCTTCAATACTACCAAGCCATCTGCACGCCTACAGTTGCTTGTGCCACCAAGCTACAGCTGCTCTTAATTTTTGCATGATATCCTGCAAGCCGACTGTACATGTACATAATAAACCAGAGCTGACAAACGAACACAATGAGGTCACATGGTGAGAAACAACAGCAAGCACCATGATCACCTAATAATACAGGTTTTCATTTTTTTGTCAGTTTTGTGGTTTTCGTATGGGTGTTATAAGACATTCAATGTATGTATATATGTACATAAGGTGATGGCTGCTGAAAGTTGTCTAAAAGGATAGGCTGGCAGGTCTTGTCTAATGTGCTTGTGTGTGTGAGTGCACATTTGTGCTACACATCAAGGTGTGAACAATAACGTTTCCTCAGAGAAGCGAACCCGACACACTGACCTAATCGTACCAGTGGACAGGAAACCTACGCACGGCTTATGGAGCAGTGTGCAATATTAAATCAGAAAGAGCAGCGTATGCTGTGAAAGAAAGCGAAAGATATTACTGATGAATAAAAATGTGTACAAGAATGGTTCAATAGAGCAAGGAACACGGGCAGTTCAGGATGAAAAAAATGAAATAAGGAAGATACACGCTAAACGGCACTGCTACGACAGAGGACCAAGGGTGGAAAAGCTTACAAGGTGGTGACCACACAAGTGGGTAGGAATCGTGAACAGTAGGCCCCCCTCTGTGAACCGGTTCACATGCTTCCGTTTAGCAGTGAGCAAGACCCGTCACACACACACACACATGAAAATAATGAACACCACAATGACCACGACAATGTGGCCACACGAGGATCTCACTACAACACAAACCAACACACATCCCTCCCCAACCTTTACAACACATCATACCTGAGGCTCAACCTTTGTGATAACAGCTTTCTTTAAACACGGCAGCGTCCCCCCACGCCTCACTCATTTAAACAAGGACACCACTACACAACACTTCACACAGCCGCTGTTACAAGTGCAGCGCCAGTCGAAGGCTCCAAGATTGAGGAAACGGCTGCACTGTTGGAATCTTCGGCTTCCGCTGCCGAGTCAACCATTTCTTCAGGCAGTCCCGACAAGTCTCCGTTCTCACTGACATCTTGCTGGCCATTGCGATTCGTGGATTTAACGTCAGGCTGACTGCACTGTGGGCAGTAGTAGTCCTCACTGTCCTTCACCTCATTCATGCTCAGACCCACGCAAAGCAGGTGGAACCACTGTTCACAGCCTCCGTCACACTGCACCCAGTTTACCGCCTCACCTGCAAAAAAACAAAGAGAGTTCGTAGCAAGCTTAATATTTATTTTCACAGCAGAATGCAAGGAGGCTAACTGGCCGCCTATACTCCTTCAATTCTACTGTAAACAGCCTTTTTTTGTAATTCTGGTGGTTGGCGTAAGCTAAGTTTTGCGTTACACTAATGCTAAATTTATCCATACTGGCTCCACTGATTTTGCTAGGATTCCTGCAAATGTTTTATTTATTTTTGAAATTGTGTTTGCTATTTTTTTATTCAATCTACATTGCAGTTTTACTATTCTGTGTATGCGAACTTCCAGAAAGTGCAATAGTTTTATTAACTTAAAGTCAAATCGTAAAGATTCTATATGATACATGTAAACCCAATTTACCTCATGACGTTCCTACCTGTGAAATGCTAAAGGCTGTCGCCACACCCTGATACTACTTTAGACAAGGTAGCTTGGTTACAGCGCACAGACTACAGAGAGTGCAGCGTAAAATAGCAAAGCACAGCACCTGCTCGTACTTCATCGAATGTTACACACACAAGATTTTTTAGTGTTCCAAATAAAAATGCATCTGCGCGTAATGTTACAAGATCCTTCAAAACTATGCCATGCTGCTATGTTGGCAATTAGAAAAAAAAAAGCATGCACAGTGCCTTTGCTGGCCTCAAGGTCACTTCTGGATATGCATCATTCACAAGACGATTCAAGGGTCGTAACCTAGACAAGCTTGGTCAACACAAAGCTGCTTGAGAATGCCTCCTTGCTTGACAGTGCAGTCCAGATATTTTCTTTTTTTTTTTTTCCAGTTCACGTATGGTTGCTGCTTTCCTTCCTTTGTTTGCACTACTCATGGAACATTTAGAGCACGTAAAATAGACAAGTTGATGTACTCAGGATGCGAGATAATGCTTTAATATGAGCTTTCAAAACAAAAGGGGGTGTGTCATCATTTCCATTATGGTACGATTCTATGCTTCTGCCACACAATATTACATGTGTTTATTACCCTCCTTGCACCACATAACACTCATTTAACATTCTTTTTTCTTTTTCTTGTACTTTTTTAAAAAACAATTTTAAGCACAGATGTGGCTCCATGGTAAGAACATTTACTTTTCCCACAAGAATCCGAAGTTTAACTCCCAATCAAAGATTTCTTATTTATTTGCATCTATCTGCAATTTCCACGAACAGACAACATGAATTTTTCGTTTACAATTAGATACACAGATGCCGAAAATTCTTAAACAAGCTCTTCAACGCTATCACATTAACAATTTCAGGTTTAACGGTGAATGGCCCCACCTTGAGGCTGGACACAGTCTGGTGCCGAGCAGACTTCGTCTGCCACATCGGCTGTCTCAGCGGACGGTGACGCATTTTGCGGGCGATGGGCCACTCGCCGTCGTTTCACCACCTTGTCACTAGAGGCAGCACCGCCAGAACCAGAGTCCTCACGGCGCACCTTCTTGATGGGTCGCACCTAGGGATGAATTGAACATGCAAAGATGCCCTTCTCAGCTTCTATACAAACCCTAACTGCAGTCATACTGTGCTAACATGCTGTGCCAAAAACAAGCAAGCGAGCAAGCCCACAGCTTAGTTTACAAAAGATTGTGGCTTGACTCTAGCTAGATGGTGGCCTGAGGCTTGCTTCCCGGTCACATGATGAAGCATGCGACTATGAGGGACATTAGTAGATGCATGCCAAAGGCATGTCCACTGCTCTCTTCAGTAGCTAGATTTTAGTTTTGGGAATTGTCCAGAATTTATTACACCGCTGAAATGATCCACATAAATCTTTTGCATGCCAGGAGCTCAGCCATGAACTACATGATGAGATCATCACATCATCAAAGTTAACTGAGTGGGCGCCCAAATATGTTTGAATTAACGAGCACTCTATGCCATTAAATAGTGCATGTGCTTGCAAGACAGGGGGGACGCGTTCGAAATGTGCTATTGTTGTTTTGAGAGCTATGGCCATACATAGACTTACAAGTGATGCTTTCATCCATATTATTTTGTGTATACAGTAGAACATCAATTATATGTCCCCTGGTTTCGCGACGACCCGCATTTTATGATGAATCGGTCGGTCCCGGCAAAATCCCCATAGAAGTAATGTATTGGAAACCTTGTTTATACAATGCAGTTTTACGCTGACCCCGCATCTTACGACGTCATTCAGATTCCATCCGAGAGAGAGAAAAAACCTTTACTCGAATCGAACGCCGACCAAATATTCACGAGTGCAAAGTATGAACTTGCGTTCCCCTAGGTTGACGATTACAAAAGTAGAGAGCGAGAGAGATCTCTTCTTAGAATGTGAAATTTATTTTCCTGGAAGTTTCATGCGCTTCCACACACTGCCTCGATTGCATGCTCTATCCACACAAAATAACTTCAGCCGGCCGAATAGCTGACTTTTTCATGTTCCCAGTCCGTGGAAACATTTCCTGGTCGACATACAGCTGGTGCATGCCTTTGTCGCACTCGCAGTTATAGGCTTGCGCATACGTAAGGGCGCGATGCACCTGTTTTCACTGTGCAAAATTACTTTGACTTGATGTCAACATTTATATTAACAGCGAGACATTACTAGTTGCACTTCAAAAGGCATTCTACGCAAACTGGTGGTCTGTTGCCATTATGTGAGAGCGATGACACTGTGTCTGACTCTTCTGACGAAAACAAGGACGGTTCCGTTTTCGCGCGCAGGCAATTTTCGGACATTATTAATAGAAAGATGTGTGTTGAATTTATTATTATTTTTTTCGGTTGAGCATCAAGATTGGCTTGCACCTCTTTCAACTAAGTAACACCGCGATTAGCTGCCACTGGCAAGAATAATTTAAAATCTACCTTCCTAGCACAGGCTCACGGTCGTCCCTTGGGCTTATTCGGGCACTCTGTACCCATTTTTTGGGCAAAGCTGGGTGTCACTGTCTATATTCCTAGTTTTTTCGATTATACGACGAATTCGCGTGGTCCGCTGAGAGTCGTATAATCGGGGTTCCACTGTATACTTTTTTTCACACCCTTAACAGCAAACAGTACACAAGTCGTGGCATTTAGAATGCAAACCTCCGACATTGTTATTTGTAATCTATACCACACCAGAACGCACCTTGCGCTCGGGCTGCTTCCCAGTGTCCGCCACACCTCTAGACACCTTCTTGACCCCACTGGCCGCTTTGGCTGTTGAAGAGTCGACGACACTTGAAGCTCCCTGGCCGGCTGATGTGGACGGATTGCCAGCCTCGTCCTTGTTTGGTGTTCGCTTCTGCAGCTTCGGCTTTGGACGTGGCTGCGTGCGTTTAAGACGACAATGCTGAAGCAGAACCACACCACTACCAACAGCAAGACAAAATGTGCAAATAAAATTTGGAACAATTACTAGAATGATAGAGATGATTTTCTTTTCCTGACATTTAAGTAGTAACTGTATATATAAAAGATGGACGATACTGGAGAAATGTCTAAAAAATTTAGCAGTGCCTATTGCACTCCTAGAGCAAGCACTTTCATTTCACCAATCTGTATTTGCTGGCAGTGAACAAAAGTGCTCTGCAAGTGCATAGCAAAAAGCAGAACACTGCGTATGACTTGTACTCAGCACATTTTTACAGTAATTGTTATCCCCGTTGTCGATGGGCGCAACACTGTGTACCAATTCAACACTAATATAAACGTTACGTACCTTTACAGTCCCATTAATGCCCTTTTTATTTTTGTACACTTTGCAAACGAGAAAAGTGAGAGCGATTCTATGCAGAACGAGCTCATCCAAACAGACGAGTGAAAAGTACAAACATGCTTCACATTGATTAGTGAGAGATTGATTTACCGCCACAGAGCGACAAGTCAAAAACATGCCCAACATTGACCAGTGAAAAATACCATTAGTAATCCCCACCATTAGTAATTCATGTAATTAAACCTTTTGCAAAGGACCCTTAGAAAAAAAAAGCCTTTGTTGAGCTTACCTTAGTTGTGGGTTCTGCATGCTCTACCTTGCGCTTTTTTGTTCTCTTATCAAATCTCTTGGAAGCCTCCGAGTAGTCCTAGGAAACGAGATGACAAGGCAAATTTCACACCAGGCAAACAAGGTGCAGGTTTGGTGCAAGTATCCCCGACATTTCTCTTACTCATATTCTGACAGCATGTATACTCTAGTTACCTGCACTGACAGGCTCAGAGGTGAGAAATTAGCAGTGAATGTAATCACAAGTCTAGCACACAAGGGTTCACTATAAAGATGTCATGTACGCTGTCACCATTTATTAAAAGGAACATGAGAGCGCGTGGTCTTCGCTCTGCGGTGATAAATTCTCGTAAGAACTCGCATGACCCCTGTAGCACCAATGTTTTGCTATACAGTCGAAACCCGTAATAACGAAATCGCCGGGTAAACCGAAAAATTTCGTTGCCGCGAGTATGAGACATAAAAACAGTGATACGGCCAGCAGAACGAAACTTTATTGCCAGCAGTCGGTCAACTTACTTTGCCGACCCTTGCCTTGCAACACCTTCAAAGCTCTCCCTTCACACTGGAAAAAGTGGTCCATCGCTACGTCGTCGCCATGTGCGCTGAAGAAGGAGCGAAGAATGTCAAGCGCATCCAAAACAACCCGCTAGTTGTTTTGGATGCGCTAGCGCGTCGTTCCTGCCTTCAGTCTCACTGTCAGCGAAGTTAGGGCTAAAGCCGACTACGATGACGCGCCGCGCTCGTACACCGCGCGCCAGCTCGTAGTAATCTGATCGTGCATCCGGTGCGACCACTCGTAGTAATCTGACCGTGCTGCCACTTACAGCTTCGTTGCACGTCGCCATGAGTGCGCTAGCGCGTCGTTCCTGCCCGCAGTCTCGCTGTCGGCGAAGTGAGGGCTAAAGACGACTCCGATGACGCGCCGTGCTCGTAGTAACCTGATCGCGCATCGGCCTACTGCTCCTAACTGAAGCGTAATTATACCTTAAGTGATCATCGAGCCATGAACACGTCACGAAGTACCAATTTTCGAGAGCCATGTCCTCGCGACGCACAAGCACCAGACGACGATCTCCCGGAGCGAGCATCGGGTCAATGGCGAGGCAAGCTGAGGCAACATGGCGGCCACAGCCAATCAAGGACCTCGAAACGACCTTCAAACATTTGCTTTTTGTGCGTTTGTTTTTAAAGGAAGGAGCCAGCTGAGGCGGGAAAGTTAAACACGAAGAAATGCTCTTTCGAATAAGCCCAAGATGCCGGCTCCCGGACCCGCCATCGCGAAGCCATAATTTTTTGAAAATCGCCGTTTTCTCGCGATTTCCAGAAAAAGTTTTGCTACCTAGGTGGGTTAAATGAATTTCACGAAGCACTTCTGCGCAGTTTTCATAGTTGATATTTTGGAATAGGATAGAAAAAGGGTTCCAGAAACTGAAAACTTGATTTTCAAAAAAGTTAATTTTTTGGCCATTTTTGGCGATCCCAAAGCCGCGTCCCCCCTTAAGGGGGGACATGGGTCTTTAAAATTTTTTTTCTGTTTTTGGCTCAATCTTGACCAAACCTCACTATCTTGGACAGTTTTTCATGCTGATTTCAAATATGTAATTGTTTCTTAAATTGTTTCAGTGGATAAAAAGATATTAATATCTGTTTTTAATTAATTATGCACTTCATTGGGGGCTTTTTGGCAATTTAATCAAGCCAGATCCAAAAAATAAATGCATAGCCCCAATGCTGAGGGCTTTCTGTATGGTGTGATGCTATTTTTATTAATTTTTAGGCATTATATAGATAAGAAAACAGACCAGCACTTACAATGAATATTCTGTTCAATTTTCGCTCATTACTATCCATAATTGTGATTAACAGTATGCTTCTAGAGTAATCAAAATAGCATCACCCTATAGGTAATGTTATTACAAATAAAATGATACCAAGTTTGTCATTCTCAATCAACAGTAACATATAAGAAAAACCCCTAAGGTTTAGTGTGGTGCACAAAAACATCGAACTGAGAAAAACGCATATAAAGTTTCTAATAACTGTAACTTTTGCTAAAGTGAAGCTAGAGCAATAAAAATGGCACCGTTGTATAGCTCTACATTATGTGAGTATGGCTGTACCAAATGTGTCAATGCACCTTCCCAAAATATTTGCCACAGCTCATTTAAAAACTGTGTACTGGCTGTTGAATCAGTATAAGGAACCCAGTCTACAACTTTGTGGCTGTTCTAGTACACTGAAAACCAAAGGAAGACACATGTTATATATAAAAACATCGCCCTTTTATACATAAAACACTATTTCAAGTAAAACACACATTTTTGTCCCAGACATCCTTACAATTCTACAGCATGCCAGGGCTGTATGCAGTGTCTCTTGCAGGCTTATGTCGCTTTGCAAGTGTTGCCTTTGTTGAACTGCTCTGCAGGTGCTCCCTCCGCGATTTGTGAAGCCTGGTTTTATCCTTTTCAAGGCTACGACGCATGAAGAGATTTCCTGCACTGTAGCCTAGCTTCTCAGCAATTGCTTCATTGCTCTTTGTGGCCCCCTGATTAAAGTGGCTGATGGCTTCAGCCACTGCTCTTTCTACGCTGCGCAGTGAGGCATGGGTGGTCTTGGGGACTTGTTGCCAAATTGTAGCGTGTAAGCTCTCACTAGGATTCTGGGTGATCCCATCACTGCACCTTTCCAACAATGCTTTGTCGCTAAGCCTCATAAACACAGGCTCTAGTGCCTGACAGAGTGCCATCTCTAGTGCCATCTCCGGCGTTCTCGGCGGCGTGCAGGCGTGGAATGCGCGCCCTTCTGCCGCGCATTCCACGCTCGCTTTCGTTTCCTGCCGAAAGCTTGACGAGTGTTCTTCTTCAGGCGAGCTTCCCAAGCCATGCCGGCGAAATGCAGAAAGACGTATACGTCGGCGACGTCAGTACACGAGCGGGTAGCAGACGAGATAACACGCACGAGAGCAGGCGCCGACGGAGCGAAACCAAACAAACAAACAAAAAGAGCGAGCAACCGTGGCCGCGCCAGCCAATGGTAAGCGCGAGACGGGGGGCTCGCCGGCGCGCGCGCGCTCTAGCCAATCAGCGGTCCGGCAGACGGCTTCGCAAAACGGGGGAGGGCAGTCGTGTTGGAGCTACGCCATTTTGAGAGCCCGCAAAACGCGCACAAAGGAACCAGCTTCAAAACAAGCCCAAGATGGCGCCTATCCGCCGGCTGCTTCGCTGGCGGCGCGCGCGGGAAGTTCGAACAAATTTTCTGTTTTGCGGGTTGTTTTGCGACTCCCGTGATGGTTTGAAAATAGATTTTAACCTATTTTTTTATCGAATTTAGCGTTAATAATTTGAGGAGAGGTGCTTATAGGTTCAAAGATTCGAAAAATGCGTTTTTCTCAAAATCGATTTTTTGGCCATTTTTTACTTTTCTAAGACCCGCGTCCCCCCTTAAGTAAACAAAAATGGTGGTGCCCACGCTAGCGTGGCAAAAGCAGACGTTTACTAATTTTGACTGCGCATAACACGCATACGAACATATTTTCGACAGTTAACCTTTAGTGGGAGGGTAAAATAAGGCCCGCTTCATGGTAGAAAATTCGTTAATGCGGGATCGCTGTCCAAAAACATTTCGTTGCCGCGAGATACGTAATACATGGGCTTCTATGAACGTTCGCCGGGGATCCATAAATATTTCGTTCCCACGGGGATTTCGTACTTGCGGGGTTTGGTTACTGCGGGTTTTGACTGTATGCTCTTACAGTTAATGTTTCATTTATAGGCACACTAGACCCTTTACTTCCCATTTTTCACTAAAAACCCACACTGTTGAGCGACCATGTCCGAGCCTTTTTAAAAAGTACCAGCCCAGCACACCACACAGAGACACACCAGCACATATTTGTCATTGTGCATTGAACACTAACGCAGCTGGTCATGCTCTATCCCATTGTGCCTGTCCTGTGTATATCTCTTTCTTGTCAGAGTTCTGTTAGTGCAGCCATGCATTATGCTCCGCCCCTCACCTCAAATTCTGGGTATGCTTCAAAAGGTGAATGGGGATCCCGCGGTGGTTTGGTGGCCTGAAGAATGCGCCAGATGTGGCCAGTCTCGTCGAGCGACACCTCCAGCAGATCCCCTTCGGTGAGCAGTGCCTCCAACCGCGTCTTAGCCCCTGCACTCAGTTCCAGTACAGGGCTCTCCACTTGCCGTGGCACCAGCGGAGACTTGCGCGCGTGCTTGCGGGGTGAAGGGTTGCACACTGCAAGGAACGCGTTTGCAGCAGCTTCATGAAGTCATAGTCATCCATTCGTGAACTTAGGAAGTTGGTAATTCATATTCATTTCACAAAGGTTCTACAAAGAGAGGTCATCAGAATTCTGCGATTAATGGTCTTGCTAATATCTGGTTAATGTTAATCTAGCGAACTAAAAGAACGAAAAATTCTAGGAGCATTAGGTGTCGCTAGAGCTAACATTTGAACAAACAGACCTGTCTTCTACAAAACTGCAACCTGTCGCAGCCTTGTGGAAGACAAATCCTTTGTCAAAGTGTTGCAGCAGCTTCATAGAAATCAAACCTGCTTGTCGTAACATTAGCTCCAGCAACACGCCGTGTTTCAAGGATACTTTTTCAACTCCTACCTTAGTTGCATATCAGTCTAAATATTACCATATTTACTCGCATAATAGGTGCACTTTTTTCCAGAAAATCTGGCTTCAAGTTCAGGGTGTGCCTATTATGTGAAGTAAAATTTTCGAAAATGTTATTGCGGACTACAGTATAGATCGTTGATACGTATACGTCGCCTAAGTCACGAATAACCGCACTACATGGCGCCAAATATGTTGATCACGTAGTCTGGCGTGTCGAGAATTGAGGCATGCGATGCGGTGGGCATACCAATTTCCAAAAACTAACATTGAAAGACCCGTGTTGCCAATGAAATGAATGCAAAAAAAAATCTACAAGAGCAAAGCACCATCACGGAAATTCGCCAATTGATTTCGGGCTACCTTTCAGGACACCTAGATTATGTGCATTATCCTGCCCAAAATTTTGTGAGCTGAACGGTACCAATCGTTCAATTTCACAGGTTATACACCGCATATACAAGACATTACAATTGAATCGCGAACCACTATTACAGTGTTAGAAGCGCCACCCAAGCCCCATTTCATTTAAAGTGAGCCACTGAAATGAGTTACGTGGATTCCGCACAAAACTGCAACTTTGATCACCCGCAACCGCCACCGAAAAGCACTAACCGTGATTAGGCCTAGCTGGCCTACTATTCGGCGTATAGGGACAGAAAGTTTCTACACGACAACATGAAGACTGGTCAAGGAGAAGATCGCACTCAAGCAACTGATTCAAGAACAGCGCCCATGATATAATGTTTAGGTTCGTGACCAGGCGACAAATCAATGGCGACAAAAGTCCACCGACCTTGTGCAAGTACGCGCAGTGGCAGCAAAGGCGAAAGCTCATGTCGAAAAGCCAAAAAGCTTTTAAATTTGCAGACGAGAAAGCAAATGCGATGACAACGTTTTACAGGACAGGAAGCTCAATGCATACTTGACACGGTTGCACATTCTATGTGGTGCGCGCGCGGCCGGGTTCGCGGCCGGAGCCACGACGACGCCGGTGCAAAGGTTACCCCTGACACCCGGGTAACCACCCTTCTTCCCTACTCAGTGAGCCCACGGAGCTGGCGCAGCGCTGCTGCGGTCTTTTTTTTTTCTTTCTTTTTTTTTTCTCGCCTCGAGTAACTTTAAAGGGCCAGCCGTTCAAATACGGTACAGATCGCGGCCAAGTTCGGAGTGCGCCTATTATGCATGGAAATAAAAAAATCAGGTTTCTTGCAAGAAAACTGGGGGTGCGGCTATTATGCAAGTGAGCCTATTATGGAAGTAAATACGGTATTTGCACCGAAGAGAGAGCTCTTTCAAGCTGTTTGAACCAAAATGAGGCAAGCACGCCCATAGAAACAAATGTGCTGCGATGGAGCACTCACTAGCATTGTTCTTGGACGCAGTCGAATAGGCATGCTCCATGCTGCTATAGCTGTCGCAAGGAGGCAGCTTTTCATCTTCCATCGTGGGCTTCACATCGCCATCTTCAAGGCCATCCTGAGACTAAAGGGCAGAGAGAGCAATAAGTGATGAACAAAAATGAATAAAAAAAATGATAACAGATATAGGAGGATACCATGCTTACAAGAGACACTTCCTGTTCTGCTGCAACAGTTGGAACAGCGTCCTCTGGCATGCTGGCTGCCTCCACGTCGGAGCTGCTGCCATCTGCAAGGAAGGTTAACACGTGAGATTTCTTGTTTCGAGAAAAGCATAGCGTGAAGCTCGACTAGTGCAAGAACAAGAAGCCAAACTGTCTCCGTTGAGTCTTTGGCTCTGTTACAATGCTCTGTAATTTTTCTTCAATAAAAAGATTTTACGATGGCCCAGTTGGTATATGCTGGACATACCTAGTGAGCACAACAAAACGGCACTTGCCCTGTGTCTACCCTTTCCTTCTTCATTAAAAACAATGTCACAGCTTTGCCGGAAAGGCCAAGCAATGAATGCGATAGCAACGAATTGAAAGGTCACGCACAGAATTGAAAGCATATCGAAACATGGCCCACGTTCCTCACGCACAAATGACGCATAAAACGTACTCACAGGTACGGATGCACGCGAATAAGCGTCTCATTTGTTACTTTGCTGTGTCTGAAATGCGCATGCTTTTCGCAAACTGAGACTGCAATGATTGCAGTGACCTTTGTGGACCAGGTAACTACAGCAGAATCATTCCAGGTAAAACCTGACGCCAGTCAAGGCGTACGACCTTCCCCTCCTCGCCGGACAAAGTACGCATAGGAGATTAGTGTGGGCGCCGCCGCGCAATGTGGTGCGGCACGCTCTTTGCGCCATCTTGCTGGTAATGCTGAAAACACAATCCCCCCCCGAGATACTCGTGAGCAGCGGTAAGTAGTAGATATAAGTAGCATGCCGTTTGAACGGTGAAGGATGTGCTCCGGGGTGGCTCAGTGGTTAACGCCTCGCTTTCACGACGCTGAAGTCCCTTGTTCGATTCCGTGCACCGGAGTGTTTTTTTCTGAACTTTTTTTTCTTTGTCGCTTTTTCATATAGATATGTATACATGTATGGTGCATGACATCAACACCAGCGGCAAAAGCCAGCCTAGAGTGTCCATATAATTGCTATCGCAATAAAACTATTACCTAGCCCTGAGAAGACGAGACCCAGTTCCCACCAAACACGGCCACAGTTTACAGCCACTGTTGAAAACAAGCTATGGCAGTTGCTTATCTGAATTCCAGGATGACCTAAGTTTTCTCCCCTGGCACTACCTCAGGTGATCCATCTGGAGCATCAACCCATGCAGACTGATCAATAAAGCTTCGCCCATCATTAAGTCTCTTTTGGCTTTCCTCTTCAATCCCACTTTTTACTCAATCCGCCCGTCTACTGCAGCCCTCCAAGGGAAAGAGAATATATGTAAAGCAATAGTAATGAGCAAGAATCAGAAATTCCTGGTCTGCCAATAGCTATTGGTGAGAATGACGTTTATCGTATTCTACGGCTGTGACTTACTGGTTTATCTTAGGCTAACATTTCTGTGAGGATCAGCTTGAGAGAAGGCAGACATTGTCTCACCACCTGTTACATCTCAAAACTCACTTTTCTCCTGCGCCCGCAGCCCTCCAAATGCCGACTGTGCCACACTCTGCAGGTGCGGCTGCAGCTCCGGCTTGCTGGCTGCTCGAAGCAGCTCAGCATTGATGATCTTCTCAGTCTTCTCTCGTGCTGCTTGCTCCACCATTTTTTGGGAAAGGACAGACAGCTTGGCCAGGGCTGCCGCCAGCTCATCGGTGGCCAGTGCTTGCCGGGCACGGTCCTACGTACGGGCAACAACAGGGCACATCCAAGCATTACTGCCAGACACAAGCTGAGAGACATGCTGTAGTCAAAGCCTGCACAGGTCTTTCAGCTTCCTTCTGTTAATTGTTTAGCAACAGATTATGCCCATCCAATGTGCCTGTATCAAGATAATATTCTACATACAGCTCTAAATACTGTACAACTCTTCTCAGTGTACAGTCAAACCCACATATATGGAATGAACACATAACAATTGATATATTGAGCATATCATAGCTGATCTTTAAAATCCTTCTGCATATATTTTATGTACATAAAATAATTTATATATATCATATAGCCTGTACTGCAAAACTATTTTGTAATTCCTTTCAGGTTCAATATATCTTGGTTAAACTGTATTAGTGCTCCATGACATCCCACAATATTACTGCAATTTAAGGCACTGCTCTTACTTTGCAGGCATTTTAGCTGCAGCTGGAGGCTGGCAGCAGCCTCAATTTAATGTATACATTCTTAGATACCAGAGCCTTAACTAACCACAACTCATTTGAATACACAGGGAAATTGCGTACTTGTCAAAGGAAGAAAATTGGCTCAGGCACTGCACTCATTTGTCCTTCCATGATAAACTGCCCGAGGGCCATATTCTCAATCACTTTCAGTGGCACTTCCATTAAATTTCCTGAACAAGTGTTAAATATGCTAGGAAAGCAGGCCAGAGACATTTTAACTTGTTCACACCAATAAATCTGGCACTAATCACATGAAATTTCGTGAAAAATGAAATATTGCCAAAGGTGATAACTTGAGAATACCGCCTTTGCACCTATCCATGATACTCATGGCGGCTGAACCACTGTGCCTGCACCTCTGATGGACAATTACTATAAGGAAAGCAGACTGCCTTCTAATTATTTTTATATATTTTTTTAAATAGAACTATCTGCAATTAGCGCGTACCTGCCACGACATGGCTCGCTCGGTGAGACACTGCAGCGCCTCCCCTTCAGGTAGCCGCACGGGCAGCTTCTGTAGCGACACCAGCAACGACAGAATGGTCTCGAGCCGAGGCCGCCGTGACCGCAGGCACCCGGGGCACAAGAACTTATTCTCCTTGGCCGAGGCCACAGAGAAGACGGATGATCCTGGCGACGACGAGCCAGCCGCACCACCTCCAGGGCTGCTGCCTCCCCCAGAGTTGCCAGACTTTGCCGCACCCCTTGCCTTGGGTGTCGGCACGCAACTAGCTGCAGAGATAAGAAGATTCATGCCCGATGAGCGTATTCCTCAGTTCTTTTCAACATGATTCATTGTATACACACGATACACAATTTATTTTTGGGCACACAGCCTTGACAGATGGTTTGAGGCACTGTAACAATGATAATAACAATGCCTGGAGTTGTGCGTGCTAAAACCCCAATACGATTATGAGGCATCCCAATGTGGAGGTCTTCAGAACCTCTGACCGTCTGGTGTTCTTTAACATGCATTGACATTACAAGGCTCTCTCTAGCATATAACTTCCATCAAAATGTGACTGCCACGGCCCAGATCGAACCCCCGACCTTCCGGTGAGCAGCCGAGCACCATAATGCTACACCACCGCGGTATGGTATATAGATGAAGCTTCGAAAACGAAATTCCGGGACAATGAATTTTTTTCGCCCATCCCACCAATTTTGTTATGGGGGGATTCGACTGCGTTACAAAGAATATTCGCGATTTGGGCAAGAATGAATTCTGGCCATGCCTAACCATTTGACCTTATCCACTACATGTTACAGTGAGGTTATACACTCAAACCTCATTATAACAAAGTTGCATCTTACATGAAAATGAGTGTTATGTCCTAAAAATTCGTTATAAAGGTGTATTGTTAACACTATATCTACTGCAATACTATTTCTCATTTACTTTGTTATAACCAATATTTCTTTATATCTGGGTTCGTTATATCGAGATTTGTGTGTATATAAATCTTTATCTTCAAACAAAAAGCTATTCAATTTATGTACACACAGCCTATTCCCATGCATGCAAGGAGAAAGCAAGAAAAAGGCAGCATAATCACCATGAAACCAATCCTTGCAGAGCTCACACTGCAGCATATGGCCACCAAATAAGTTCTGGCAGGTGCAGTAGCGTGCCTGGCCGGTGTCCTCAAGGCGCTTGCGCAAGTTGTGTGCTCGCAGCTGCTTCATGCTCTCCAGCTCTTGTGCCACAGACTCTTTGAAAGCAGCCACCTGTGTTGATGAACCAAGTGAACAAGCAGAATTGTTAACCCTTTCAGATGAGAGTTCTTGGTTTAGAGAAAGAAAAAAACAACAACACCACCAAATTGCCGCATGGAAGCTAACTTGCAAAGGGAGTGTTTTAGCTTAATAATGTAGAACACAGTCATAGCACTTAGAGGTAAGTGAATAGTAGGGGTGTGGAAATATTCCGAATTTTGAATGTTTATTTAATAGTGTTTGCTATTTCATTCGATTCACTCAGCAAATTTACTATTCGAACTTCCAAAAGACAAATACAGTCATCGTCCGATTGACAGTGCACCCTTCAAGTTTTTAAAGTGCTTTGCCCCGTCACATTCTCGTGTTGCAGCAAAGTTGCCTTTCAGCTTTTGCTGCAGTTGTATATGTACTGAATCGAGAAAATGCAGATCCCAACACGGAGATGACAGATGCAGTAGAGGTGGGGGCTGAAGCGATGCTGTTTGAGACCCAACATTTGGGCTGAAAGTCCGAAAAAATGGACGCTGAAGATATTTAGCACATAGTAGACTCTCAGTAAATGAAAATCTCTAAACAGTAACTGCTGGCTAAATGTAACAACTTTCCCTAGCATGATTGGTTTCCGACTTGAATTCTTCAATCAAAGAGGAAACATGTTTTCCTGGTCCCTTCAGGTTCCATTTAACGATAATCTATTGTACTTCCAATAGCACTAAAATTGCGGTGCAAATCACACAGACTATTAAAAAAATATTCGGAAGTTCAAATATTTCCACACCCCTAGTTTTTACATTCTAGCCCTTCCCAGTACTGTGAAATGTATCAACAGGCTCAATTGTCAATGCATGTGTAATTGCTATCTCTATAGGTACATGAAATTATGCGCAAAAGTGTTAGACATGATGATTTATGTATCCGTAATTATGATCTCCTTAGGCACGAGAATGAGCGGAGGAGCATTAGACGTCATGATAGCATGCAAGTGCTTTATCCTAGACTTACAACGGTGGCCGGGTCCTTGGTGTCTTCAGTTTTTATTTCTGGTGGCTCCTCTTTGTCGGGCAGCAGTGGTCCATCGCGCAACCGCTTCTTCTTGCCTCGTGCGGTGACCTGATAGATGCCAATGTCCCGGCGAGGCGACAACACCTACAACGTGCACGAAGATTTGCACCACAATGTTGCAACCTATACAAGGACTTTTATCGACAGTCCAGGGATAAAGCGAACTACTTAATCCCCTATTCACAAACCAACGTTGTCCTTACCTCCAGTTTTTCTGTACTCTCTACATACGGTATAAGGGCAAGAAAATGGCAACAAGGTAGAAGATAACATCAAGATGGGTTCATGAATACTAGCCAACTTTGTACATCAAGTGCAATAAAGTCGTAAAACCGATAAGAAAAACTCGAGGTAAGGATGAGGTTAGTTAGAGAATTAGAATAACATGTGCCTTAGAATAACAAACAGTTGAGCTAGTTGGTAAGTGCTCATTCTAAAAGTCAGCTCGTGCACACACACGGACACAAAGAAGTCAAGACATACGATAAACCGACTAACAACTCAAAAGGGGGCGCTGCTGTTTCAACGCCATCTTCGCTCTCGCCGCTATTTTCTTATCACAGACTAATGATGTGGATCTAATTAGTCATCAGCTGAGCTCACGTGCACAATTCGTCGTCGCACTGTGCGTAGTGTTTGAGCAAAGCATGACCGAGTAATTATCAACGACTTCATACCATAGGTCACTGGTGTCGCATTTTTCACTGTCATAGCATTCCTTTCGTGCTGCTTGAAAGGCTCATCTTCACAACACTCACTCAGAAACCAAAAGAAAGCGTAACAAGTGTGCAGGTGCTGTTGTAGAGCTTCCGGACGAAAATATGCGTGAAAAGCAAGCACAGTATAGACCGCTCATAAATGCATACGTAGCAGGAGTCGCGAATATCCGCACTATAAGCGGTACAGCACTATAACCAAAGCAACCTTTTTCTGGGGGCCACAGTTGCGCATAACATTTTGAGCATGCAGCCTCGCGTGTCAGAAAATGAAAGCATGCGATGCATGATGCTTACAACCATTCGAAATTCCAAACATTAAAAAAAAAAAAGACCAAAGAACTGCATTGCCAACGAAATGAATGCCAAATGGGGGGAGGGGGGTTGTCTAACAAATGAAAGCAACATCGCAGACGTCCACTGACTATTTTTTAGACCACCTGGATTATGCGCCTTACACAGAAACCATGTTGAACCACGTCCAAAATTTTACTCGCTGAAAGACAACCATCGTTCCATTTTATGGGCGCGTCCCCAATTTCAAGACATTGCACTTGAATCGCGAACCACCATTCAAGTGCTACACATGTCACCCTTATTTTCACTAAATATATGTATCTTATCTAGACACCCCAAAGTTTCGTTCGGTCCATATGGTACCGCTGCCGTTCGGTATGCTGTCACTGGAAGTTTGTTCAAGACATCAAGATCAGGCATTGAAAAAGATCGCACTCAATTTCTGAATTGAGAACAGCATGCATGATATGAAGTTTGCGTTTGCAGCAGTGAGATCAATGACAAAAACTTGGCAAGCTTATGTAAGGCCGCTATTGGCAGCAAAGGCGAAAGCTCGTGTGACAAACAACTTAAAAACTTTCAATTTTACAGACCAGGAAGATAGCTCACATCATATCGGTAGCAAGCTCGTTAACGGCAATGCTTTTCCCAACAAGAAACTTAGGCGCAGTTGATAAGGAAGGGAGAGCATGTGCCATTTTGAGCCGCGCGCAGCTGGCAGAAAGCGACGGAACCACGCTGACGACGCTAGTACACTGTAGCCACGTCGGCGCCGGTGCAAAGGCTCCTGAGCAACCGCACTCCTTTCTACTCGGCGAGCGTACCGCAGTCTTTTTTTTTCTTTCCTTTTTTCCTCTCTCCGCCCTTCTTTCATTCGGTCCGTGTCCCCTCCTCTTTTGATAAGACCTCGTCGCTCTCTCCCCAGTGGCCCACCCAGCGCGTGTCCTTCGAAATGCGCTATCGCAACCCCTTTTGTCACAAAGATTTCCCGGCAACCGCATTATAACCCGTCTTTCATCTTGGGGGACTGCACAACAAGCATTATGCGTACACAAAGAGTTCTACGGGAGGGTAAACGGGAGTCAAAAAAGATCGCATTGTAACCGGTCCTGCGCTTTACCGTAATTACTCGAATCTAACGCGCACCTTTTTTCCGGTTAAGCAAGTTCATAAATTGCATGCGCATTAGAATCAAGTACGAAAAAAAATGAATACGGTCATTCTATTGCCATCGTCATTTCCAAAATGGCCGCCCCCTACGTGCGTCGGCATGGCGCGTCGGCCATTTCTGCCTATGTGTTTCCCATGTGCGACACTTCGTATGTGTGCTAAGGAGTTCGTCATCTTGTAGTGCAATAGCATCGACGGCATGGAAGGGCCGACTCCAAAAATCGGGCCGCATCGCGGTCGTTTGGAGCTCCCGAAACGTGCGTGTGGGACTGGCGGAAACAAGAGCAGAAGAGTGTCGACAGCAAAGATTCACGCAAAGTCTTCAGTGGACCACAGCAAGGTCGGTTTCCGCAAATTGAAGAGCTGCTCAGCGAGTATGTGATTGGGCAGTGAGCGGTACAGCGGCCCGTGACGACAGAACTGCTCCAAGTGCAGGCTATGCAGTTAGCCTTAGAAAAAGGGCTAATGCGGAGCCAGTTTAAAGCGAGCAGGTGCTGGCTAACTAATATTATGAAGAGGAAAGGCTTTTCCCTCCGAAGGCAAACGGGCATATGCGAAAAGTTTCCGGAGGAGTACGATGAAAAGCTTCACAGTTTTCAGAGGTTCGTCCTAAACTTGCAGCACAACAACGGCTACCTGCTTGGGCAAATCGGGAATACCGATCAGACGCCTCTTTACTTCGACATGCCTGGCACTACAACCGTCGAGGAGAAGGGGGCGAAGCAAGTTCGTGTGCTGACATTGGGCCACGGTAAAACTAGAGTGACAGCAATGCTCCGTTGCACGTCAGATAGGCACAAGCTTCCCCCGTACCTCATATTTAAATGGAAGACGCTCCCGAAAGGAGTCGTTTTCCAGAGTGGTGTAATCGTGCGGGCCAACAAGAAAAATGGGTGCGCGTTGCAATCGATGTCTTACTTTTTTTTTTCGGTTGTGAAAACCGGGTGCGCGTTACAATCGAGGGCGCGGTAGAATCGAGTAAATACCGTAATCAGTTACATTATAAGTTGTCTACACTGCACCAGGTGATGGGGCTATCGCACATTTGAGTAGCGTGGGCACATTGAGAAATACGCAGATACTCTGATGATGATGATGATGATGATGACAGTGGCAGCTACAAAGTTGGCCATCATTTCCACAGCCGCGAGTAACTTTTTAAGATCGGATTCGTTATTTTGAAGTGTTGTGGAGATACAAGGGGGATAAAATTTGATACGTTATTCTGAACTATTCTATATTCCGAAATTCGTAGTAGTGAAATATTTTTATGTTAGACCAATGACCATATGGAGGGAGATTTTCAAAAAAAAATTCATTACTCTGAAAAAAAAAAAACGTCAATCTGAGGTTCGCAAGAACAGGCACTGTATAATAGCACGCATGCAACTGCCTGTAAAGCCGGTTTCACTGAGGCAAAGTGTTGCTAAGCTGTCAAAGCTTCTATCTAGATGTATTTAATCCACATGCAACCCACTGTAAAGGTGGTTTTGCTGCAGTCAACGATAGTAAGCCATGAAAACGCCTGTCCAGATGAAATCAGCACTTCCACAACGCCCCGCTTTAAGGTTAAGTGAACATATTTCCCTTGCATTGATTTAACACTTTTTAGCTTTCGAAGCTTGTTATACTAGCTAAATAAATAAAGTTATATTGCTTATATACAGCAAATTTTAAAACGTAACATAGTTTGCAGGTTATCACTTGCATTCTACCAAAAGCCAAATCCAGCTACTATTTAAAGTTGTTTCTATTTCCCTTGAGCCAAAAAGAATGGCATTTACACAGGCCTTGTTCTGAGTTTTAAAATACCGTATTTACACGATTGTAAGACGACCCTTTTTTTCAAATTTGACAATCCAATGTTGGGGGGTCGTCTTAGAATCGAAATCGAACCATGTACCTTAGAATCGAAATCGAACCATGTATTGTCATCTCGAATAGTTTCCCGCTCAACCCAAAGCGCATAGTTTTCCGCGTGCTTATACAAAAGCTTTTCTTTTTTTAGCATCTACTGCGCGCATTACGAGTGCCTTTATGACGAGCGCACGGCTCTTGAGGGAGCACCGGTAATCGATGGAAGAGCCGCCGTAGGGGGGTATTGGTAGTTGACGGAAGAGCTCCTCTTTGTGATACAATTTTCTAAGCGGGCGTGTCGCCGCGTGCTCCTGTCGCTTGTGTCCACGACCGGCTCTATCGAGTCACTTCTGTCTAACATGAGTGCCGTAGGCTCGAAGAACACTCGGCGCTCGTTTACGGCAGCGTTTAAGCGGGCTGCTATTCTTCATGCGGAGGCAACCAACAACTGTCCCACGCGATGCCGTCCCACGCGATGCCGTGGTGCGGTCGTTCGCGAAGTGTGAACTCACACTTGACGACGACGTGCTGTGGGACTGCAGCAGCAATGACGGCAGCAGCACCAGCGAGGACGACTCCAGCGACGATGAATAATCCTCCGCAACCACGTGAATAAATTTCCCTTGTGTAAAATGCGCGCGTTTTTTTTTTTTTTTTTTGAGATGCGATTTTGGGGGGGTCGTCTTACATTCGAGTCGTCTTACAATCGTGTAAATACGGTATATTGTACAGGATAGTTGGGTAAAAAAAAAAAATATGCCCATTTTTTTTTATAACACGAGATATATACTACTCGAATTTGATTCGAACATTTTGACCAAATCATTATTCTCTTTAAATTTGCACCGAACCTAAAATGCATCATTTGCAGAAGCTGAATTATGATATTTGAAATAGTGGAGGGCTTCTGAAATAACGACCACTTCAACGTGCACCTAAATCAAAACACACAGGCTTCTGGCAACTTGCCTCTTTTAAAAGGTGACTGCCTCTATCAAAATTCCACACTGTGACGTTCGGGTCACAAGCCACGCACCATAATCACTAGACTTCAGCAGCTGGTACACAACTAACATGGTACATGCCTCAAGCAAGGAGTAGGCAGAGTTCTTCTTGAGGAAAGTCCGTGCTGTGCGCTCCTTCCAGGCCTTGGCCGCTGCCACCTGAGACTCCAGCTGCGGCAGCTGCTCCAGGCACACTGGTATTGGCCGGCCCTTCTGCAGCAGATTCTCCAAGGTTTCTAGGTATGGGTATTTGGACTCCGAGCCCTGCAAAACCGGAGGGCAAAGTTGCAGTTGGTCTTGCTTATTAAGTCGCTGATAGACAAGTGTACATGGCGAAACGAAACATAAATCCTATGAAGGTGTCTCATTGCTTTTTGAAGTCAGTCGGGACTGTTTATTAAGTACAGTCGATGTCCGATTTCCCGGACCCTCAACGGACCGCGACAACCTCTGGAAAGTTGGGAAGCCCGGAAAAACAAATAAAAGTGAAAACACACTTTTTAATAGGTACTTATCACTGACGGAGAGTGCCGCTTCAGTAGTACAGGGTTCTCATTGCAATTTAGCACATTCATCGTTTAGGTGGTTCTCAAAAGAGCCGAACGAAAAAGAAAAAAAAAAAATCCAATGTGGCCAGCATTACATTTGTAAACACTTAGGCACAAAAAAAAAGAAGAAAAAAGTCACTTTTCGCTTGGCATTCCACTAGTCCGAGATGATGTGACACTGTCACTGTAACTACACCGATGACAGTGTCAGTGCTCGCGTAGACTCCGAGCTCGTTGATTGTGTAGGACCCGCCACTTTTTTGCTCTCAAGTGTCAGAATCCTCAGTAACTTGACGAATGATTTCGTTATCGGTCAATTCCGCACACAGCTCGAGGTCTTTGTTAGCGTCGGCAAAGCCCTCAAAGGTTATTCCAGCTGGAATCGAAACTCCGGCAGCATGCAGTTCATCAAAGGCAACTTTTGTGGGTGGAATTTCGCCACACACCCTGTCCACTCCGCGCGAGATGGCCGTCTCGTCGTCTAGTATGATGCTCGCATAACGAAAACAGTTTCGGGGGGTCTGTTGCATAACCGCCTTCCACAAGTCTGCAAGTATATCGACAGCAGACCGTAGGTCAACAGCGTAGCTTTTCCCACTGTGTCAGTGCACAGGCTCCACAGCGCCATGTGGCCTAAGCTATGATTTGCAACAAATTGGCATGCGCTGGACTGCGGCACTTACGGTTTAGGGAGTACAGCAGCCGCGGCGTGGTGGGTTTAAGGGCCCGAAAACAACCAAAATGGCGGGGTTGGCAGTGACTGAGTCTGTGGTAAGCAGTAAAAAGTCCGTCAAATCGGATGGCGAAAGCTATAAACATCCGGAATTTTGAACTTTTCAATACATTGACTCTATGGGGAAATTGACGGCGACAGAAAAGAGTCCGGGAAATCAGGCATGTCCGGAATTTAGGGCGTCCAAGAAATGAAATGTCAAGTGTATTCATTTCTAACAGAATTCCTTTTCCCTACTATGATTTGACACATAGATAAAAATCTCAATTCAGCCTAATTAAATTTACACAGAAAAAGCTGTAACTGTATTCAAGTTGTTATAACAACACTTCTGCACAGCACAACATGAAGCCATCTCTTGTGAAAGCAGTACAGATTCTTACGCCTAGTTCAACCACAGTCGTGGTTAAGTGGCATTCACACTGGCGCTTGACAGAAGCGACAGAGCTGACTAACTTGAACTCGTGGCAACTGTGTTTACAACAGCATCTTCAACCTGCATATGCCGTTGTAAACAACGCCCCACTACAATTAAATTTCTCGAGACTCGTGGTGTTTGCATCTGCTCACCCCACATTGCAACGTAAATTACGTAGCAGTACGTTCCGACTTGCAGCTACCATGCCACGGACTGACTCAGTAGCTTTGTAAATCCAGTTGTTAAGCTCAAAAATCTAGCCATGAACAAAGGAGCAGAAATCATGCTATATTAAAGCAAAATAATTCGCTATACAGAACTCTGCAACATGCCTATCTGAATACCACCGTAAGGCATGATATGCACTGGTACTTGAAGTGACTTGGTACTGGCAAGTGTTACCTGAAGGGCTTCAGCGCGGGCGCCCCACTCTCTTGCTCTGCGGATGGCATCCTTCAGGGCAGCAAGGCTCGGCAAATGGACGGGAATGGCGGCTCCTTCCTCGGCCAGGGCCTCGCAGGCAGCCAACGTCTGGCGGGGCTGTGCCTGCAGGCAAGTTTTTGTGCGCTCCTCCCACCGTTCGGATGCTGTCAGGAGGCCTTGCAATTCAGCCAAGGCTCGCTCAGAGACTGGGTGAGGGGGTATGGCGACCCCAGCTTCGAGTAGGCGGCGCAGCTCCTCCAATGTCGGTGGATTTCTATTCGCGCGCTGCGGCTTTGCCTCAGGCTGCGTCTCCGACTGAGCCTGTGGTTGTGGTAGCAGGGTAGCCTGCACCTCCTCCAGCCACTGAGCTTGCTGCACCTTCTGCTTTAGTTGTGGTATCTGCATGTACACCAGGAAGCAAGAAAGTGGAGCCGAGACATCCAAAATTTCATGTGAACTAAATGTGAACAATCTCGTATTTTATTTACTGTATAAACCGGAACATAGGTCGAGATATTTTCAATAGAATACCGTAATTACTCGCGTAATCCTCGCACTCGCATAACTCCCGCACCCCCACATTTCCCAACAAAAATACTTTTTTTTTTCTCCCTCGAGTAATTATCGCACCCCCATAAACTGCTGCAATAATGTCGTCTGCTCATTCAAGCTGTTGATGATAGCGCACGCCATCTGGCGCCATCTCTTAAGGGGAGATGCTACTCGAAAAACGATTTTCTTTAATAAGAGTCTGAATTTAACACAAATTGGCATGCTAATAGAGTTTTTTCTCCTCTTTTCGAATATGTCATTTCTTTTCATGTAGATTGCTTGGTTTTCTTTCTGCAGGTCAGATACTGCTAAATTATGGGCATTGTTATGCAACAATTCTGACCTCTAAAAATTTGAGATAAAGCATGCAGATATAGCTGACTATGATCCTTTGAAACTATAGAGTGCAAAAAACTATATAAATTTTGTGTGTAAAAAGGTGAAATACAATAATAAAATAGAAAAATTTACTATGGCTCTAGTTGCCAAGGGCTTTCAATGTTATGTAACTTTTGAAAAACATAATCAAGCAGCACAGACAATCTGAATAGATACTTGCACTCTATGGGCCTTCATCATGCTATGTGCAAAATTTCATAGAGGTATGACAATTTTAAGTATACGAACTAGCGTGTATAAGAAGCACAGATCACACAAAACTGCAAAAGGAGAAAAACGCATTTGAAAGATTGAAACCTTTTTTTTTTATCACAGAGTTGTTAGAAATGCATAATCTTTGGCCATAATGTTCAACAAAACTTTGAAAAGCACTGCAAGTTACTAGAACTGTCCTGCAGCATAGGTTGTGCCCTCACGGTCCTTGCGAGCACTCTCTTCTAGCCGTGCCCTTTTCACTTCACGATGACGGTGGGCCCTTGCTTCTGCTGTCAGACGCTCGGACATTCTCTTGATGCGCCTCGCATCGCGGGAATCACTGAAAGTGACTAGATCTCTAGATGGCAGTATGTTGAGCTCTTCCAGGATGTGCTCGAAAGTAGCATCACCCTTGTTGAACCACAGGATTGCCATAGCTGCGGCAGTCTCGACAACCATTCGGGAGACAAACTTAGTCTTGGGGCAAAGTAGCCAAATTTTGCTGTTCAGGGATTCCGATGCGTTCTAGGTTTTCCCTTTGATGCATCAAGCAAGGAGCTTCTCATCCGTTAGCCGCTTATAAATGGGCAAAACAGCCAATCCCTGTGCTTTTGTCAGGAGAGGTGTGTGGCGTGGTGCAGGTTCACCAAGTGCTTCAGCGCGTTGATGTTTGCACCACGACTCTGTTCCTGCAGGGCAAAACTTGTGGCTACCAGCATTGTCAGTAGAGCATGAGTGGAAGTACGAAGCCCATACTGCAGTGTACATATCCCGTACACTCCCCCTGTTGCTTGTTATGGCAATCTGATAGTATGTTTGGAGCTTCTGAATGGCTGGCTCTTTCATTTCCTGCCCTCGTGGTAATGGCACATGCAGCTTCCGTAGCGCGGTGCCAAGTCTCTTGGCCACATGATTAGTGCAGTCTTCTTTTTCTACATTGACAGCACCATAGACTTTTGACTCTGCAACTGCACTATATGCTTTGCTGTTACCGTCACTCAAGAATGTCATGAAATGCAGTGGGGTGTCATAAGTCAATGTTCTCTGCCAAATGCGCATTGCAGCCTCCGTTTCCATGGCATGGGAGGAACAGTCTGCATTTTTTTCACAGACTGGGCCATGGAATGCCTGCCACACTTCCGCGTCTGGGCCCATATCCTTGTGCCTACTGCATTCCAGGCAGTAATTTGATATGACCTCGAAGTCTAAGCAGAGGCCAGTATCTAAGGAGATAACTGCGCCAATCCCGTTGTGGCTTTTGTGGCCCCTCTTCTGCCAAGTGCCGTCGAACATAACAGCCACATCAGTTTTGCCTGCTACTTCTTTTGTCAACTCTCTGGATCGGCGCAAGTTTTCACTCACAGCTGCCATGGCAGCGGTGTGCACCTTCTTTGCTATCGAAAAAAAATCCTCGGTGGTGCATTGGCTTTGGGAGTCCAATAATGGAGCAAAATCTCGACAATAACTCATTCCCAATGCCGACAGCGCGTGCAGCCACCACCGCCTTCACATTTACAGCGAAACTATCTCGGGAGCTCCCACTGTCGTACCGTTGGCTCACTCGGCTGCTGCCGTCCGCCGTAACACGCTGTGACGTATAGGAGCAAGAAAGAACAGTCGCTGAGCATTCGCTGTTTTCGCAATGAAGTTCGAGGAGTGACGAAAGTCCTTTGCGCTTTTCTGCCGGCTCCCGAACGGCAAGTTTTTGAATACCGCAAGCAGGGCATGCCGCACCTGCCACAAGTGCCGTCAGCAAGAGGGTGTCGCACAAAACTGTCGTTGCACAAACCTCATCGCGCTGTCTTTCGTCTTTTTCAAAGAAGCCGAGCTTCTTTTCCGAAGAACTGACGAAATAAAGCGCAGCGTCAATCCCTTTCTCGCAGCCACTGTCGCTCGCGCACTCGTAGATGCCGCCGTCAGGCCTAGCACACGTAGGCGCATTCTCGTTCGTCGCCGTCGTTCGGGGCGCTTTACGCCGCCTTCCCTTGAACTTGTGCTTCGTTCGAAACTTCTGCGGTCTCACATTGCACTTTTTCGAGCTTGTCATCACGGAAATATGCGTAGACGCGCAGAAAAGCAGACGGACCAAATGCCGATGGCCGCCACCAACACAGCTGACAATCACTCGGTAGCCAATGGCGATGCGACTTAGGGTGCCGCGCGTTTCAGACCGCTCAAACCACGTGATAAAAAGGCCTCGTTGTTTATTTTTTTTTTTTGCCCACGTACGAAACTGGCGGTCGTCGGAGCTGCAAGAAGAAGGCCGGACGAAACTTTCCCAACCGATCGCGATGGCGGGCGGCACTGCGACGGGGAGCAGCGCGCAGTCAAAGATGGCCAATATCGGCGCAAATTCAAGAAATTTTGAGCCACCGCGATGCCTTCATACACATTTTTTTGCATTTTGCGGTTCGAATTTAGTTTTGAAATTTTCACAGATGAAAGAAGAAGGGTTGAAGATTACCATGCAATAAAAATCAAAAATACGAAAAATTTCGCTAAAACGCGATTTTTCGACTCGCATCTCCCCTTAAGCATCAAGCGTACTACTATTGAACGGAGTTTCAATCCAATTCAAGCCAAGCCAAAGTGGCTAGTGCACGTTGCGGCGTGTTTTGATTGTTGTGTCGGTAATTTTCTCACGTTATGAAGCGATACTGAAGCTACACGGCTACTTTCAAGTTGAAAGTGATGTATCATGCACTAAACAACGGCAGCAGGGTCGCCGGTAGGCTCTTCGGAGTCGACTGAGTTTTCTGTTCCCTACTAGTGACGACAGCTGAAAGCCACCAAGACGCATTGGGCCTGTGGTGTGCATAAGACTGAGATTGAATGGTAAACTTTACTTCTTCAGAAGGAAACTAGGGACGATTCTGTTAAATGGACATCAATCCAATACCGACATCCTACGCTTACCATTTGAGGGCTCCTGTTGAGTGACGAACGCTACCACAACGCCCACGAGCTTTGCGTATAATATTCATTCTAATTCTCGACTATTTGCTTGCAATTTTTGTGTCTCAAATAAATCTTGCCTTGTGTTGAACCTCTGGTTTATTGAAGAAATTTTAATTAGTACCGCTCAAAGCTTGCTGTTATTTGCTAGGTGTGAGAATCCCGATTTGCGGCCACTTCGTTTTCTTTTTCACTCTGTACGTTTTCGTGGAAAGTTTTCCCAGCGTAATTCTCGCACCCCCCAACTTTTCATCAGGTTTTCCGTCAAAAAAAAAAAAAAGTGCTAGGATTATGCGAGTAAATACGGTAATAAGCTAAAGTCGCACCTCATGTTACTATAGTGGTGTCTAGCAGAAAGTGCACCGCTGTCTGGCAACATGTGGCTTGCATGCGCGTGAAAAGCCGGACGCGACTATATCCACATTCAAATCCAATCGCAGGCTGTCTTGTTTTTTTCTCTCTCTGTCTGTTTTCTTAGTATTCGTGATTTGCTCTCCATTCTGTTCTGAGTTTTCACTCCGCTTGACATTGCGCTGCTATTTTAGTGGCCCCCCTTTTTTTTTCATTCACTAAATATGAGTAGCGGTACGAGGAGGCAGTACTCAGCTGCGTTTAAACTAGATGTTGTGGAATTTGCAGAAGCGAACGGGAATATGGCTGCTCAGCGCCGCTTTGGTGTATCGGAAAACAGTGAGCGCTATTGGAGGGCGCAGAAAGGGAAGCTCCAGATGTGCAATTCCTCGAAAAATGCAATTTCGTCGGCGAAGTGCCATTCATCCGCAGCTGGAAGATAAGCTAGCGGACATTGTGCGGGAAGTTCGTGCGCGCTCGCTGCCTGTGACCGTGGATACCATTCGCAAGAAAGCCGTGGAACTCGCTGGAGAAGCTGGGCTCCCGAGAGAAGAGTTTTGTGCACCAAACTCTTGGTGTGTCTATTTATGCGACACAAAGGATTTTTTCTCCGGTGGCGCACATCCACCTGTCAAAAGTTGCCGGAGTAGTTCAAGGACAAGCTTATAAACTTTCAGCGCTTCAAGAACCAGCTTCGGGAGCAGAATGACTACATGATGGGGCAGATTGGCAACGCCGATAAGACTCCCGTGTGGTTTGGCACGCCTTCGTCGACCACAACCACGCAGCCCGGCTCCAAGGATGTGAAGCTGTTGTCTACTGGCAACGAGCACTCACGCTTCACCGTCATGCTGGCACGCACAGCAGATGATAGAAAGCTTCCGCTCTTCATCATTTTTCAAACGCAAGACGATGCCGAAGGAAGAGTTCTCGCCCGGTGTTGTTGTTCACATCAACAAAAAGGGATACATGGACGAGGCCACGATGCTCGAATGAATAAGAGTAGTGTGGAACCGTCGGCCTGGTGCACTGCTGCGTCTTCGCAGCATGCTGATGTTGGATGCGTTTCGTGGTCACTTAACCGACGCTGTGAAACGCGCACTCGGTGACGGGAAAATGGACCTCGCCGTGATACCAGGTGGTGTGACGTCCACCCTCCAGCCGCTCGACATTGTGCTAAACAAGCCGTTCAAGGACCGAGTGTGGCTATAGTAACAAGAGTGGATGTCCGGCGACAACACAAAGACACCGACGGGCCGCCTACAGAGGCCTCCGCTTGCAACTGTTTGTGGCTCGGTGCTTTCCGCCTGGCATTCCTTGCTGAATTCCATGCTGGAAAATGCTTTCAAGAAATGTTGCATCAGCAACTCGCTGCATGACACGGAAGACGACGCACTCTGGGAGGCGTCGAGCTACAAATTCTCATCTTCAGAAGACAGTGGTGCTTCGTTGGACGAATATGAGCAGTTGCGATGGTGGTTTAGGAAAGCTCCAACGATCGGAGTGCGGTGCGCCCAATTTGCAAATAAATGTGGTTCGGAATTTTAGGATTGTTTTCCTTTTTTTTTCTTTTCGGTAACCTGAACTTGGGGAGTCGACCTATATACCCACTTGCCCTATAGTCCGGTTTATACGGTAAACGCTAGACTTTATGATCCAGGCACTTTTGATTGAGAGTCCTGAAGATGGTAACCTAGCATTAGAGGACACACTCTGCCACAGGCACCACATATTTCAGGTCAAGCTAGGATTTCAGCACACACATGTGGTGCTGCTAACACTTCATTATAGGGACCCTGAAACGGTTTTGGCAATTTTATAAATAAGATGGGGCCGGTATACCAAGTCCCAAGAGTCATTGAGAGACCTATAACTCGCTGCATAAACTGTGTAATTTATTACAATGCTTTAAAGCTGCAAATCAATGCAGATTGATGCAGATCGCTGCGACTCTGCCAAACGCGTTTTCAACACCCATTAACAGTGACATGCTCTGGCCATTTCACGTCATCGTGGCTGTTGATCTGACCGACTGTCATGGGCTGTAAAATGTGTAGAAGTACGATTGGCTGGTAGAGTGGCAGCACTTCTTGGAGCAGATATGAACCACTCCGCGAGCTTAGCCTCTCTTGCCAGACAGTGTGCGCGCTGCCGGGCGCACTAAGTGATGGCCTCCGAGACTGCACACAACCTGTTGGCATGCTGATTTCAGAGGTCAAGACTGGTAAAAGCTCAAATTGTCGAGCGCGCTCATGAGAGCTGTGATAGGCAGCAATGCCAGCGTGCCTCATGAGCTGAGGAGGCCAGGCAGAGGTGAGAAGGAGAGTATGATATTACTGTCTGTAGCGGCCTTGGTATATGGCGTGCCACTAAATTTGCGGTGCAAATGGTTTGATGATGCTCTAGCCACAACAGCTGACAAAACTTCAAAATACCGTATTGGGACCCTTTAAATATTTTATTCAGAGCCCACAGAAGTTGCTTGAGTTACTTCTACTTAGCTCAGACACCACAACATTATATAACTGAACCCCTTTAAAGGGGCCCAAGCACCAGGGAGCAATTTAATGTCCCTTACACTAGGAGCTTCTTATAAGCAAAGTACTATGTTCGCATTTTCTGGTCAACTGCCTAATTTTGATGCAAGCACACTGGTGCCTCCTATGTCCATTTGTCTCTTACATCAGTGTCTATTATAAAGGTGTTCAACTATATTTCAACATGGCTCTTTACAATTTAGTGATGCAAAATATGCATCTGAGAACATTAGGAAATTTCTGCAGAGGATAATTCAGACACATATATTTGAAATGTCGCAAAGAAGAGCAGAATAGCCGAACACAAGCTGAAGAACAGTGCTGCAATCGTAGAAAGTACCTCTGGGAGATCCATGTCCAGGTTGAGCCCTGCTTCAAGAAGTTTCTCAAGGCGCCATGACTCGCCCATCTCGTCCAAAGTGAGCAGATCACGAGCACTGCTCTGGAAGTCGACAACTTTGTCCACAAGGTCACGAATCATCGCAGACTCCTTGATCACACATGGTAGCTTGGAGAGCTGCTCGTAGAATACCTGGAAGTTATCATAACAATGACACACTGTGAGCCATTTGTCAAAGGCCCACTGCACTAATTGCAAGGAGCCAGGCACCCTAGCAACACTGCCACAGAACGGTTCCATTTCCCCCCTGGATTCCATTGGACTGTCTCTGCACCTTGACGTATGCTTATACTCAAGTTCATTAAGACTGCACCAAGTTCATTAAAACTGACACATGGATTTGGGCTTCTTAATATTGGGGATCGGATTAGACCCTCATGCATAGATTTGACAAAAGCATATTGGAAGATGCCCACTTTGGAATTGCCAGAAGCTCTTCAAGCTTAAGTTTATTGTGTATTCTGTCACGTCTGCAAAGTCTGCACAAAGATATAGTGCTCGCACTTTTAGGCATTCCCGGAAGATGAAAGATCAAAATGAATAGTGTAAATGTACAGTCTCGCTCATTATGAGCTGCAGTACAGTGGCCACAGTTGAAGGAGCCCCAAGCGATGACACTGCCAAACATAACATTGGTTTAGAAAAAACCACTAACTGAAACAGTGTTTGCTTCAGTAATGTTTGTTGAGTTGGTGCTGCCATGCAGTGTTGGTGCCACTTTGAAGCCAGACATGTTTGCAACTAATATTGGATGCGAAAATACAGAATGCTAGGGTGGGAAATGTCAAAGCTGAATTTCCAACAGTTCATTACTGAAGAAGTGTAATGAGCGAGTGATGCTTTAACAAGTTCCTCAATCTTTCGAAAACTGAGTCTCAAGCAAATTGAATTCTTGAAAGAAATATACTTTCTTAGCACGCAGGGAACGTTTTCAGAAGGAAGATAGAGCCGAGAGATAGGACAGAGCGCACACTTACAACCAATTTTATTGCACAGATGGCGGGAATATATATACATTCAAGAGGGCAAGGAGATCATACACAGATGAAAGGACAAATGAAGGCGCATGCGCCAGATCACCTTATTCCAACCTTGAAATGACAACCGAACTGAGAAAATACTCGTATTTATTATCCGACAGATTGACAGACGGGGCACTTACACACTCAGTTCCTGCTTTGCGAATCAAAAAAGCTTCATATATTTCACATGCTCTCTTGTCCTAATACCTTGCCATTACTTGGCATTCATCAAACTTCGGTGTGCACCTACAATTTGCACAGTGACTTGTCAAGTGGCTGCCCACTGATCTGCGCATCAGATTTGCATGCTTCCTAAGGCGATCGTTCAGACAGCGCCCCAGTCTGACCGATGTAGTATCCACCACATGATAAACAAATCAGGTACACAATGCCTGCAATACAGTCTACAAACATCTTTGCGTGCTTCGTATTGCATCCGACATTTAAAGGTCCTTCGTAGTTAACCCTTTCACAAAGAGAGCTCAGCTTGTTTTTTACCGTGAAGACAACCTTTACCCCAGTTTTCTCAACAATTCTTTTTAAGCAGTGCGAAACTTTGTGCACATAAAGGATGGCAGACACTTTCGTTTTTTGCTGGTCCTGAGATGCGTGCCGTGCATTCTTGCCCTGCTTAAATACATTCAGAAGTGATTCTGATATGCCTGAGAGAAGGCAAGTCACTGTGCAAATTCTGGGTGCACACTGAAGTTTGATGAATGCCAAGTAATGGCAAGGTATAAGGACAAGAGGGCACGTGAAATATATGAAGCTTTTTTCATTCGCAAAGCAGGAACTGAGTGTGTAAGTGCCCTGTCCGTCAATCTGTCGGATAATGAATACGAGTATCTTCTCAGTTAGGTTGTCATGTCAAGGTAGGAATAAGGTGGTCTGGCGCATGCACCATCATTTGTCCTTTCATCTGTGTATGATCTCCTCGCCCTCTTGTACGTATAGATGTTCCCGCCATCTGTGCAATAAATTGGTTGTAAGTGTGCGCTATGTCCTATTTCTCGGCTCTATCTTCCTTCTGAAAACGTTCCCTGCGCACTAAGAAAGTATATTTCTTTCATAAATGCAATATCAACCAGCCCAAGTAGCCACCATTTTGAAGCACCGCCGGTTTCCAAGAACATGTGAGCCTCTCACCTGCAGCTCGTCAAGGGTTAGCCGAGACGTGTACTTGGCATCCTGCGACTGGCGGTTGCGTGTGCGCACTTTCTTGCTCAGAAGCTGCTGGGCCACGTTGGACGTCTTCTCGGACTCCTGCACAGCCTTTGTCAGTGACTGAAGCAGTTCCGTCGGCGGGAAGCGCTTCTCCTCAGCCTCTTGAACCAACTCCTTCAGCTCAGAAAGCTCCAGCTTGTCCTCATCTTCGGAGGCTTCCAGTGCAGCCTTCACCTTGATTGCCCAGTTGTCGAACGATTCCGCCCGCACTTTCAGGCGGTGGAGCATAATCGGCAGCTCATCTAGTGTGTAGCGGTACCTGCACAAACATTGCGGAAATTGGTAAATCAGCTTTACGCTTCTCTGTCTTTATAAGCAAAGTTTTGACCTGAAGATGCAGTAGACTCTCGTTAAACGAAACCTGAAGCAACCAGTAAAAGCATGTTCAGTTTCACAGGAATTTCATTTACTAGGGAATGAATAAAGTACAAAACCAATCATGTTAAAGACAGTTGTTCCATTAAAGCAGCAATTTCATTCAGAAGATTCGTTTTTACGGTAAGCACAGCTAGGTACGGTTTGTTTCACAAGTCCATTCAGCAATAAAACAGGCTGCAACCGGCATCCCCATAGTGGTAATGGTGCTGACAATTAGGGAGCATTATCTTACATTTCTAGTTACGTTGCTGCCAAAGATTACTCATGCCTCACTACTCAGCAAGTTGTAACCATAATAACCTTACGTATATAAATGGCAACTAAGACGAAGGAGTAGTTTTAGTTAATCCTAACTCTTTGGCATTTAAATTATCTATGAGTGTACACTTAAGCCGATTTTATCACACCAGTGGTGTCTCGAGCGAGCTGGTATATTTTACCAAGCTCAAATCAACAATCACAGAAAGAATAGATGAGTAAACAAGAACAGTACTAGTTTGTAAACTGGGCTAGCACACATCCCATCTACATGTTCCTCCCTTCTGCAATTGTTGCTTTGAGCATGTTACAACCAAGTAGCCCAAATTTCTCTGATACGAGTTCAAGCCACAGAAACCACCACTAGGAGCAGCCACTTCTAGAAAGCTGGCAAAATTCTGGCTCGAAAGCCCCGATTTAATGAAATCCCACCGGAGGCAATGGTTGCTGGGTGGGCAATCGCACAGGTGGTCTCGATGGGGTATGCAGACTAATTTTGAGCCATTGCATGAGCACGTGACAGCCGAAAGAAAGCACGTTGTCTTGCAGTAGTCACACTGCCGCTCGTCGTCCGGCAGGAGCTCAAATGCCTCGCGCTCTGCATCGGTGATGCCCCACTCCAGCAGGCGCCGCCGTTGCTCCCGTTCTGTTTCCACCATCTTCAACATGTCCTGAACATTGCAACAACAACAAATAAACAACAAAAATTAGTTACTCAAAATTATTTTGCAGTTTTACAAGGCAGGACTATTATCCAATTAGGAGGTACACTGTAAGTGGTACTCAAGAACTTCGACAACCTAAGGTTTTTCAATCTGCACCTAAATCTAGCAAATAAGCGTTTCCCTAAAATGCGGCTGCCAAGACCAAGGCTGAATCCATGACCTTGAGTACATCAGCGCATTTATGCCATGTAAGCTATTAGAACATGTCATTTAATGCAACTTAGTCAACTTTCTTGAGCATAATTCTTTCTTTACTAACTTTCAACATGGTTTTAGAAAAAGTTACTCGTGTGAAACTCAGCTCTTATGCTTTACTAATGATTTGTTCTCTGCTATTGATCGTGGTACTTTTATTGATTGTGTATTTATCGACTTTTCTAAAGCATTTGACACAGTTTGTCATCAATTACTACTTTTAAAATTAAGTAAGCGAAATCTTGACCCACACATCTTAAAATGGATCGAGTGCTTCTTACGTAACCGCGAGTAATTTGTGACTGCTAATGAATGTAACTCTCCTCCTACTGCCGTAACCTCAAGTGTGCCTCAAGGCTCCGTTTTGGGTCCCTTACTTTTTTTAATATATATTAAGGATTTGCTTCATAACATTTCCTCCTCCATTAGGTTATTTGCTGACGATTGTGTTAGAGGTCAAAATTTCACGGTAAATAATTTTGACCTCTAACGACACTGACACCCTGCAATCTGACATAGACAATATTACTTCGTGGTGTAATAATTGGCTAATGAAACTTAACACAAATAAATGCAAATCAATGAGGATAGCTCGTAACCCTCCAAAAGTTGCGTCCCCCTCGTACCTACTTAACAACACTCCCCTAAACAACGTTTCTTCTTACAAGTACCTCGGCGTTAACATTTCTAACAACTTGTCATGGCAGGCTCACGTTGACTACATAACATGCAACGCTAATCGAACTCTTGGCTATTTACGTCGAAATTTTTCTCTTGCTCCAATTAACCTAAAGCTTCTCCTGTATAAATCATTAGTGCGGCCAAAACTCGAATATGCGTCGTCTATCTGAAATCCTCATATTCATATGCTCATAGACAACATTGAATCCATTCATAATCGCTCAGCACGTTTCATATTGTCCAATTACTCTCGAACTGCAAGTGTCACATTAATGAAGGCTCAACTAAATTTGTATAACCTCTCAATACGACGCGAAAATTCACGTCTCTGTCTCTGTCATAAGATCTATCACACTAACAGAACCCTCTCTGATTCACTGTTTTTTCCACCAGCCTACATATCGGCACGCAATGACCATCAATACAAAGTTGGGGTTCCCTTCTGCCATACGAACCAGCACTTCAACTCTTTCATCCCTAGAACATGTACTGACTGGAACCACTTTCCCGCATCGATCGCTTCAATCACAGACGCCAATGCGTTCAAATCAATCATTTTTGAAAGTGCATTATAATTTATTCTAATCCTGCTGTTTTGTTTTACTTCTTATTGATATTTGTTGTCCCACTCCTCTCTGTAATGCCCATGGCCTTGAGAGTAAATAAATGAAATGAAATAACCACAGCCACTAGGCTACTTTAGCTGCATCCCAACACATCCCTAAAACTCAGGAAAGCATCCACCAAATTAACCAGAAAAAGCTCATTTACAGAAATGTATGCCTGGTACAGCACAAAGAAGAGTAGCACAAGTGATACACTTCTTGATAAGCCTGGATCCAAAAGAGAAAAATAACCTCTAACAATTATTTAATTTTCTCCTTCCTTGAATTCTTCCTCAACAGTTTGCATAAAGCCACGCCCAAATGATCACTAACAAGAGATGGCTTCTGGGGAGAAACGTTGATAAACTGTTGGTTCTCTACGACTATAAACCCAGAGTGTAACTTTTAGAGCATGAACACAATACAGAGTGCGTCTCCTCTTGAAACTTCAAGGCTGTTAAAACCCAGAAAAGGAGAAAAAATTGCATTTTTAGTGCCTCCCACACTCTAAATGCCTGCACCATGAAAAACGTCTACATAACGAAAAAAAAAGAAAACAAGGGAAGGGGCGAGGTATGCAGTGTTTTGAGAGAGATTTCGCTGATGAGGCACCAGCGGTGCCAAGCCTGAATGAAAGCTGGCATGCAGGAAAGGGTGCTTCCGCTCCCCTATCGTCATTGAAAAAGTGCATCAGAATGCAGCTTACCCTTAAGTGGCACTGCTTTTTCCACACATGCCCGTTTTCAGTTCCCTACGGCAAGGGTGTCTCAGCTCCACTAGCATGTTCACCTATTTGTTGGGCTCACTGTTGCTTTCTTCCCTTTTAGTGGACCAGTGGCTAGTAGTGCGGCCCACAGCCTTTTATGATGGACCCCGACTACGTGACACACAGTGACAACACTAGGCACGCACAAGCCGAGATCCTCAAGTGCTTCGAACCTAAGAAAACTGCTGACAGAACCGCGCACAGTACCTGGTAAGTCGATGCTGCCAGGCTGATGTCTAGATGCTCTGGATTGGCCGCCATCTTGCATACAAGTTCGTCATGCGAGAAGACGCAGAATCGCCGCAGCATGCTGTAGTGCGACACGCACACTCGCCCTATGGGGAGCTGCAAAATGTGCAAGAGAAGTGCTTTCAATGCATGCAGATGAAGAACAACTTTGCTGCATTCTCAACGAGCGAGAGCAACTCATCTGGCTGCCATGACTGCCACTACGTGCATTGTCGGGCATTTCTTTCTCATGTCCTTGATACAGGCACCACAAAATGCATAAATGAGTTGTGTGAATCACTGTGGTCAATTGGTAAAGTGATCAGTCAATGCACTGGCTACTAAACCATTTTGTACGTTTGAAAACACTTCCAAAGAGTAACCTTGGCTATAACAAATATTACACTAGGCAAATTTGTACTTATAAAGGTACATTTCTTACTTCCCAATCGCAAAAAATATGAGCATAAAGTATTGACTTGGACTTAAGGGTGAATTAGAGTACAGCCAGTGTGCGACTGTAATTTGATTCACACAAAATTTTCAGACAATTGGAACCTGTTTTTGCAACAGCAAGCACCCACAGGCCAGTAAAAATGGCACAGAGAACCATTAAACAAGCACAGAGCAACTAGATACGTTTCATTCAGTAGCACTCGGGCTATCTTTGTACAAATCCTCCTCAACATTTAGGCTAAAACAGATCTAGTTTCACTAAAGGGCACTCAACATCGGAATGTTCACAAAATCAGACCAAGTTGGCCAACAATGTCAGTGAAAGCTCTAGAAATAATATCTACTTAAGAACAATGGGTAAAAGCTTCAACACTGAATCAACTGCACTACTGCGCAACAGACTTACCCAGTCAGCAGGTGCAAAATTGACAGCTTCAGCAAAGTTGTAACCTTGATTGAAGCCAGCGTGGTAAGACCTGGGGAACGTGATTACAAACTCTCCTGCGTTTTGATCTGTTCGGTATATCTGCAACAGGGGAAAAAGCAAAGATGCAAACAGTAATTAGCTGCCTCTGTGTGTAGTAACAAAATGTTTAGATACAATGATAACCGTTTCTCAACCAAGACCCTGCACAGCACTACGAGAAGAAAGAATTTCGGCTGGGAGAAGTAGAGCAGCACAGTCTGGTGTCAGTTGTGCCAAACGTGGAAAGAAAAGATGCCTTTGCGAAAGCTGACATTTTTTACACATATGCTGATACAAAGCAATTGAACAATAAATGAATCACATACGCTCTGCACTGCTACAAATATTTAACCGTGTGGCAAGTTTTATCACGCTGGACTGGCACATTGGCTTGCCAACTGCTGTCCTACCAAGTTAAGCTGGGCGACACAAACACACATGCTAGCAGATTATTGCTGACAACATAATTTTTGGACACTTATGCCACTGATTATGCTACACACGAATCTTTTGTTCATCTACAAAAGGTGTCTGCATGCAAGCATAATGATGGTGAGTTTCACACAGCATCTTGTCACCGACTCCACTGGTTGCAACTCCAAGGTGATAGGTTTAAGTGGAAACACTTCACGAGTAAGAGTGAAAATGGAAAGAGATAGCGCAGCCAAGCCCTATATTGCAGGTAATCTGCACTGGGTGAAAAGGCTAGACAAATCATGATAGTAGTGAATTTTAGCTTTTGAAAAGACCCTTACAGCTATAAGGTGATAGTGCTGTGTACAGTGCATTACAGTGGGCAGGGCTGTGTACCCAGCATCATGCAAGGTCCACTTTTATATGTCATATGATAATCACTCACTTTTTGAGTTAAATGAGCTAATGCAATCCACAGTGAGAAGGGGTAGGGAAGGTGTACTTTCTATTACAGTAACAGCAACTCTACCAGAGACCTCCCCATTTTTTTTCTTGCAACGAGTTACAGGATCTTGCGACGAGTTACAGGAATTATCAGTTATAACTATGAAATTTCCTTGTCACTGAACACTTTTAGTCGCCGATCGGATTCGGCAGGAACCACCAAATAGTCTGAATAATTGAGCCCGATAAAAAGATTCACAAAAAAAAAAGCACTTTTTGATATGCCCAGCGGCTGGAAAAACTTGTAAATGCATGCCTGCACAGAACCACTATCACAGACGAACAGGTCGGCCTGTATTTCATCCAGTGTTTGGCCATAACTGTAGGTTGTAGCGTTGTTACGGCCTGTGCTAAATCTGCATTTGATAACAGTGGTGTGGATGACGCCTCAAGGGAGTCACTGTTCACCGGGTTCGGAGACCTGACAGATGATTCATCTTCGCACAACTCGGTGAAACCTTCCGAGCAATATCGGATTAAGGGCTGCCACATTCAATCTGGTGAAAAACTGCGACTTCTAAAGCCATCATCGGTGTCCTGTAGTTGTCACGTTTCTTCGTTAGTATTGATGGCACGCATTAAATGGGTGGCATCGGAGCTGTTTCAGTAGATCAGAACTCGCAAGTCAAGCAACACAAGGGAACAAGATGCAGATCAGGCCTCGCCCGCAGACAAAGCTAACAAGCAAACTCTCAATGCCACTAGGGAACGATGTTAGGCTAGTTGGTGCTGCAGCGCTCGTGATTGCCCTTTTTTTGTCCGTTTCGTATAAACAGCTGTTTCAAACGTCACAGAAAGCCGACTCTGCGCATGGCTTTGCTTGGCTTACAGTTCAGCCATGGTAGCCATTTAACGAATACTCGGCTGGCTAAAACACGAAAACGGCTATTACAGTTCTCTTTTGCATTGACTTTTACAGTCGCACAATCTCTAGCCAAAGCCAGTGCAACCACGCAACGTTTCAGTGCTGGCAACCTAGGGAAAATCTTGTAAACATTGCGAAGAACTGGTCATGACGCCACACTCAATCAGCCAGCCAGCGGTGCACCATGGGGCATCCGAATATTCAATCGCTAGTTTACATTACTTTAATGGGACAAATGGTGGTGCCAAAAAGATGCCCAAACAAATGGGCGAGTCCGAATTATCAGAAGGGTTTCAATTTGGGCTTGCGGAATTTTCAGCATCCGAATAGGCGGTTCACAACTGTACACAAGTCAGGGCAATACGTATTCTGGGACTGGCACAATTATTGAGGCACGCTTTGTGGCAACATTATTATGGTACAACAAGTACAACTCACAGGCACTCCAGAAGCCTGGAGAATATTGGGGTTCATAATAGTGACCAGCTGATGAAGCAGGTCGGGTTGCGCTTGGAAGAGCTCAGGTGCAGCGCAGCGCATAGCATCTTCAAAGACCTCAGCCTTCCCACCAGGGACTCCATACCAAGTCTTGGGCTCCCCCCTAAAGGAAAAGCACGACATCATATTTGGTTAGCACTCAGGTTGTGTTCAAGGATGCTAAACAAATGCTGGCACTAAAACTGCTGCTAGTGCAACATCTTCCAGCTGCCAAGATTCTTACCAGTGAAGATAGTTGATGGAGTAACTCCAGTGGTCTTCATTATGCCAGCAGAATGTGGCGAAGCACATACCAACATACATCCATGGAATCTGATAAGCAGAAAAGAAATAAATGCTCAGCCTACATTGCTTCATTGCCTCCTCACTGCTGACTACTGTTCAGATTTCAAACTCAATGTTCAGAGTAGCTTCTAGCCAGTTCCTCTTGCCCCCCTCTTTAACTTTTCCATTATTATAGATATTAATAGAGATTCAAACATCCGTTCACATACTGTGGTTCTATGCACCAACACAGGCATCAATCCAAGAACAATATTTTACCACACACAACGCAACAAAACTAACACATCTTTACAGTTGCTGACATATACAGTAGCGTCCACACGGTACAGTTTATAATGATATATCTGATATAACAATGAACAATGGTGGCACCATCCCCTTTTGTATGCTTTTTACGGTGAAATACACCACGCAGCCGTGTCAACTGTGCCAACACCACGCGCCACAATGCGCCTCACACCCCGAGAAAGCAATGCCAGTAGAGGTCCGCAAAGCGTCCAACGACAACGATGGAGAGGTGCAGAAGTTGTGGTCAGCAATGGTGCATCGGGCCTGACAACTTTCATGCAGACAAACAAAAATGGAAGCGCACGAGTGCCTCGGGGATGAGGCGATCATTGCGCATATACCGTGAAATACCGTTATAAGGAAGCTCAGATTAAAAATTTTTTTTCCAGATTAACAAATATTTTGAAAATCACCCTCCCAGTGTCCATTGATTCAATGTAAAAGTATTTCATTACTATGAATTTCAGAGCAACGAATGTTTCAGAATAACAAATTGAATTTGATCACCCGGCAATCTTAATAGCACTTCAAAATAACGGATCACTAGCGGCAATCTACCGTATTTACTCGCATGATCTTCGCACTTTCATCACGCAAAACCGATAAAAAGTTAGAGGGGCGCAAGAATTACGTGGGGAAAATTTTCTGCGAAAACACAAAGAGCGAAGAAGAAAACGAAGTCGTCACAAATCTGGATTCTCACGCCTGCAACTAAACTTTTAAGTACTAATCGAGACTTACCTTAACAATAAAATCACAGGTTCAACACAAAGCGATTTATTTGCAGACACTAAAGCCACTGTCCACTGTTTCAAGAGCCTTCATGTGGAGACCACTGACATAATAAAGAGGTTCCGCCTCAAGCTGGGGGTATTTTGCACTCGGGCCCACGGAACATCCATCGCGTGTTAGTGGCCTCCATTTTCTCGTGCTGCCTTCGCCAGTAGCGAACACAAAACTAGCAGACTCCGAAGTGCCAGCCGGCAAGCCTATTGTCGTTTTGTGCATGGTCAACCAACCACTTTCAACCTAAAAGCAGCCATATAGCTTCCGTATCAACACATCGTGTTACCACACGCTGCACGAACTTTTACTAACACACCGCAACTGGTGCTTGTCACTTTGGCTTGGATTGGATTGGGGCTCTGTGATTGGTAGTATGGATAATTTTTAAGAGATGGTGCCATTCTGTGCGTTATCATCAGTGGTTGAAAGTAAACATTACGTACTGCGAGAGTGCGATAATCAGTACTCACAGAAAATATCGTATTTTTGTTGGCCCATTCAAGGAAAAAGGGTGCGAGAATGATGCGAGTGTGAGGATTACGAGAGTAAGTACGGCAAATGCTCAGCTCCATACTATGTGGCACTACTACCATCCTCAAAGCTTTCGAATTATTTCTCCATACGTTGCCCTATGCTATTGCAATGCCTTTTATCATTTTTTGCATCCCCGTTCAGGGATTTAGCCAAGTTAAGCCTCACCTGCTAGCTTAGCCTGGCAGTTTTTGTTCAGGCGACTGTCAGCGCCGTTTGATTGTCGTTTAACAATTGGAGTTATTGATTAGTGTATCAACGCCTGGTTTAGACATTCGTTTCTACGTTTGCCGTTCGCGATGAGCACAGGGAGCAGCACGAGAAAGAAGCGAAGGGAGTTCCCTTTGCAAAAAAAAAAAAAAAAAAAGGACATCATTTCACTAACAGACGCCGGTAAAAAGCAAATCCACATTGTGAACGAGATGGGGGTCGCACCATCAACTGTGGCGACCTTCCTGAAGGACCAACAGAATTTCATTGAGATGCACCGAGGATTCCAACTCGCACCGTCAATAAAATGGCTCCGACTACAGAACTTTTAGGACGTAGATGGTGGAGTGTTCACGTGGTTCGAAGACGCACACTCTCAAAATGTGCCGGTATCGGGACCCATGCTGCAAGAAAAAGCCCAGCAATTAGCTTTTGCTCTAGATATCACGGGCTTCGAAGGAAGCGCGGGGTGGCTCCATCGTTTCCGTGAGAGAAACGGAATCACCTGGCAAGTGGTGTCAGGCGAACAAAATGCGTCAGACCCAGCGAGCGCTGCTGCATGGAGAGACGAAAAGTTCCGTGAAATCATTGCTTCGTACTCTGAAGATGATATCTTCAATGCGAACGAAACAGCGTTCTTCTATCAGATGCTTCCCGATAACACGATGCATTTCAAGGAGAGCAGCTGTAAAGGTGGCAGGCAATCCAAAGTCCATTGTTCGGTGGTGTTCTGCTGCAACGCCACAGGCACAAAGAAGCTGAAGACGTTGGTTATGGGTAAATATAAGAAGCCTTGGTGCATGAAGAACGCTGTGTCATTGCCGTGCGATTAACGGGCCAATTCACGCTCATGGATAAAGCTAGAGCTCTTCTCCGAGTGGCTAATGAAGGTGAACGACGAGATGAGGCGAGCAGGCAAAAAAATATTAATTATCGCTGACAACTGCTCAGCGCATCTAGTGAATGTTAGGCTGACTAATGTGCAGCCAGAATTCTTGTCGCCCAACTGCACTTCGTTGCTACAGCCACTCGACCAAGGCGTCATAAGAAAGAAGCGTCAAGGCCCATTATCGCAAACACTTCGTTCAGCAATTGCTGATTAATTTTCGGCTGAAGCTGTCTACTTCAATCAGTGTGCGACAGGCCGCAGAAACGGTTGCCGGGGCTTGGTGGAACCACCATTCAGAACTGCTGGAGGAAGGCAGGCCTTGTATCGATTCCACATCAAGTTGACTCCGAACAAGGCAGGGAAGAAAGCGACGCGGGCGGCACGTGGCAAGAAGTTGAAAGACTTGCGATGGATGCCTCGGTGACGTTCGAGGACTTTCTGGAGTGGGACAGTGAAGCGTACACGTCAGCCTACCTGACTATCGATGACATTATCAGCGCCGTTCGTGGTGAAGAGGATGCCAATAGCGACGATGACGCTGAGACCGTGCCCATGTGCCAACCCGAAGAATCTCTTTCGAATGTCGACATCATGGAATGCGTTCGGAAGATGCGCATTTACCTTGGCAGGTGCAGCAATGCCACCGACCAATTGATTGATATGTGGGGTTTAACGTCCCAAAACCACTATATGATTATGAGACGCCGTAGTGGAGGGCTCCGGAAATTTAGACCACCTGGGGTTCTTTAAGGGGGGACGCGGCCTTTGAAAACCGAAAAATCGCGAAAAAGTCGATTTTTGGCAAACCACATATTCGGGCAGTATGTGTCATAAACTACCTTTTCTGTAAATATCAACGTCTAATTCGTCGCGAAACCATTTGAAATAAAGTTTAGAACATGCCGCGGCGGCCCTCGAGCAGCGCGCGAGCGCTCAAAATACCCCAACTTGGCGTGATCGCAGTTTCTCGACCGCTCGACGGAGCGCCGCCATTTTGGTGTTGTTTTGTTTGTGAATTCTTGCTCTTTCTTTCCCCGCCACCTGCGTCGCCGGCGGCAGCGCAGGAGAGGAGCAAGCCGCTCATGATTGGAGGGCTCGCGAGAGCTTTCAAGTTTCCCGCGGCTGAGGCGCGCAGCTGGGATTGGGCGAAGCGCGCGCTCCCCAAGGACACGGGGGAGCCCGCGACTGCCATTGGCTGCTGCGCGCGTTGCAGCCGTTCGCATACTCTCCACGTTTCAACTGTCTTCGAAACGATTTTCAACCGTCTTTACGAGACGATTTTCAACCGTCTATACGAGACAGTTGTTGTGTTCGCTCACGATGTGCCCAACGAAAAAGAAGACGCTACAATCGTTCGGTGCAAGGAAGCGAGCTATGAAGCTTGTCCGCGCGGCGAGGCTCTCCGCTCGCACGTGCGCCGACGGTGATCGCGCCGACGGTACCTGTGGGGCAGCTTCTGCTTCATCTACGCAAGAGAGTGGTCGCATCGACGCGCCTAGCAACGGGACTCCTGCTCTGCCGGTGCAAGAATTTGTCGTTACAAGTGCGCCTGGTGTCTCGTGCTCATCGACAGTGGCTTCCGCATCTTCTCTTTCATCGGCCTCGTGTGCGATCGCGTCGTCAACTGTGCATTTGCGAACAAGTTTCCTGACGTGCGAGGAGAAAGAGGCGGCGGATCAACAACGCGCTGCTGTGCAAAGAGAACTTGGCGCTATGCCAGCGACGGAGCGGAAATTTCAGGCAATGGAGCGCGATCATGAAGCTGCCACCGCTACAAGTGAAGGCGAAAAATTTTTCCTTGCGCAAATGGATGCCCTAGACGACCTGCTATCTCGGACCCCGTGCCACCGGTGCACCGCAATTGGGATGAAGGTACGAGGAGGCACCCAACTTGGACTTGCTGCAAAGCTTGAGCTAGTATGCTTGCATTGTGGAGTAGTTTCAAGCTCATGGAGTTCATCTCGTCAGGATGACACAAAGGCCTTTGGTGTGAATGTAAGAGCCATTATGGCAACAAAACAAACAGGCAAGGGACAAACAGCTCTCAACGACTTTTGGGCAGCGATGAACGTGTCCCATCGTGGCCTCCATCACAAGACCTTTCAGAAGCACCTGAAGAAATTCAGGGAACCGCAGACACAATGCATAGAAAATTTCTATGCAGAATCTGCTTCTGCTGTAAAAGCCACTTACAAAGAAATGGATCAATATTTCACCAGGGATATAACAGTTTGTTATGATGGAACATGGCACAAGCGTGGGCACACATCCCATATTGGAGTCGGGGCAATTATCGAATACCATACGGGCCTTATCTTGGACGCCGTTGTTCTGTCTAATCAGTGCCTTGGTTGCCAAGTAGGGCCAAAGCCTGGAGACGCAGACTGTGCATGCTGGCTGGAGAATCATGTGTGCCAGAAAAATCTCTAAATCAGGGAGAATGGAGGTTGAGGCAGCTATCATCCTCTTTTCACGCTCACTGTCGAAGCACAACCTGCGTTACACAACGCTCGTGTCTGATGGAGATAGTGCCACCTTCTCTGCCCTTGTACAAGAAAATGTTTATGGACTGGTCCCCATTTCAGAAGAGGAATGCCTGAACCACGTTCAGAAGAGGATGGGGACTGCACTTCGCAACCTTGTGCAGAAAAGTGACAAGGCTTTGGGAGGGAAGGGCAGGCTGACAAAGGCCCTCATCGACAAGTTGACAGATTATTATGGCTGGGCCCTACGGAACAATTCCGATGATGTGGCTGCAATGCGGCGGGCAGTGATGGCATCGTACCACCATGTGACGTCGACGGATGAGGAGCCGCACCACGACTTGTGCCCAGAGGGTGCAGACTCCTGGTGTCGTCACAATGCCAGCAAGATTACCGGTGTTCCACCTCCGAAGCATTCGTACAAGCTGCCACGCTATGTTGCAGATGCACTTCTACCCATTTATGAGAGGCTCTCACAGGCTTCTCTTCTGCAACGCTGCCTGGGAGCAAAGACACAGAATGCATCAGAGTCCTTTCACTCTGTGCTGTGGTCCCTCATGCCCAAAGAGCAGCATGCGTCACTGATTGCTGTGGAGACAGCACTGCATGATGCAGTGCTAAGATACAATGCTGGCTGCTACAGGGCCACCCAAGAGCTAGCTTCATCAGTGGGGCTAACACCTGGCCACCTGGCCATTCAACGGGCAGCCGAGAAAGATTCTCTGCGCTTGAAAAAGGCTAAGAAGCGATCCCTAGAGAAGATGGAAAGGCGGCAAAGAAAGAGAGTGCCAAAGGACACCTCCAGTTACGCTGCAGGTTCATTTTAGAACTGCCTATGTGCTCAAAACTTTCAAACGTCGTTTTCTCAAAATGACTTTTTTGGCTAGTGAGGCTGCTTATTCCAGCCATATCTCTGGAACCACTCATTGGATTTCCATAAGTCTTTTTTTATTATGTACATGAATAAATTTCTGAGGGGGTGACAAGCCCATTTTTTCAATATATTGTGTGTGTTATTTATTATATTTAATCAAAATTTGATTGATAATATCCTAATCACGAACACAAAGTTTGATGGTCTGCTAAAACTTTTCAGCAAGGAAATTCAAAAAAAGGGCTCTGTTACCCCCTGGAGTATCAATCTGGGAATCATCATAGTTAATTTCACAGTTCCAGCACCTTTTGAAAGTTCTCCAGGCCTGGAATAAGAGAACCATGTGCACTACCCTGATATTCTGCTGTAACTTGAAAACCAGTGAACATAACTTGATGAAATTTTGTAGTTCTTCTAATGCTTTTGCTATAAGTCTATCCTGAAAATTTCGTTAAGATATCTCAATAAACAAAAAAGTTAGTATCCGATGGTAGCCTCCCCCCTTAACGTGCACCCAAATCTGAGCACATGGGCCTACAACATTTCCGCCTCCATCGGAAATGCAGCCGCCGCAGCCGGGATTCGAACCCGCGCCCTGCGGGTCAGCAGCCGAGTACCGGCGGGGCGTGCCACCGACCAAGAGCATGGATCACTTTTGTCCTCCGGGACTTTTGTTCTCACAAAGGACCTTCCGCTCAGCTATGTGAAACACCTAGACACTCTTGAGCAAGATGTGCGCCAGCTTTGTGGGAAACAAGATGTGCGCCAGCTTTGTGGGAAAGCTGACAGGCTATGGCTTTTTTGCAAACAAGTAGTACATAGTTGCCCTACCTTACTTGCATGCAAATAACATGTTTTGACCTCTTTTTTGACTCTTTATCTCAAGTCACTTATAGCAATTATTGGTTACAACAGTGGGGGTTCCTTGGCACTTAAATATCGTTAGAAGTGGACTGTGGTGAATTTTGCCCACTGTTTTTTCATTGTGCTGTTGGCTAATTACCAACACAGCCTTTCTATTCAGGTTAGCAGTTGATGATATTCCCTAAACAAATTTAATTTCATGTTTCCTGTAGACAGTGGCGTAGTTACAAAAGCAGACATACCATGTACAGTAAGAAATAATGAAACACTCGGATTGAAACACGCACCTTCATGCCAGAGATATCTGCGTTAATATGTCGCAGTACAGAACCATCCACAACAGGAAGGTTGTTGAGGTTCCAGCCACAGTTCATGTAGTCCTGGGAACAATAATGAATTACAGTCAGTAACCTATACGATATACGAAATCAGGCATAAACATGTGCAACATCATAGTACTGAGAAAAGAAAGAAAGGCTCATGACGCAGCAACTGAAGCAAACAGATTTCCACGCATAATACTGAATGAAACTGCAAAGCCTGATAAAGCACAGTTTTGTTTTATTCAACAACTACATCAGCAACATTACACCTTGAATTTTTTATACGACATTGTGCGATATAGAATTGACAAAATAAGGAGTGAAAGAAATTTTGAAACCAAATGTAAAAGACTATAACAACAGGCAATGATCCAAGAAGAAAGAGAAAAAGGCCAACAGAATGAAATGTGGGAATTGGGCATGTTTACAACTGAATCGTCGATGTCCTCTCTGCACTCTTTCTCTTGTTGCTGACTGACCTCTTCACCAGGCAACAGGTTGCTGCTCTTTGTGGGAAAGCCCGAGCCGTGTTCCACTGAGTGCAGGTCCGCACCATATTCCACTGTGACATCTTCGTCAACAGCAGCAACAATCCTCCAGAACTCTTTCTCCACAGTCTCTGTGGAAATCATCTACACCAGTGACAAAACATGAAGTGCAGTCAAGTTTGAGCTTTAGCAAGAAGTCAATCAATCATCATTCTAAACAAGGAAGCTACACTCTGTTTCATTTTATACTTAAAGGGACACTAAAGGCAACTTACTAAGTCGACGTTGCTTGTTGAAATAGCGCTCGAGAAACCTCGTAGTGTTACTTTTATGCCAACGAAGGGCCTATTTTGAAATAAAATCACGTTTTAGCGATTCGCATCGGGTTAGCGCACGCTTAATAACCCGCCTCAAGAAGCGGACCGACCAGACCGGCTCGCATCACTGTTGCCGTGCATAATGTTGCCCGGCTTTACTGCACTAGTAGCAGCAGACCGAAAGCAAAGGGAGCCATAGCAACAACAACCATAACCTCCGAGATGGCGGGCTTTACTGCACTAGTAGCAGCAGACCGAAAGCAAAGGGAGCCATAGCAACAACAACCATAACCTCCGAGATGGCGGGCGTGCGCACCCGCCCTCGGAGGCCATGGCAGACGTTTTTCGTTTTAATTGTGCTCCGCTAAATGGCACCACATGTCCAGTGTAACTACACGAAAACTGAATTTATGAGCTACTCACGCCATTCCCCATAGTAACGTCCAGCGGTTATTTTTTTCATGAATCAAACAGAAACGAACAAGCAGCATTTTATTGCATCTCTTGATGCACGGAAGGTTCTTTATTTAGTGGAGCTAGATCGATTAGTAGTGATTAATTGTAAATAGTCCATCTGATGTCATTGGGAACATTTTGAGAATGTCCTACTGCGGCGCTTCTGTTCTTGTGCATTTCCCTTGATTTCTTGGTTAGTAGGGCACTGTCGTTGATAACATTGTTGGTTTAGATGTGGTCATACATTGAGCTTTCACTCTGACGTAAATTGTTATTTGACTTTCATGTCCCTTTAAGAATACAATGTAAAAGAGAGTGCGAGACAGTATTCAGTGTTCAAATATATTTAAGATAATGCTCGTAGTACAGTAGAATTTCATTAACTCGAACACGCTTAACTCGAACTTCCGGTTAATTTGAAGTCACGGTGTGGTCCCGTCAAAGCTATGCGTATTCCAATGGGCTAGAACGCCCTGTAATTCGAACGCGCAAGCACTTGCGATGGTTAATTCGAACATACCGCGCTCCGAAAATGTTCTCAGCACCCCACCCAATCCCACGGCGCACCTCCTCCACCTCAACGCTGCGCGCTAAGGAGGAAAAGAAGAAAAGGAAAGAAAAGGCTGCAGCCAAATGTTTGCTCTCTCTCGAGTGTTGATCTGCAACGTGCCTGTGCCATGCTTCTCCCTTTTCCGTCCCTGCTACGTAGAGACCCTCCTCCTTTTAACACCGTGCGCAATGAGAGAGAGGAAAAAAAAGCTGTCGCGGAGTGTTGGATCTCTCTCTAATGCCAATCTGCGACACGCTAGCGCCACGCTTCCCTCTCTCTCGTTCCTGCCACGTAGAGACCCTTGTCCTTTCAATGCTGCGTGCACAGAGAGAGAGAGAGAGAGAGCGAACTAAAAGAAGCTGCCGTAAAGTGTTGGTTCTCTCTCAAATGTAGATCTGCCTCTCTCCATGTGGTGACGCTCCTCCTTTCTCATCATGTGCTGGCCACGCTCCAACTGCCGGAGCTGCGGCGCAGACGGTAGCAGCGGAGACGCAGTCATTGTCGTCGTCTTTAGAGAGAGTTAGCGCTGGACATTGCCGCGCGCAACTTCTCTTGCCCGGAGAATGCTGAAGCCGAAGTATAAATGCTTTGCAAAACTGCGTGAGAAATTGATTGACTCGCTGCAAGGCAAACGCGTGCAGATGCGCATCATCGATCACTTCAATTAATGACGGATGTCCTGCGATTTGTGAATAAATCTAAGTCTTCTGAAACTTCCCCTTCATGTGTCAGCTCAATGCATACGCACCACTGCACGGTGAGCCCTCCGTTAATTTAGCTTTCATTATTTCGAACAAATTAGTTCGAATTATCGGGATTTGACTGTAACTTCAATACCAGCAGGCTTAAAAAAAAAAAGAACTAGGGTAGGGAAAAGGCTAGATATATGCAATATTATAGTTTAATTCACCTCAAATAAGTTGAGAAGTATGAAAACGCTGGTTCACGCAGTTTTATTAGTTTTTTTATGCTTCTAAAACTCGCCTTGCAACTTGCAAGTCAACTGGGCAAGAAAATTTTCCGTTACAGTGTTCACCAGGCGGGTTTCCCATACATAATGCATCAAATATAGGAGCATCAATGCCCTTCAGAAATGATGCCAGCCACTCACATGCACTGGCATACTGAAGTAGCTGGACTTGAATTTGTCCGCCATCTCGCCAAAGTCCTGGAGGGTGTATTCGCGTATTGCCTGCTCAAAGCCGAACGCTTCCTGGGGTTTCCGCACTTCCTGCAAGCAACACAAGATGTCGATAGCTACATCACTTGAATGGCACACTAAGTGAATGATGACATGGTCAGTGAGATCTAGGCTGTCTATCTTAGGACTCGTGACATTGATACAACAGTCAATCAGAGATGTATAGACTCATAAAGATTCATTCTTCCTGCACGCTCTAAATGACTAGGACAAAAAAAAAACAAAGCCAAAGTTTTGCAGCCATATTGAGCTTTATTTTCTTGTAGCCTCAACAAGAGAGCATAAATTTATACACCTATGCTCTGTATATGTTTTGTTAGTTTTGTACTACAAAATGTTGAGTGCTTTGTTTCAGCTTCGTTTTTAAATGTTTTGTGGGTACCCCTTTGCTTTTATATATATATATATATATATATATATATATATATACACACACACACACACACACACACACACACACACACACACACACACACACACACACACACTAGCTTTCTTTATTTGTTTTTGTATTGTTTGCCACCCTTTAAACCCCCTCTGCAAAAATTTTTCGAAGTGTTTGCATTATTTATAAAAAATAAATAAATACCATTTTTCAAGAATGTAAAAGGCTGGAAATACTGATTTGTCCCTTCATAGCTATACTGAACACAGTAAAGCTAAACAAGAATGTTGCAGGTTTAGTAGATATAGGTTAGATTGCACTAGTATGCTAGGCTAAATTGACAGGCATGCAGGCTCCCTTTAGGCCTGCATGAAAGCTATGAAAGCATTCATACATTTTTTCAATACGGTCACCTTAGTTACCATATTGAAACGGCAATAGGTTGACCTATTTTATAAAAATCTAAAATTGGGAGGTACACTTACAACTACAACTGATAGAACCAGTTAACAGCTGAACAAACGAGACACCTGTGTCACTGTGGCATGGTTGCAACGTTGAACCTGCTTTCAAGTTCTACTTATATGTATCACATAATCATTCTGCCCACTTGTCATGACAAAGCATTTTGTTTGTTCAACTTTTTACCAAGCTAATGTTCCCTGTCTTAAGTGCCACTACTCATAGTTTGTCATCATATCCCCTTCGTGTGCAAATTATGACGGAGTGTCTGTAAGTGTGTGCCTAATTAGATGTGTAAAAGGGGGAACACTGACCGCAGCGACGCAGCGTGGGCAGCGCCAGTCACCGCGTGGAATCTCGGGCAACGGAGGTATCAGGCAGAAAGTGTGGTAACTGTCGTCACAGCCGTCACACAGCAACATGCTCTCCTCGTCGTCACCCCGCCCACACGTGTGGCACACTATCTGCTCAATCTGGACAGCAAGAAAGAAATGCGCAAAAGGGAGCGGGGACAGCACAAGGCGTCAATACTAGCAGGCAGAACTCCGAGCTGGGATAGTGCAACAATTCCATTCCAATGCTATTCCTTCTCACACTTTGCCATTGGCTTGCCTTTTTACAAGGTCTGGCTACTTGAGTGGTTCATAATAAGGAACGCAGAGTCAAAGGAATTGTTGCATAACACCAGCCCTATTTCATGCAAAAGCCACAGCCTTGGAATTTCGTTTAGCAGGTGTTTGCAGCACATGTGTTCATCCTCTCTAGTGTTTCACTCCTTCACAAGATTTCTTGGGCTGTGCTGATAAACACGCGATACGAGTGTTTAAGGGGGGACATGGTGTGTGGAGATATTTTCTGTAGTAAAATTTCCATTGTAGGCCAATTAGTATAGAAGATACACAATGCTGCCACTCTATTGTTTTTGGAGACAACAGAAAAGAAAGTGCTTCTCAAAAAGTAAATTATTATTGCATAGCTAGACAGAGCAATTAGCAATAAGTGCAATGCTGCAAGCAGATTTCAAATTAAAGAAAAACTAGTGATTCTGCAGATGATGAAAGTTGAGGAGTCATGTCATGGCTATCACATACAAAGAAATTTAATACCTTCTAAATTTATACGGGCAGCAAATGGAACTTCTGCTCTCAGCACTTTGTAATACACAGATTGGGCTTTACATTAATGAAAAAATTATTGCTCCACTGCTGATATTGCAAGATATCAACCCGGCAAACTAGTAAAGTCACCAAAAAGTATGTTTTCAGAAAACTGAGAAAAAGAAATAAAACTCATTCATTTACATAAATGCACTTGAAAATGCTCAGTATGCACCGGGCATGTAGTCCTCTTGACTATGAGTCCCTGTGTGGCGCTTTTTCAGGGACTGGTGCATGTTCTCCGTTGCTTGTCGCTTCTTGACTGATGCTGCCGTGCACCGTCGATTCTTTTCAGCCATGCGGCTACGGCTTTGCCAGCTGGGGCTTAGGCTCAGCTCTTTCATAATGTCCTCTGATGCCTTTTTATTGCCTGCATTGAACTTGAGCACTGCTTCTGCCACAGCTGCCTCCACCGTGAATAGCGAAGCATGTCGCTCCTTTGGTGCCAGCGCCCAGATCATTGAATGCAGGCATTCGTTGTTATTTTGGGTTTTCCCTCGCTGGCATCGTTGCAACAGCTTTCTGTCTGACAAGAGCTCATAAATGGGAAGTAAGGCTTGGCAGACATGTGGAGGCAGCTTTCGATGATGTTTGGGAATGGGCTCCCCCTTGGCCTTTGCCGCATTTTGTTTGCACCAAGAATTTGGACCAGGTGGGCACAGATGCGGTTTGCCACATCATCATTAGATGTGATGATAAGTGGCCATCACTGCTGTGTGCATAGCATCAACATCACCACTGTGTGTCTTCAGAGCCCACCCATAATAATTGGTGAGCTTGGAGATCAGGTCTCCTGTCAAGCAGCCCTTTCCCCCAAGACTCTCAAGGCCAGGGCCTTTGTGTTTTGCAATCAAGTTGCGGAAAGCAGTGCCCATACGCTTTTGAACATGATTAATGCAGTCCTCTTTTTCCACTGGGATATACCCATAAACCTGATCTTCTTGTAGCGCAAGGTAACTGCAGCTGTCCCTGTTGCAAAGCATCGTGGTGTAGCGCAAGTTGTGCCGCTTAAGTGACCTCCTGAAGAGGAGGAGGGCAGCCTCAACCTCCATTTCCCCAGCCTTCTTGTCACTGTTTTTCTGACACAGGTGATGTTCCTTCCACGCTGCATAAGAGGGGTCACCTTCCTTTGGGCCCGACTCGCATCCAGCACAAAAGTTGCTCAAAACAACGAAGTCAAGCACCAGCCCGCTGAACAATTCTATGACGGTGCCGAGACCGATATGCTACGAATGACCACGAGTCATCCATGACCCATCAAACGACAATGCGATGTTTCCCATGTGGCCTATATTAAGTTCTACGTAAAGTTCGCGAACCAACCGCGCGCAGTGGCTCATCAAATTGCGTGCAGTATGATCGGCTGCGGGTGCCAACTTCGTCTTCACGTAGTGTTGCCACGTTTTCGTGTGAAGACCCCGACGGCTGATGCGGTAGCTAGGCCTTCCGTGGTAGCGTCGACGACTTCGCCATGCGACATAGAGTGTAGCGTTTCGGGGAGTTTTGCTGTATCACGGAGCACTTCTTGAAATTCGTGACTAGCGTCCTTTGCACTTTTTTCGCACCAAACTTGTGCCGTGTGCGGAATTTGCGCTCAGGATTTGGCTTCATGAAACTTCTCCGCCGACACTGAGGCAAAACGGTGCGCATGGACGCGCGCCTCAATACCCAGAGCAGACGAAGCCAGGAGCCTCCACCAATAGTGAGGCAAGCTCAAGTCACGTGTGCGAAGTAGCAAATAGGAAGGCGCTCTGATACTTCTTTTTGCCGCTCAATTTACAAGCTCCAATGGTTGAATTGGACCCATTCTGGCGGGTATTTGAAGGCCAAAGACGGCTCTCTCAAATGAGACCAAGCGGGCCGCGCTGGCACACATGAAAGGGCAGGGGCGCGTCATGGAAAGTGTGCGATTTCAATGTTGATTTCGGCTCAGGTTTTGCTAGAAAGCGCCCTATGAAGGGTCTTAGCGGCTAAAATAATCATATTATAGGCATGAAATTCACGGTATAAGTGCACTAGTAGTAGCTGTAGATTTCAAAAACGCAATAAAAAAAAGTTTTTTCACGATTTTTTGGTCCCCACAACCCGTGTCCCCCCCTTATATGTCCAACTTTTCTCTACAGTGCCCTTCACCAGGAGCAGCACCGGACAACAATGGTATATCAAAAATAATTATCAAATTGCTTGGATTCAATTTTCCCCATTTCCCCTAAGGAAAAGCTATATCATGATAGAACTGTCGGTGTCATGAGATACGATGGAATTATGGCCATGCAGAGGCGCTTACTGCAAGAATTTGTTTCAAAGTTTGATAAAAATAAAGTGCTTTCAAGAGAATGACACGAACACTTGTTAGAAGTGTCGCAAACAGGCCACCACAGAAAAGTCGGAGAGAATGCCACATGCGGCAATGTCGCACTATCATCATCATCGCGGGAGGAAGGAGGGGCAGAGCTCACAGGCATACACCTTGCAACGGCATTTAACAAGAGCTTTTATGTGTTCATGAAAGGTGGCACCAACTAAGCGCTAGGGCATATCTTCTGAGGCGAACCAAAAACTACTTCGGAATTTCCTGCAGATTTTCAAGGTTGGAATACTGCAACACTAACACATCAAAACCAATTGTATGTTGAAATTCAGGGGTACGACAAAATTGGTTAAACGCAGTAGTACAATTCCAACAGACTTGCTCAGAAGTGCTTACTGATGATGACTCTAACACACAAAGATAAACAAGTTTGTACTGTCATTTCTTCAATTTGTGACATCACACACAAGCACATGCTGCAGTGAAAAGGCAAATGAAAGTTCACTACTTACAACAGGCATCCCCTGCGTAAAGAAAGTGATACCATCTCAGGTTAGGACAGGAAAGCAGAGACAAGAACACTCTTTCAAGTGGGCCATGCATGCTGCCACATGGATGCAGCACAAGTCTGTCTAAACCAGCAGTGGTAATAAGCATTTGGAATAAAATGTACATCAGGTGGATGCCTCCACATCTATTAGAGGCTATGATTTATGATACTGTCTTTCACTAATTGTGCACCTATTTTCTCATGTGCAATGAGAAATTGATGATTTCTAAATATTAAAATTTAGGCCAACCCTATAGCTTGGTACACAACATATGGGGATATGCACGCCAAAATCACAATACCATTGTGAGGAATGCATAATGAAAGGCTTACCAAAACTTTTTGCACACCTTGGGTTCCTTAACGTGCTCTTAAATCTACTAACTGGAGAAAAAAAAAACTGTCTACTTATACTGGAATAAGTAAGGTAGGGCTTGTATGAATAAACTTTTCATTTTGTTTTGTGAATTCACCAGGTGGTCGTTGACGAGAGCACGAAGTAAGGTTTGACTGTCAGTGAGGCTGAGAACACAAGTAGTTCCTGAAATAACTTTTTATTGAAATCCTGCCTCATTACATCAGTGGTCAACAATCCTTTAGCTCCTGCGACTAAGACTCTTCACACATAGACTGGCCAGCTCTTTTTTTTTCCCTTTTCATGCAAAGCCCACCTGAAGGGGCATTTGTTTCTAACAAAACAAATGAAACACAGGTTAATCAATTTACAATTAACTCAGCAACAAAGCTATAAACATGAACACATCTTGATGGCCCTGATGGGAAAAATCAATGCCCCTTACAGGTTTCGGTTTTCGCTCCTCTTTCAGTTCGCAGCACTCATCCTTCATCTCGTCAGCACTCCCCGACCCTGAAGAAACAAACGGAGATCAATTAACAGCTGCACAAAAGGCACTACAACAAATTCTAAAGGGGTGGTGCCACCATATTTCTGGCTGGCGTGCTCTTTGCTTCAAGCATTTGTTATAGCTCCAAGAAGCATGATACATGCACCAAGATTCTTTTATTCGCGCTAAATAATTTATTATCGCCTTTTTATGTGGAGAATTTTCAGTTTCAGTTTCTGGGCGATGAGCGAGGCTGTGACGTAGCAGTATAGGTGGCTTGGTCACATGACCACACACGGCTGTGGCACACGTCGTGCTGATTATCATTTGTTCTCACACACACACGTGCCACACAAGCATCTGCAAAGCAAACGGGCCGACAGTTGCCATGACTAGCTGCAGCAGCCGCTATGTTTTGCTGGTACATATGTGGCGGAGATCAAGAGGTCACTCACCTCACTTCTGTAGTCGCCTAAGAGGAGGGAATAGCATAGTTAGCCCCATAAATTGACATAATAGGAGAGGGGTCCCTTTGTCCCCCCCCTTAAGAGGAAACCTGCGCATGCCTGCGCTGACCACACCTGGTGTGACGTCACTACGACTTTCATTGCCCTTCCTACGGAGATATGTCAGTGCTGGAGGCGCTTGCGATCGGCTTCGGTCAGGACAATGAGCATTTAGGTACACTTTGGAAGTGAACTAAAATATATTCTGAACGTTTGCTGCATCCAAAAATTCGTATGGAGTGTCTCCATACAGAAGAAACCCACAAGGGGCTCATTATAGACTTGAAATTTGATGGTACCACCCCTTCAATGCACAGATTTTAGATACATGCCTTTTACCGTAATACAGTACAGCCTCGTCAAACCAATTCATACTCTGCCTCCAACACAAAAGAACAAATATTTAGGAATTGAAACTCCCATTAAACCGGGTGTTCGCAGGCGTCCAGATAACATCACATAAAATACAAAATTAACAAGCTCCGACGGAGACAATTCAGGTGGCGGGGCTTTGCGGTGCAAAGCTGCAACCACGAAAAAAAGAAAAGGAAATGTTACCGGCCGAGCGCACTTCACGTCCCTGCTCCAAGACTGGGGCTGAACGCGAGCAATGCGCGCAACCAGTTCGCTTTGAAGCTGGAACAGTGGCAATTTCCTTTTCTGCCGCAAGACACCGCCAGCATGAATAGGCTCTCCATAAATATGACATCTGTTCACCCCAAGTATCAAGTAGCGGAGTCGCATCTCCTAAATGTTTGTTCGTCAGTGGCCTCTGGTCCCAGTAAGTGCATACAGTAAAATTTCGAATCTCAAGGGATCGCCAAAAATCATTCGTTATTTTGAAAAGTCGTAGTGAAAGTATTACAAATTTGTGCAAAAAAACGTTAACACAAACACGCGAGTCACATATCTGTGCAACCGCGTTATGCTCGAATATGGGAAAAATAAATAATTGTATTACGGAACCAGTGCAGGTTTATTTGAGGAAGAGCACGATCTATCCTGATGTGGGCAGCTCGACTGCTGAGAGAGGACTCTTAGGCGTGTGCATCCTTCTTACGCACTGCAAAGCATCGGCGTTAAATACTGATTATTCAGGTCTGTGCGCACAGGCTTTCAACGTCCTTTTCACACCAGTCGCTGTTTGCTTATCACAACAAATGGTATGGATCATATCGGTCGTCAGCTACGCTCACATGCATGCTTCGTCGTCCCACTGTGCGTATTGTTCGAGCGTTAGTGAAGCATGCATGGGTATTCAGCGGCGACTTCATCCCATAGGTCACTAGCGTCGCATTTTTCACTGTTGTAACATTCCTTTCAAGCTGCTTCCGGAGCTCATCTTGAACGTTCAAACACAAACCAAAAGGCTAGATAACAGTCGTGCAAGAAACGCGCACGTAATGCTGCCCGACGAAAACAATGGCAACAGCGAACAGGGCAAAGCCTGAGGCGAAAAGCAAGTATCGTATTTATGTACACCATTGTAGGTCGACCCAATTGGTCTTAACTTGTAATACGAAGTTGGGTGGTCGACCTAGAATTGAAAACTAGTATCGGTTGTAAAGACTCTGAAAATGATCACCGCACATTCCCATGAAGCTAGTTTTCTGCGCAGGTTTCAAGCACTGCCATGAAACCACCTTGGTACACCAGAATTTGACTTTGGAGATATCGTAATTGAACGTTTCTTGTGTGTGAAATGTGCTCGTGCTCCTTTTTTTTTTTTTTTTTTTTTGCCGTGCAAGTTTTGGGGTAGTCGACTAAAATCGTGTAAATACTGTACTAGGCGATGGGGTTATCGCACATTTGTGGTGTCACCCATTCGCAGATTCGGAGCACTTCTGGTAATACTTTCATCTGCTCCATACGGAGCAAGTCTATTCCACTGGCAAGATTGAGAGTGCTCCCTGTATGTTCCATTGGCGGATCTGGAGCAGCCCCATCGCGAGACCCACTCCACGGAGCAAATTTTTCTACTCCGTGAAATTCGGTGGATTGTCGCAAGCACCACATGCCTCCAAACGGCGCCAACTATAGGAGCGCCAAAGAACGCCAGTCGCAACAGTGGGGCCTTGCGTTGGAGCTCACGATTTGCTAGCATATCGTCGCGGCGGTCAGCGTGCCCACTCAAGCAAGAAGAGAGACGTGGGCATCGCATTCCATTCTGACCCTGCCGTTTGCTCCAGAGAGAGGGCGGTGTTCTTTTGATGGATTCCCTTCTGTTGCCCTCCGTCAGAGTGGGGTGCTCTGGCGCAGAGTTCGTTGGCCACTCCGAATCCGCCAAGTGATGACACCAATGAATAGGGCAAACAGATAGAGAAATATGTAGGCGTTCTGATGATTAGTGGCAGCTACGAAGTGGGGCATACTTTTTACAGCTGCGAGTAACTTTTTAAAATCGCTAGTCTGAAAAGTATTGCGGAGATATGAGGGGGATAAAATTCAATATGTTATACTGAAACATTGGGCAGTCTGAAATTCGTAGAAGTAAAATATTTTTACATTAAACCTATGGACATTCAGAGGGAGATACTCGAAAAAGTCGTTAATCTGAGGTTTGCTATAACGAGATTTGACTGTACACCATTTCATGGCACCAAAATCTCATCTATCGAGATATACCTGGCTGCACCCTGGTCAATCTCGGTTGTATTGAGAGCGCACCACGAGCAAAGCAGAGCCGGTGTGCTGACTCAAACCGATTACACCACCAAGTTGAGCTTTCAAATGACAAAAGCTTTGCTTTGAGAGTATGACGTTATATTGCAACAATCTGTAGCAATGCTGAAAAATTTCAGGAAAGTGGCTGACTTTCGACAATAGGTTAACAATAAAACAATGAATTTCTACAGAGCTACTTTTTGAGCAAGCATCAAGAAAAACTAACCTTTAGGGCAGTAGCCAGGCATCTTCGGCCCTGCTCCATAAAACTGTAGTTTTCTCAGTTCATTATTAGTCGAATAGTCAACATCATCCTCCTGTAACAAATTGAACTGTTAATCAAATCATGCCATTCCCATGACACATGCTTTCAGCATACAGGTCACCAGCACTGGAGAAGTGAAAAACAATTATGCATGAAAAAATAAAAGCTCTCAGATGTATCATAGGCACAGTGCCCCATAAAGAAGCCCACAGCTGTTTTCTCTACAAGACGACGCATGCATGCGTAATGGAATTTTTCTGTCACTTGAACAATGGGACATGTGACACAGAAATAGCGGTTCAATGTACAATAAGGCTCAATGTTTATTCAATAGCAAGCTGTGTAAATTTTGTAGTGAGGGACATTTCAACCATTCTATGTGCTTTGAAAGTGAACATCCGTGAAAAGCACTGCACCGCCTCCTTTTTGATATCAACAAAAATCGTGACCTTACACCAGTTTTAACCTGTAAATTTAGTTTCTCGCATGAAAATATGAACATTAAAGTAATCCATTGACACATGTGTGGTACCAATAGAACAATGATCAACTACACGCTAGTCTGCAATCGCCGTGAATTAGCCCATGACTTTTACACTTCACTTCACCGAGCTACCAATAGAACTCATTGCCTCGTGGCTCCTTCAGCATTTCTGGCTAGCCCTTGCACCACAAGCACCAAAATGTCATTAGCAATCAGTAGTCCTCATCGAAAGTAAAATTTTTGCAGCTTTATTAGTAGATAAGATGAGATGTCCCAACAATGCAATATGATTATGAGAAGCCGTAATGGAGTGCTCCGGAAATTTCAACATGCACAGAAATTGCACAGTACACTGGCATCCACCATTTCACCTCCATTGATATGTAAAGAAGGGCAAGGCTAAAACATTCAATGGAGTTGGTTCAACCAGTGACAATGGGCTAGTCAACTCACCGCGACAATATCCAGACACTCTGCTGGTTCCTTGCCATGACGTTTGGAACGACGAGCTGATCGGTCATGGGGAGGCTTGATAGCTTGCCGTGATGGAATGCCATGGGGCACGTAGTCACGGTCTTTCTTGTCACAGTCTTCAGAGTCTTCACTTAAGTTCTGCAGTCCAAAATTAGGACTCCCATTACATGTAGCCAAGTCAAGCCAAACTATACAAGACTCCTCTCAACATTTAATACCACATTGTCACATGATGCCCTATTCAATGAGTTCAAACCTTTCAACAGTGATTGGCTCCCTTGCACAGCTCGACTAAAAGGAGCCTATTATGAAACGGAAACTCTATTCAGAACTGGTGTGATCGCAATAAAAAGTGACTGTGTGACACCGGTATAAGCTCGTTTTAAGTTTTTTTTTTCTCCACCACGAAAACCAGTGAAAGAATTAAGCACAATTATCACAGCACATCAAGCCCGCAATAGAAACACTTTAGGTTACAGCTCCATAAAAATCTACCAATGCTGCTATTATTAAAAAGCATAAATTATAGATATATTGTCCCAAAGTTGCACAGCGGGCTACAAAAAAAAGCTGTCGTGGAAGGCTCCGTGTTAATTATTACTACTTGAGTGTTCACTCACCCAAGCGCAAAGCAAGGAACAAAATTTTTTACATTTCACCTCCAAGAAAATGGAACTTCCCACAGCCATAATCGATCATGTGACACAGTCCCCGAAAACGACCGGGCACATCAACAGACTTTTCATACACATTGCTGCCTTTTTGCGTAGTCATAAACCTAAGGTTTAAACTTACCACTCACATCATTTAGTAACTGCTAGGACAGATTTAAATGCAGCCAGTCAGAAGCGTCCTTTAGACGAATGGACGACTATCTCTTGAAATGAATACAAAGCTGTAGAGACAAAGCACTCACATAAGAAAGTACTTCACATTGAAATAAGTGCACATTAGTTGGTGCTGGAGAAGTGAGAAATAATAATTATTGGGCTTTACATTCCAGAACCACAAATATTAATGAGGGACTGTTTAGCAATGAAGGGCTCTGTAAATTTCTGCTACGTGGTGTTTATTAACATGCACACAAGCCTAAGCACACAAGTTTCTAGCATTGCGACTCCATCGAAGTGCAGCTACCACGCCTGAGATGCGATCCCACAACATTCCAAGTCAGTAGTCAAGCACCATACCGACTAAACCACCACGGCGGGTTGAGGAGAGAGGCGGCAACATATTCAAAGGAGGAAACCGGGACACAATAACACCTGTGAGCTATTAGAACTAGACTCATTTTCCTGCTTTTTCCACATGCATGTGGTTGGGCGAATGTAAAGCCACATTAATTTACGATCTCTTCCAAGAAACTGTACTCCATCTCGGAAGTTCCTTTCAGTGCTGCAAAGGCCGCAGAGCCCCTTAGTCAATAGGAAAAGCAACTAAACCCTCCACGTGTATTCATCCACATCCGGTCTTCTGCTCACACAAATAGGGCGAGAAAAGCGGACGGACGGCATCGCCCCAGTGAACATAGGTGCAGATGTTCTGCCCATGTAGCCTTTGTCTCCATTATCGCAACAAGTTGTCAGCAGGTACAACATTTGACAATGCTGTTAGGGACACCCCAATGCTGATAATGGAAACGGAAATGCAAGCTCACAGTAGTGTGATTCAATATGCGCAAACTATGAAGAGAAGGCCACATAGCTGAAAGGACTCACAATGTCCCCGAGGTTTGCCCCACTCTGGAAGACGTCATATGGGTAGAGGATACGCTCATAGTGTTGACGCAGTAGCGAGCCCACGGTGCGCAAGGGGGCATAGCCCATACGGGACGCAACTTTGGCCCATTTCCGGTCTCGGCACACCTGCTCCATGCCGCCTTCATCGTGGACGAACTGTGCACATCGACACATTCATGCAATGGTCAGTGGCAGTGCACACAGAAGCAGTCCCAAAGCTGTACACGTTTAAAAAATGGGCTTTGGCTAGCTTTATCACACAGTTTTGATTGGTAAAAATGGGAACAAGGCATACAGAACAATAGCATCGTGAAAATAACTTAAGGTAATGCTGCATTAACTGCAGGCGTGCACATAATTGTGCAATCAGAAAACCTACAAAAGAACAAGGGGCATAGTCTCGATCAATTCCAAAACAAATAAAAATTTCACATTTGACAAATGTTCTGGGGAAAGATGAGTTCTTGAAAGCATCAATGCAAATTATATAGTGCAAATGACAATGGCTTTAGGATTATTAGTGCATTAAAGACAATACAACACATTTTATTATTACACAGTGATTTATTATTATGCCCTATTGTATTCTAGCAAGATAAATGAGGAATTCCAATTTTGCCAGATTTCTTGTTGCTTCAAATGTTATATTTACTCAAATGTTATATTTACTCTGCTTACACTACATAAAGCCTGCAGTGATGTTTAGAATATAAACAATAATAAAGGTTGAATGTGATGCAATGCTGGTTGTAGTACTTCAAGCAAGCTGGATAGCTATGCAGATGTTTTGACAGCTATTTCAGCCCAGGGGCCTTACTTTTGAGAATTACTTTGTTATTTCTTGCTTTTTCTAGCTGGCTGATACCAAACTATGCAAGCTATTGCATCGCCATCATCAATGTTCGAATTAAAAAAATCAGCAGGAAAAAAATAAAGTGAAATTGATTGAAGTATCAATTAGCTTTGGAACATATTTAATTAATTTAATGAATAAAAAATTATTTAAATAAATAAATATTGCCCAAAAGGTATAAGACTACAAAACAAATGGAAAGCTGTGACAATTGGCTACTCACTCTATAAAGGTTATAGAGGTCGAGGGCCTTTTTTTCTATATTGGGTATCTTCAGTCTTGAGCCCTGCAGTACAAGAATCAAAGTTCAAAAATGTCTCAATGGCACATTACTAAAGTGTAGAGAATAACAACAACTACAATGAATTTCATGTATCCTACCATTTTGGGCTCAGTTTTATATGCACACTATGAGTGTCACTTCTCAGTCCTGAGTGACTAAAAAGGCTCTACAAAGTGCTACACAGTAGGGGTAAAAAGCAACAGGTACAGTACTTCTCACCTGCAGATCCCAGAATTTTGCTATTTGGTCTAGAAAGTTGAGCTTTATTCTCGTAGTTGCCTGAAAAATGAGAACATGACAGCCATTGCATAATCAAACAAAAAGTGAAAATCATGCAATGGCAAGGTACAGTGCATCTTGAAGACTGTTGTGTCAGTATTAATATAAGACACTGTATTCTGATTGATTTGTGGGGTTTAACGTCCCAAAACCACTTCATGATTATGAGAGACGCCGTAGTGGAGGGCTCCGGAAATTTCGACCACCTGGGGTTCTTTAACGTGCACCCAAATCTGAGCACACGGGCCTACAACATTTCCGCCTCCATCGGAAATGCAGCCGCCGCAGCCGGGATTCGAACCCGCGCCATGCGGGTCAGCAGCCGAGTGCCTTAGCCACTAGACCACCGCGGCGGGGCAGACACTGTATTCTGACAACCACAGCTTAGACCGTCTGTACAGGCAGCAGTCAAACCAGCAAGTTTCAGCTTAACAATCTGAGTTTTGATATGTGGGGTTTAACGTCCCAAAACCAAACAATTTGAGTTTTAAAGATATCTAAATGAAAAGAAATTACATTGGAAGGCAACCTTTACAGTGTTGGATAGAAATGTTCCCCCATTGCTTGTGTGCTCCCTAATATCTGTTAGTTCACATTGATATTGCATTTAACAAAAAAAAGTGAGCCCTTAAATTTACACTTCTTTTTTTCAACAGTGTCACAGGCATGCAAGGTCAAAATTCAGGGAGACTGTGGTACTGAAAAGTTTCAATAGGCACAATAACTTTGGAACTTATGTTAAAAAATCTGCAAAGTTAACACAAGGTGTGCATAAAGAAGTGAATATTTTTTTAATGCAGTACACCAGAGAAATGCAGACACACATAATTGGCCTTATGAAAATCAGTGCAGACAAACCAAAAATGTGAACCCATAAAAGCTGATGGAAAACATAAGGTCATAATTATATATTTTATTATATTTGCATAAATGTTACTGCTATCGGGGCACAATACTTGTGTGTATAAGAATAATGTAGTTAACAGCGATATACCAGTTACTGCATCTGCAATGTCTTGCACAAAACACCCCTGCACTGAAAGCACAGACACTTGTGTGGGAACAACAATTAAAACACAATTAGGAGTCCAAATGAAATAACATAGACATGCCACACAGCAACATGCATTTATTTTTCTTGTCACCCCACAACACATGCGGACCTGAGACTCTTTCTAGTTCATTTGTGCAAGGTATGTGGTTGAATCTGCAGTGAAACGCTTACTTCTAGTTCATTTAGACGCTGCACCCTTGGGGTGAACTTGAAGTTCTCCACATCCACAGCAAATGGTGGCTGCCAGTCCTAGAGGAAGCAGTTGTGCATAACACAAAATGAAGCCAGCCTCAGTAAACAGCAGCTCAATTGTCCACTGATTCATGTGCTACTAAACATTGGCGGAATAGTTTCACTTTAAGGTACAATTTAGACAATCTTTGACCCAGAAATACTATTTTCAGTGACGACGCCCAATAGTGTAAAGTTATGCCAGGATAAACATTGATAAAATGTAGCGTCCATCTTTATTTTCGTACTGCAGTCGACGCTGGCCAGAGCTTATACAGTTGTGAATTTAACGAGACGGAATCACGCTTGTATGAAGGCAGCGCATACGTTCATGCGTGAATTTTCTGTTTTTTTTTTTTTTCCCCTACTGCGCGGACGTCACGCATCAGTCAGCTAGGTGGTGGCAGGGAGGCGACATTAAAAACTGAATATGAAGCTTTTGACCGAATCGCTCGCACGGCAAGGCGCAACACATACGACTTCTGAAGGGCGTTTACGTGCGATTACGAGGCAATACCAAACGCCAACAGAAAACGATGATCTGCCCCTCTAAGTGCCCCATTCGGAGTGCCGTCCTCGACCAATGAGAAATGAGAGAGGAGGCACCCTCCAGCCAGCCGACGCAGTACGCTGACGCCATTTTACAAGTCGGGCATGTTGAAGAATAAATAAAAAAAACGACCCTCTAAGGTTAGAAGCGAAAGCTGCGTTGAATCTGGACCCGAAGAAAGCTCTGTTTCGGTAAAACCGATTTATCACGTCAAATACGGGCCAATATCGGCTGACCCCCTGCAAGAAGGTTCTGATGCAAGCTTTAAGCTCAGCCTGCCAAAAATGATCGCTTTTTATTTTAATTTTTTGCCCTACGACGCCTGTTCCTCAAAGACGAAGGTCGAAGGCACACTCACACAATCCCTCGACGAAAATCAGTCGGGAAAAATTAAATGAATGCCTACACCTTCGAGCCGCATACCCAGGCAAAACGTCCCCTGTTTCGGCTAATGTGCACACACCTGGTAGCGTACATGAAAGGAAGCGTTTCGCTTCCTTGGCTCGCTTTAGCGCACGACAGTTCTTTTTTCTACTAAACAGACACCAATGAGCTTAAAACAAGGGCGTGGCTGAATTAACCGCAAAGCATCTCTCAAGCTTTACCGTGTCACCGGGGGCAACACGCCTTTTGGGGCATTTAAATCCCCGTATGAAAACAAAAGACGCCATGTTCTGTTTGATAATGCGTCCCAATGGCAAAGAGCCCGTATTTATACGCGTCGCACACTGGGTTCGCTAGGTAGGAAAAAAAAATAAAACGTGTCGAAATGACCGTGGGTCGTAAGGCGAAAGTGTGGAAACATGGTAACGTTCGAGTACTAACCGTAGGTGGCCTGATTTTGCAAATCCCAGTCTGTTCCGCGATGGGTCGAATTTTCGCTATGTATGCCATGGGGTCCTTAAACTCTTCGGGCGTCGGCTCAAACACCGGCGCCTCCGGCGGAGGAACGAATTCACCGTCCGGGTTCATCATTTTCCAGGAACGATGCCCTTAGGATAAAGAGAATGCGCGATTATTTACTTCACTACGAGACATGTCCACGTCTGTCCATTTTCTTCACACGCACGAGTGACTGGGAGCAGCTCACTCCGCGGAAGAAAGTAGACCTAAAGTGTGACTGATGCGTGTAATGCACTGCTAGTGAACATTTTGGAAATGAAAACAATTATTCGCAGTGATAATTAAGTGAACATTCATCATCGCATACTACTCAGAAAGCGCCGTGTATAGCTGGTAGCGCTAATAGAAGTACGCGGAGTAATACTTGACGTGCGAACTTTTCGCTTTCGATTTAGCCGTATTTCGGACAACAATCGCTTCGCTTCGATGATAAACCCGAGCTTTTACGCTTACTGTCGCTTCGCGTGCTCTGAATAGATTGGAGAGTTACCCCAATTTACGGTGAGACATGAGCCCAAGCTTTCGGTCAACGTAAAGCTGCCCGCTTCACGGACCAATGGACTTGGTACGGCAATTGGCCACTCGTGACGTCGTGCTGCTGGCGTGCTCTATATGCGCAGCCCCTTTGCGCATTCGTCTCATCACATCCCCATTTGGAAGTTTTCCTTATCTTAAAGCACAGTTGATTTATGTTACCGCTGTATTACGAGCTCAGCGACTATTGGAAAGTCTTTTGTTGGGGGGTATACATGGGATTCCATTATCGCTGATGTGTCGCGGAAATCCGCGTCCGCACAAACCAAAATAATTACTGCGCATATTGCGCAGTGCAAGTATGTTACCTTGCCGGGACAGCGTGACCTCGCCATTTATAATGATCTGTTGCATGGCGCAGCTCGTATTATTCTTGCCATAGCTACTTGCACTCGTTGACTCGCATTGCTTCATTCCGCCGGTGCATGTTGCTCGCCGAAATTCGCACATGTGAAGTGGCAAGCGGAAATGGGAGCCGCCCAGCGATGCGAATTCGCGAAGTGAAAATTCGCCTGCTTTTGGTTTGTGACCACATTAGACATAAAATTCAGCGGATCTCAAAAAGCCGGAACGGCAGAACGTCAAGCCAAGTACATTAATACTCCCACCAGCTCCATAGTTCCATTTTAAGGGTAACGAAACACCCAGGAGAAATGATTAGGCTCTGTTAGATGTGTGTAAGGAAAGCTAGGCAAGTAATGCACCCCTCAAGCGCCGCGTAGGCTGTGCCTTGGAAACTTGGGTGTGTTGAGCGTTTCAAAGTTAAGCGTTTCAGCTGGACGGGCAAGGCGCTGGCTCTCACGGCTGGCGTTCGATGCCATCATGTAGCTCTTTGGCTCTGCCAGAGCGATCCACTGGGCAACCCGAAAAGCGTGCGGTTTGTAAAGAAGCACAGTAGTCTCCAGTGTTCAAGGATGTCAACAGAAAGATCGTTAATCACCGGCTTGGCGGACTGCATGCCTTCGCCAAAATATGGGTCTTGAGCGTGAGCGTTGTAGCGCACCGATGACCAATGACACAGAAGACAACGCGTTAGCAGCGGCGTATTAGGCGCTGCAAACAATTGTTCTTCGCTGTCATTTCGAGGTGTCATCCGAACATGCGTGAAAGACAATCAACGCACTATGCTGCGATAAATGTAATGGGCAAGCAGCTAGATTACCTGGCGTCCCAACGATGACGCACCATGGCGCAAGCAGCGGGTGCAGCTCTGACGTGCACGCGCCCATGTAGTAACGTCTCTGATGATGATGATGATGATGATGGACCTTCGGATTTGCTGGCACTCGCCCACAAAGGGGGATCGGCCAAGAACCGGGCGGCAGGATCATCAAGTGTGTTCAGTCAGGCATTCAGGTAGTCTCGTAGCCGTAAATAATAACAATAGGCTAACAGGGTAATCTCCTTGTTGCCCTTATGTACTCGCACACAGCAGAGAAAACCTCCCTGTGGCTATAACCTAATGTAATCCCTCTGGAGGATAAAATTAGTTCCACGTTTATTTTTAAGCCTAGCTTCTCAATTGGCGCGACCAGGTATCTTTTCCTTTGATAAGCATAACGTTTACAGGATAAGAAGAAATGATCTATTGATTCCGATTCCTTGCAAAAGAGACACAACGGAGATGCTGTTAGTCCAGCTTTATGTAGGTAGCAGTTCAGATGCGGAATTCTGCATCGTAATCTGGTGATTGTAATTTCTAACTGCCGAGATACACACCACTGTTTGTTCCAGCAATATCTTAGATGTACGAAGTCTCTGACTTTATCCAATGATAATTTTTCTTTGTGCAAACAGGCCTTTCTATATCTGAGTGTTGTTACGTAGGCGAAATCAGGTAAAATAGGTAAGAGTGGTCCGCTTGAAGATGCTTTGGCTAACGAGTCTGCCATCTCATTTGGATAAATCCTGCACGTGTGTCAGCTCGCTCACATAGAATAGTTTGAAAGAAAGGTGGGTGATCGCACGAGCGTTTTGCCTCAAGGGCAGATATGTATCCCAATAAACTAAGATATCACACGTTTGGACAGTGTTGGCGAGGCATCGCTTTTCGCGACTAAATGTCGGAATTTTGCGCGATTGATTTCCGGTAAATACACACTACCATGTGTATGCGCCGGAACCTCACTAATCACAATCGTGCCAGACCGGGTAAAGACCGAATTTCTCAACAGTGATTGCCTCCCCTTCTGCAGCTTGTGCATAAAAAAAAAGAGCTTGTACCTTCAGTATTAAGTGTATAGATTAATTTGTTATTTTTTGTCTTGGATGTAAAATTGCTGTTTTTGTTTGTTCAATGGTTGTAAATAGCAGGCCCGAGAGGCTACCCGGCCCTCCTCATTGATATGAACGGCGGATGCTCATCGGCACTCCATGGTATAACCGAGCCCAATACCTCCCGCATTAGAGGTGGACGCTCGCAACACTCGACCATGGTTGCGGTTGGGCTCTAATCAATATATGTGGGCGCTCGTAATGCGTCCATGAAAGGGAATAAAAGGGAGCTTGACGTCACTCAGCCAGCCTTTTCCCGCAAGCCACCAATTGATTTGATATGTGGGGTTTAACGTCCCAAAACTACCATATGATTATGAGAAACACCGTGGTGGAGGGCTCCGGAAATTTCGACCTCCTGGGGTTCTTTAACGTGCACCCAAATCTGAGCACACGGGCCTACTACATTTCCGCCTCCATCGGAAATGCAGCCGCCGCAGCCGGGATACGATCCCGCGACCTGCGGGTCAGCAGCCTAGTACGTTAGCCACTAGACGACCGCGGCGGGGCAGCCACCAACTCTTCGTCAAGTGGTTCTTTTCTGAAGCCCTCTATCGCGGGCTTCGAGATGGCGACCCGCCGCGCGACGTCTATGTATCGGCGGCCCTCATACTGCGCTGGATGGATTCGGCCTAGTTTATTTGGTTCTCGGTAGGATTAAATCGATCCGCACGGCCGGTCGCTTGTTTGCTTGTTCCTCGGCTAGTGAGGTCAGCCTACCGCTCCGTGCATGTTTTCTCTCTATACATAACTGCACGAGCTCGTTCACGTTCCATTTAATGTGTGCTGAAAGTATTCTGTTAAAACGTTTGACTGGTAGAATATTATACTATTATGGACGAACAGTGCAGTGTCTGACAAAAAGAAATAAATGAAGAGAAGACGCACGGATGACGAATTTTTCTCAGGTAAACGAAATTTGAATTTTTACGTGACATACGGGACATGATTATGTGAGGTGTACATCTGAATAGAGCTACGTGCTGCGCTTCTGATCTCGAGGGCACGGGTTCTATTCCCGGCAATGGCGGCCGCATTTCGACGAGAGTGAAATGCAAAGGACACATGTGCTTATAAACTAAGACGCACGTTAAAAAAAATAAAACTCAGGTGATCGAAATTATTTCGGAATCCTCCACTACGGCATTGCTCATAATCGCAACGTGGTTTTGGCTTCTAAAACCCCAGCAGTAATTAAACCTACACTTTATCGGTCGTGTAGGCAGTCCCGATTGAGAAGCCAGTGGCACACCTGAAACAAGTGAACATATCAATTGTGCGTCTGCCTGCGATATATCGCGCAAATAAATTAGACGGCCACCGTCTGGTTGCAACGTAAAAAGCAACAAGTTTTCGAAAAGTATACTGATGGGGTCACTACCTCGCTATCAACGCGGTATTCCGAAGCCGCTGAAGAAGTTTTCACGCGAGAAAGAACTGGACAAGAGACAATAAAGCACAGGCTCCATGTTAGTAGCCAGCCCGTTTCTCCCCCTCGATATCAATCACGCCACCAAACGAGAATGCCACCACTTATGCGAACTAACTACGGCCGCCAGGACCTTGAGTATCAAGTACCCCGGCTATTGATGAACATTGTTGAACATCATATAGATTTTCATGCACCCCGCTTTAAAAAATGTATAAAGAACTTTCTGTTACATTCCACGATAACTTATCAATAAAATATATCTGTCTAATTTTCTACGTGTACCGCATATACAGTTTGTGCTACAATTTGAAAGTTCACAATTTAATGCGTATAGGTATATAATCTTGGAGTGTCTGCATGATATGTTTGTTTTCATGAAGAGTTTTCATGTATGATGTCTATCTGTAATGCTTTATTTGCAGTGACAATTATGTACATGCATGTTTTGATTTTTCTGGTTGCTCTATTGTTTGTGAACTTGCATCGCATGCAAATATGTACATGCATGCCGAATGCGCATGGGAGTAGGAGCCTCTGTCAGGCGATACGGCTTTTAGCTCTTACTCCTCTTTCTGTATCAGAAAGAAATAAACTTCAATTCAAATTCAAAATGATTTGATATTTCAAGGTTTTGTTTCATCGCAACCTTCCTTATCATCATCAACACCTTCACTTTCCTTTCTTTTCCACCCCTCCCCTTTTCTAACGTGTGGAGATATGTTTGCACAAGGCTTACCTACTATGCGCAACCGTGTATGGATGCGACGTCCTCCACTGCCGCTGCGTGCGAAGACGTTGCGGCCGGGTTCATCGTTTTCTCCGACACGGCGCAGAAACCACGCACGAGGCAGGATAACAACCACAACGGGTTTATTAACCCAAAATGCAGCACAGTGCGACACTCACGGGCTTGCAGGCCGTATAGGGTACTCCGCAAGACCGAGCAAGTACGCTTGCCTAGGGCGCTACGACTCCCGCTGTCACACAGGTCCCGTTAATTAGGGAGGTGATCGCCGGGCTAATTCCAAGAGCCGAAGTATCGGCGCCCCGAACCGCACCACGAAAGCGTGGACAATTTAGAAGTGGTCATTTTTGGCGCGCCAGCAGACGCCGGCTGTGGCCCAAAGAACAAGTCAGAGCCCAGAGTTGATAAACAAACAAAATTATATTCTCAATAATGGCAGATCGAAAACAATACACGAGTATGCACACTCCACAATAGTTGAGTACAATATGTCACCAATCAACCAACGTACTACACAGTACAATCAGCCACACTCAAAACAACGGACACAGACAACAATACACACTACAATGCAGTCGCATGCATTGAACAACCAAGACTCTTAAAGACTAAAGAGATAGAAAACCCATTCAGTCCAAAGTCCTTGGAACAAAGTCTGAATGATACTCTTCCGAGAATCACTCACTCAAAGTCCAGCGTTGTTGTCGTTCCCTTGCCCCCTGAAGTTTCTCTTCCAGGAAACCTCGCGTCTTCAATTGGCCACTCTTCAAACTTCAACTTCTTCGCCGGAACACGTCGGCTTCACACACGCAGCTGTTGCCACGCGTCTTCGCTCGATAGCGGTAAACACACGCTCTTGCCTGTAGCTCGAGCCTTCACCCCTCAGGTGGAAATCCTCTTCATTTCCTGCTTCGT